TAAATGTATTCCATCGTATTTTAATACCAAAAGCCGGTGGTTTAGTTTTCAAAAACACTGCAAAGTTCAAATCTTTTTTTTTTGCAATCTCACAGGTCGTCAAACTATCTATTACATGTATTTAAAACTCGGTTTACTGTAAATCTCAAAAGAATATCGGCTTTACTCCGTCTTTACAACTGTTTTGATAACACGCGATTGCGTTTGGATTAGTCCTGAGCACGTTCGCACAAGTACTTTTATGGCCTTTGCTCAACGTCAAAAATGTCGGGATTATACGTAGATTTGGTTTTAATTCGAAAATTTTGAGGTGTAAAATGATTATGACGAGCGCTAGACATTACGTTAAATACGAGCAAGGTTTCTGTTGGATTACTTAGATTTTATGGGTCAAATTTTGATCTGTCCATATAGTTTTGTCATTAATTTTTTGCGTAAACATATCATGTTAAATGTTACTGGTCAAGAGTTTAAAATGTTGCAGGTGGAAATTCAGAAATTTAGGTCTCTTATGATTAATTTTCGGCCTGAATTTTTGGTTAGTAAGTATCAACTGACTTAAAAATTACTGTATTTGAAGATATTTCTCTAATTTAAAAAAAAAAAAATATATGCTGTCTTAGTCATGATCCGTTGTTAAACTTTGCCATTTGCCTGGAGGTCCGGTACTTTTATCACTTTATTTTTTGCATCTTCTCGATTTAATCCTGGCATTCATTTACGATTTTATAAACGCTTATTGCATGATGTATACTATTGTTTCGTGAACACATCATCAAACGATATCCGATATTAACCCCAATTTTTCAGCTCACGCCCTCAGGTCATTCATTGGGAATTCGGGTTTCAGAACATTGCCATCTGATACGCTCTTCATAATCGCTGGTCTTGTCCCAAAATAACAGTCTTGTAGGCCTGTAAAGGAACACCTTTAGCAGTAAGCAAACAGCCCAAATCTGGAGATATTTAATCCGTTCGTATCTCCATTTATTATTACGTGAGGTGTCCGATTACTAGCCTTGTTTGGACCTTATATATATAGCTGTTCTTGTGGCTTATTGGCATTACTTTAAAGTTTTCATGGGTTTGAACAGTCAGTTTATTTGATTCATTAGGCACCGTGCTCTAGGTTAAGCTATCTGCGGGTCCAAATTGAGTAGATTAACATTTAAAATTACTATTGTTAGGAGATAAACAATACGGGGGCACAGTTGTTTTTGACCTTACAGTAAAGTCGATTCTGGTATTTATTCAAAAAACAGTAAGAATCTCATTTCATCTTACATCTTATATCCTATTTTTCAAATTTTGCAATTTTCCACTTGTATCTTAATATTTTTTGATGTGTTTCACTCTAAAATCGCCGTTTTTTCCTTCAATTCTGTCTACTATTTTCTACAGTATCCAAAAGCCCATTTGTAGCGACATGTTTTGTAATCTTAACTTTCCAATCTTTTCTATTTTTACATTTTTTTTCAAGTGAGTCCACACTCATCTTAAGCCCCCGTGAGTACAATACCTTTGGTTGTAGGCGGCCCTTCTCCATCTTTGCCCATTCTTAAGTAACTTAGACCTTCTTTAATGGCTTCGCAGTCCCCGAGGGCAATTGGGACTTCGTGCAAAAAATTAATTGCAAAACTTTTTTTTGGCCGCGAATTTTAGAATTTAATTGGGTGAAAATGGAGTGGAGTAAAATTAGAGTGGCCAAGAGTGCGACGGCGTTGGACCAAAGATTGTGTAACGGTCACTTGGCATTCGCTAAATAAAATTTTTGGGACAAGTTATAATAGTTTTGCCAAATGCTAGTATTTTTGTCATTACAGTTTAAGGAAGTTTAGGAAATTTTAGATTAACTGACAGGTGAACTGGAGTGGGGACTGCGATAAGGTGACGTCTACAGAGACTGGATTAATTATCATCATTGTGCAAACATGGGCTGGACAGTTTGGTCTGTACGTATAAGGCTTACACAACATTGCAGAGCATAGGGGTTTGTTTCATCTTAAGATCTTTCTCTTACAGTTTGCAGTTTGTTTTGCGACTTTAGCAGGAAACTGCATAATACTTATCCGGTTATCTTTACTGTTTAATCAGCAAGATATTCTGTGAGTCATTTTCCCGTGAGTGGGTTGTGTTATCGTTGATTTCGGCCCAGCCTATTATTTGAATATATGTAATTTGACTTGTCATCCTTCTAGAAACCTTTTTCTAAAATTATGGATTTGATTGCGATTGCTAAAATTATCTTATTTAGTATGGCCTTTTATCGTGACACCTTATAAATGCCATTTTTTTAGTCATCAAATCTCTGATACTGTTTTATCCATAATACATTGTCTAGTTATATATAAAAGTTCTACTTTAGCAGCTAATCCAATCTCCCTCCCTCCGAGTTATCGTAATTTAAGTATTTTACCTGAACTCTCACCTCCCGCAACCCCCTAAACACCTTTGTATCTCCTTATACAGCTCTCCTCTCCAAGTTGAAGTCAAAGTGAAAGAAGTGATTGCGAAAAGGCGAAATTTGGTTCGTTAATTTAAAGGGCGCTACGACCAGTTTGCGAGGAGACAGAAATGGGAGAGAAAAAAGATTTCCGATGGCGGTGTTATACGTACAACAACATCGACGAAGTAATTCGTCTTCCGGGCTTGTTTATTCTCCGATTTAATTAATTGACATTTCCCGCAATGTGTTCGCAATGTCTGGTGGCACGTGTGGGAATTCTTGGCAAAGCCGGTACGTGAGTAATCTTCTCGGGTGTTTGTGACGCATATGTTGTTCATGTTAGTCACCAAGAGAGAGAGAGATACCTTCTGTGGTAAGAATGGGATATGAATTGAGGGTAAATTGCGATCAAGCGCTCTTTTTTGTTTTTCCACCTTTTCTCGATATCCTTACTATCTTTTTACTTCATCGTATTTTTTATATCAATGCATTTAAATTCATCCAGAACTATGGCCACCAAATTACCCCAATTTTTCTTCTTATCGCTTGCAATTAGTGCGTAAGATACGATGATAGTTAGGTCGTGTGTTGATTTAGGACGTTCTTTCCGGCCCTTCGCAAATAAAAGTTTCCTTTTCGTGTGTGCCAAAAAACTTTCGTCTTCGTTTTCCTCCCGAAACCGTCTCTTCCAAAAACGCCTTAGGGCATTGGGGCATGGCCGAAAAAGTTGTCTGACCATCGATTCGGAATTTAAAGAATTCGAGGGGATTTGGAATTGTTTTTTTATGGCGCCGAAAACAAATTACTTCTTTCTTGAAGCGGGGATATGGCCCGATCGTTGGATTATAGTGGGATATGGTACCGTATCGGCCTTGTTTGGGACGTAATCGTATTGCCTGCTATTAACATCTAATCTTGATTGAGACAGCATCTTCAATATTTTTCGACGCTAAGTTTTCGTTTTTTTAAACATTGCAAATTATATTACAAAAATCAGTTTCTCCTCTCCATTGTTATTTTGAAAAAACCGTGCGTAAGAACGAAGTCTATCGAAGGAAGGTTGGCTGAAAACATAAAGTTTTGCATCTTCAATTCGTTTTAACTTAACTTTTCCTTTGTCTTAAAAATAGGGATTACAATCCTGCTTATCGAGACGTTCCAAGCTTTCCGGTAGGTGAAGGGATTAACATTATATTTTATCTGCCCAACCTGCGGCCCTTTTTGAGCCTGGATTTGGGACTTGTCGCGCTCTTGTTGGCTGAAAATACCATTCGCGAAATCTGGGTAGCTGGTTTTTGGTTTAATGTAATCGTATTTTGACAAGGGCCCTCTAATTTTGATAATTGGAGTGTTTTCCTCTTTTCTTTAACATAATATGCCCAAATCTCTGCCCTATTTCTGATTACAACATCTTGAGCCATATTGTAATCAGTCAAAATTGGGGAAATACGGTCGGATCTTCGCCGCGATGACTTCGAATCTCGTTTTTCACACTTCCATTCACAATTTGCGTAATTTTCGGATGCCGAGAGACTTTCGCCGCCCGAGAGAAATTTGTGTCGAATAAAATTTGCATATGCCTCTCGCTAACAACTTGAGGATCGGGTGGGAAAAACGGAGGGATTTGAACCGCTTAGGGGGGCTCGAGATTACTTTTTGGGGCCAATTCATCATTCTGGTGGCATTTTTATGGCGCCGCTTAATGGGCTTTTAATTCCGTTGAAATTGCACTTGACCGATGGGCTCTTGATGTATAATATGTTGAATTGATTTAATATTTCATGACATTTCTCGTTTTTCTTTGGAAAGATTTTTTTGTTATTATTTTCTTCATGTTTATCCAAAATTTTGAGGTGTTTATTCTTAGCCATGTACATTTACGACCGTATGTTTTGCATAGATCATACGTGTGACTACAATGTAATCGAAATTTCATAACTTTGAGTATTACTTCAGTTTTGTATTTTATGTTGTGATATGACCGTTGACTTCTATTTTTCTCAAAGTTTTCTCTTCTTTTTTTTCGGCCATGGCCAATCTCTAATTTTTTTGAAATACCAAACTTTTACAAATGCTTGCACTTTTATTTTTGTGCAACCCTTGACACGGCAGTGCCATATAAGAGTTCTGTTGCATTTAAAGTACTTTTAAGGCTGTGTTAAATACTTTTAAGGTCATTTAAAGCCCTAATAGCAATGTCCGTCTTATTCCACCCCCATGAAAACAAAAAGATTAGGGATATCCGCTAACCCCCGCAATCATCAATTCTACGAACTTTAGAGATTCCCGCAAACTCCTTGTCCCCACAATCTTTTTAATTAATTCGTCTCCGGAATATTGAATTTATACGGTTTATATGAGTCTCATATTATAGTAGATACTAGACTTCCCCTCCTCGCGATGCCTCGCTTTGACGGACTTTTGATTGGTTTTCCATGTGAAAAGAGGCACCTTTCTTATGAGTCAGTGCGCGGGGTTTTATTCGAATTGAGGAATCTCATCGCGCCTTCAACCCCGAGCTTGGTGTATTTCGAATATTTTCAGGGTCAGAGTAATGGTCGGCGGTCCGCCGTTGGCTTTGGCCCTATTGGCCATATTAGCGACGCTATGTCAATCAAAAATACATGTAAGTTCTACTACAAGCCTTATATTTGGGATTAGGTACTCTGTAAATGAGATTGAAACTTTTTGCCTATCAATAAAACGAATATGCTTTATGTTTTAATGACATTAAATCATCGCTTTCCGAAATAATTTTATTACGCAAAACATGCTAATAAAAGCCATTCCAGTCAGTGTCAGCGTCAATTGACAAGAAAGAAAATGTCCATCACAACTTTATTCCCATGGTTGCATTCAAATGCGGCTACAGGAACAAGTACCTCAACGAGAGCGGAGAATGGCAATCTGACCCATCCAGTGTTGCCACTTGCCTGCAAGGCAAATTGGACATCTTAAAATACTGTAAACGAGTGAGTATTGCATCAGAAATTTCTCAATATTTACCTACTGCTTAGTAATGGTTTGTTTGCAGGTGTATCCGGACAAAAAGATCACAAATATTGTGGAGTACGGACACATCTCGCAGATCCCACGCTGGTGCGACGAAGACACCGGAAGGCATTGTCAGAAGAGCTTCTACATCCGGCCTTATCGGTGTTTGGGTAGGTTCCATGACATCCTTATATTACCATAACAATTTCGCTGTCTTTTTTTTTGTTTTGTGTCTAATTTTTTGTTTGAAACGTAATTTTTGCAATTTGTAGAAGGCGAGTTCACTGCTGACAGTCTTCAAGTTCCCAGCCGCTGCAAGTTTGGCCATGTTTCTGGCCGTGAAACTTGCGAAGATTTCCGCCAATGGCGACAAAAGGGCGAGAAACAATGCGAAACCTCGGTTGATGAGAAGACCGACAAGCCCATGAAACTCCATTCTTTCGGCCTTCTGGAGCCATGTGGTCTCAGCCTTTTCCGTGGAGTTGAATATGTTTGCTGTCCCAAGGACGTTGAAGACAAATACGTCGAATCTCACATTGAAGAAGACATCCAATCCTACAACTTGGATGACGATGAAGAAGATGAGGACGACGACGATGACGATGATGAAGATGATGAGGAAACCAGCAACTCCGAAACCAAGGACGTCGACGGACAGGATCCCTACTACAATGAGGATCCCGAAGCCGACGAACACGAGCGTTATAAGGACGCTCAGGAACGACTTGAAAAGAAACACCGCGGCAAGGTGACCAAGGTGATTAATGAGTGGAGCCAGCTGTTCGAGCGGTACAATACGATGAAGGAGAAGGATCCAAACCAGGCCGAAAAGTTCAAGGACGAAATGACCAACAAGTTCAGAAAGACGGTTGCTGCTTTGGAGAATGAGAACAAGGATCAGCGAAGACAATTGGAGCAAGTTCACGACGAGAGAGTCCAGAACACTCTGAATGAGAGGAAGAGAAAGGCTACGCATGACTATCGCATGGCCCTGGCATTGCAAGTCGGTCACAAGAATAAGAAACAGGTCCTCAAAACGCTTAAAGATTACATCCGAGCTGAAGAGAAAGACCGCGCTTACATGCTCCATCGTTATCGTCACCTTCTCCGCTCCAACTCTGAAAGCGCGCAAGCTTACGAACCAATGCTTCTCCATCGTCTTCGCTACATTGATCTCCGCATCAATGGAACTTTGGCCATGCTCAGAGACTTCCCAGATCTGGAGCGACAACTCCGCCCAATTGCGGAGGAATTCTGGAGAGAATACCGAAAGGAGAACACTCCAGATGCCGAGGAACACAAGATTGTCGACTCGCCAGCGGCTGACGCTAATGAGAAATTGATCAAATTCTATAAGGAAACTTATGACAAGAGCGGAAAGGTCAAGGTATCCAGTGTTTTGGACTCGGTTATGAAGGAGAACGAGCACAAGCCTGAACATAAGACCAAGTTCATCTCGTTGGACGAGATTCTTGCTTCTGACAAGAGGAAGGAAAAGAAAGAAGAGGTCAAGAAGTTGACCAAGGAAAAGGATGCCGACTTTGACTCGGATGAAGATCAATTTGAGGAAGACGATGAGGCTGAAAGTGAAGCCAAGAGTAAGGTTAAGTCTGATGAATTTGAAATCATCAAAGAGCCTATTGTTCAAGAGAAGCCCAAGGAGAAGACCGAGGTTGCTAAGAAGTTGGATGACTCCGATGAGAATGGTGATGATGAAGACGAGGAAGATGAGGATGACGAGAACGACATCAACGAGGAAGAGAGTCATATTGTTGTAAACAATGAGGATCTCTATGTGAGGAAAGAAGTTGGACCTTCTTTCATTAAGCTGGATCAGCTGATGGTTGATTACGTAAGTTTAGAATTTTTTTTAGGGTTAAACTGTCAAAAAACAACAATTTTTCGATCCTGGATATAAAGATGGGAATTAAAGTTCTTGACTTTCTTTTTTACTTTTGTGTCGATAGAAATAAATCAACTCAAAGCGCCAAGTAAATATGAATTTACCTCTTCCTTTTCAGTCCCATCAACCTCTCGAGCAATCGACCAGTTGGACCACCCCCACCACTCTCATCGTCCTCGCCACCGTCGTGATGTGCGCCTTAGGCATTGTGGGCATTGTCCTCAAGCACAGGCCGTCCCGTCAAGGCTTCGTCGAAGTGGATGTCTGCAATCCCGACGATGCGCACGCGGCGAAAATGCAGATCAACGGCTACGAGAATCCCACCTACAACTTCTACGATCAAAAACCTTGAATTCTTTAAGCCGAAATCGAATAAAGTTCTCAATAAGTAATGTGTTAGTTCAGTTGTACGAACCCCACTTTCTTTATCTCTCAAACAATCCGAGTTTTGTATTTATTTTGTGAATCTTACTTCCGAATAATATACATCATAGCGATTTTCTTAACTGCGAAAGTCTTAGTTTTTCGTTTTTGTATTCCTTTTTCTCGATAAAGTTTTACATACCAATATATTTTATTCCAATGGATATTTTTCTGATTAATAAACGATAAAATATTAGTTTTTTGTTTATTATTAGCATAGCGGAAACAAAAAAGTGCTAACGTTGGATCAGTCTGTCGGGAAAATAGTGAGAACAATGCAACTGCAAAAAATCGCGTTGCTGGATTGAAAGGCAGTTTTATTTCGAGCGATAAATTTTTTTCTCGGCGATTTTCTTGTCTATCGGTGCCATCAATCCAAGCCCGACACTTGTAAGCTTAGGTTGACACAACTTTGGAAGGCTTAGCATGTCACATGTCGGATAAGAGTTTGCATCGTGTTTAAATAAATAAATCAAAGCTCTTTATTGGACCGAGCGAAGACTCGAAGTCATCGCGGAGCTCAGGGTGAGATCTGGCGGAGGAGGGGCTCAAGTTCAATGTTTCAATTTTTGTATTCTTAGCTGTGGCATTTTGTCAAAGACTTATTAGCTGCAAACCTCAATATGAAAACAGTATAACGAAACCACCCGAACTTGGGTGCACCTCAGGTCTCAGCTTCCGCTGAGACCCCCATAATGAAGAAAACTGCACAGTGCAACATTTACAGCTTACCTTTAAAACATTTACATAGAGGCTTAGAATTCATTAACTTGATAAGGCCCGGGTATCCTACAGGCCTTCCCGGCCTTCACTCCTCATCAAAGCACTTGGAACACTTCCGTGCCGCTGTATAATCAGTTTGTAAGATAGGTGCAGAACTGCTCCCTAGTCTCTTTATATTATATCCTCTATTGCACAACAGTTGTCTCGATTCCACAGTACACAATCTTCTTCGAGCTACAATATCCCCTCGTTTGACGTGCAACACGGACGTTTTCTTGTAAACGGATAGTTTCTAGTGATGTTTACTTCCTAGACGTCTTTAAATAAGCTTCTTTTCTTCATAACAAGAACATCTTAGGTATATGCACGTGTGCTCGAATTACACGTCTAATCTTTCGGAGGAACATCTTCGCAAATTAGATTTTTAGTTTAGGCAAAATTAAATTTTAGAATCAATAAATTTTTTAGTTGATATTTTGATTTAGTTGTAACTGCTAGGTGTAACGAGATACTTAATCGACTTCTTTGACTTCAAAAACTCCAACTGCAAATGTCGTGCTTGAATTACAGTGCGAGTTTTAGGTCCCATTTGTTTAGGATACCGTGCCGACACGAAATGTTGCAGACAGTTTAAATGTCGTGTGTTCTTCGCCCTAAAAACTGCTACAAATTTTTTTGTTGTGCTTCAGTTCTTTTGCCCCAAAAATTGTACTCTTATAATTGCCATTCCTTACAAAATAAAACCGTAAACATACGAGAAACAGAGTCAGAGTAAATGCTGCTTAAATTTGAATTTCAAAGTGAATTTCCGTGCAGTCCAAACCTTCAGGAAAATTGTATAATATATCTGTCGACGTACTCCGCAAAAAAATTTTGAAAATAAGTTGGAAAGTGTTGAGATTTTGATTAGACTCGGCACAAATTCCGATGGGAATGTTCTAAACAAAACGTCAGCAAACATGTCTTGCTAAAAATCTTTATTTTCTCAATTTCGGAACAAGAAAATCATTAAGTTTTCGCGTATTTTGCATGGTTTATTCCGCGGAAATCCGTGTTTCATTTCCGTAGAGTCTCATCAGAATTGGCTGGAGATTAGCAAAGACCAAATAATATTTTATCCATAAGTTTCTCAATTTTCCAATTACTTCAGGCCAAAATTCCCAGTAATGTTTACAACTATACGCCTGAATTACTGCAAGCAAACTTCCTGATATTTCGGAGCCGTCTGCGGGCCACATTACACTATCCGACTCCATGTGATGTATTCAGAATTCCTGTCTGACCTTTAAAGATCAGTCATAAGTAAAGTCGGAAAAAGTAAACAAACGTATACTGCAGACTTTGTCCTCGTTTATTTTTGTCGACTATTTCTGTTATCAGTAGGAAGTGGAGCTTTTATGGGCTTCACATGATTTGCATAGTTGTTTATTTTGTTCTCCGATTAAGCGTCAATCCCTTTCACATGTGCTTTATTCAGTATAAAAGGCTCAAAAATATATTTTGTCTGGTTTTCTCTCAAAATTACTGTCTTCGTGTGGCGTTGTTAAATTTGGAGGCAGCACAGATACAGATACTTTGTTTTTGCACTTTAACTGGGTTCAGTTCACAGTTGAATTGCTCAAAGTGCGTGTCGCGGCTTCTGATGATATTTAACACAAGTTCAGCATTCCTTTGGCATTTGCAAAGTCGCGAACATACGACTACCAGAGGCGTCAAATTTTTTGTTCCTGAATAAGACAAAAGGTCAAGCCAGTCATCTACAAGGATTGTTGAATATCTTCGGCGCCATAACGCTAAAGTTAAAGGGTTGTAAGTTGAGCTATTTCTTGACCGATCTAAAAGTTACTTTATAACCAAGTAGAACCTTTCGAATTCTAATTTTCTTCCTTGTCTCCTACATTTTTTCAATTTACCCGACTTCCAACTCAACTTCATGTTTGTCTGGCCTTCCCCAACTCCTCTGCTCTCGTTTTGTTTGCTATTTTTATTCGAATTGTTTCAAGACAAAGTACTTACCGCATTCCCTTCAAGATGAGTTTGGATTTCTGTGCACGATGGAGGGTTCCCCATTTCCGCGCTCTCTCGAATTTCGTAGCAGTGAGTCATGGTTTTTTGTCTCAAAAGTTTGTGGCGTTCTGCTCGACTTGTTCTGAAAATTGGGGTCTGGTTGGATGGGGAACGGAAGACCGGCTGTATTGTTATTAGTTTTGTGACATATTACGTTGAGGTCAATGGATTCCACTGACAGGAAGCTACAGTAGGAATAACTTTTTTCGGGAGAGATGGTTTTGGAAATGCTGATCATAAGTGTTATGTTTTCGAGTCGTCAGTTTGATGTAGTGCCTGACACAACTCTCTCCCCTACGAAGGCTCGAGCAAAACAATCTCGAATGAACCGTGAGTTGTTGTCGTGTTATCAATCTGGGCGTCAACCGTTGTCTTCTGTTGTTCGACATTAATCTTCCTTCCCCCTCAATTTCGTATGTCGTCTCTTTATCCCGCGCACGTCACATTGTGTTATCATCGGGTCACACGCTCTGCATCGATTGTCGTCGCGCTGACGAGTTAATGTCTCTGATCGCGTGTTGCGTGAGAATCGAGTGTTTGCGGGGGGAAATTCCCGAGCCCCGGTCCCCCTCAGCTTTCGGGCGACCCGTCGTGTCGCATAAATGGTGAAGAGGAGAGGAGAAAGACGAATCCTTGTTCCCAATTCTTCTCGCCCATCGTGCACTCCACGTGGACCGGGGGCCGGTCTTTGATTGCACCGCTTTTCTCCATCTTCATCGCCTCTCTCCTCGAAATCACGATTCTCCGTATATGACTGGTGTTTGTTGTTGTGCAATGCCGGCGAAGTAACATGTGCCGTGGGGGAAAGTAAACATGAAAATTTGCGTCCGTTTGTCTGGAGCGCCGACGGGATTCGGCCGGTAAGTACGCATGCAGACAGTGATGTTAAAAGAGTGGACTCGTTTTTGGTTACTTCTGAGAGATTTTCGTTAAGGTGCAGGCTGTATGTAGGACATGACGGAAGACACTAAAGAGGCTATAAATAGCGTCTTCTTCGTACTGTTTTTCAAAGCTAACGACGGCTTGTTCTCCAGCCAAAGTCAATCAAATTTATTTTGGTTACAAAAACAAGAATCCCCTTCGTGGAAATCCGCAGAAAAATGAGAGGGATGCGGCTTCAGACATGCCAAGAACGCGGCCCCGGATCTCGGAATCAACCGCCCCGCGGGGTTTTCCGACTTTGGCAGACATCCGTGGGCTGTTGTTTTTTATGGACGTTCCGTTTTTGTCCTACCCGTGTCCTGAAAACGTGGTGACAAATTCGAAACGTCGGGTGAAACGTTCTTTTGCACTATCGAGCCAGACATCTTGAGTGTGGGGATGTTTTTGCTTCTATTCTCCCGCAAGTCCTTCGTGAGGCCGGAAGTCGGGAGACTTTTTTGTTCTGGGACAACATTTCACTGCAAATTTTGCACGATTTTTCGTTTCGCGGGACTTTCGAGGTCGAGGGATCGGGAGAAGAAAGAAACTGAGGCAGTATTGACGTGGGTTGGATTACTTCGGGGCGAACCTACGCGGATATTTGCGTGAGAATTCGAGAGCTTATCGGATATATCCATCAGACGCCTCTACATGGCCTCTTGGGACCTTTGCACTTTGCTTCCGTATTTTGTACCCATTTCTCGCTATTTAATGAAAATTTTTTCATTGTAATCCTCGCATTACAACTTTTAATGCCTTTCTTCTCCATTTGCATACGATCTGTTTGTCCGCACGTCTCCTCTCACCATTTTCTTTCATTTTCCCACCAAAAGAAATGATCTTCTCTCTTTTTCCTTCTGCACAGTGCAGTCGCTTATCTGTCGCGCCGGTGTTTGACGGTTACGGTTGCACCGGCGACCTTTTTTCGCAAACCGAAGGGGGTCGCACTCTGACGTCTCTTCGGATTCCACTGTCCGAAACGAACCCCCCAAAACGAATGCTGTTCACGTGCGCCGACGAGCACAAGGTCCGGTTTAATGGGGGTTTTCTTTCCTTTGCAGCCGAGTCGACGCGATCTAGTCAACATGGCATGTTGATCGGGTTTTTGCAGGCTACTATTTATCGCGTTTGGAAATTGTTTTTTTTTTTGAGCGAATTTCGAAAATCCCTTTTTGTGTGAGTCACATTTTCCCTTCGTGATCGTGGGGCCCGACGATCCCCCACTTGGCCTTGAATTCGACCCTCATCTCGTTGCGTTTTCACGTGCGAAGGTCGGGGCTGTTGATCAGCGAGGTGACAAGAGCAAAAGAAGGGAGAGGAGGGGAGAGGGCGCGGTTCGATTCGAGTGGAGAGTGAAGAGAAAGAAAAGTGGCGACGGGCTTTCCTGACGTCGTACACGAGACCCTCGCTGTTTATTCGGTCGAAGCGACAAACACACGAGTGTCGCGGAATGATCGACCCCACCCACTTTTCTTCCGCCTTCTGACGTTAACGAAAAGACGAGGTCGGGGAGTCGCTGGATGGAGAGTGTCGACGTCGGGGTCGGGTCTCGGTGATTGGGCTTTAAAGACCGAATCCTGATCGCGAGGGAGCTGCTGATCGTCATGAACAACCTTTATTTTATTACGATATATATTTCAACAGCTTAATCGACTTCTTCGACAATTTCCTCACAAAATTTTTATTTATTTAGTTTTTTGATTGGATTGGCATCACTTTCTGTGCAACATAATCCTGTATCGACTTAAACTCTCCTTCCCCAACATTTACAACGTTTAATTTCCGTTGTTTGCCATTTCTACTGCACTTTGTGACCATTCAACTATCTTGATTACCCTTGGTATCTTTTGTACTTTGAAGTGTTTCAAGTGCTCCACATGTCAGCGTGTCTTGCGATCGCTTTCAAATAAGCCTGCGACCTTCCCGATACCGAATTGTTTTTCAACCCGCATCCAAATATCGTGCAAAACAAGAAATTTTTATCATCGTGACTCTTGTCTGGTCATTTAGCGCGTCGAAGCACGTGAAGTTCAGCTCGCTGGGGCGAAAGCGGGGAGTTTTTCATCCGAGCACACTCTGCGCTTTCCTCTTTTCTGCATTCTTTTCGAATGTTTAGCCAGCGACAAAAACGAGGCGAAGTGCATGTGTTCAGAAATAGGGTCCGGCTGTCGCGACAACTGTTCTTTTAAAAACGTCGGGAGTGGTGGACGGAGAGAAGGGAGCGAGAGGAAAGGGGGGAAGGGGTGTGAACGGGGCGGAACGGCCAACGGAACACCCACGGCACACGCACGCTGCGGGGCGAGCCATTTAATTCCTTGTCATTTTGTGTTGGTTCTGATCGAAAGAGGGGAGAAGAGTTGGAAATTTTCGAAATTTCACATGCTTCTCCGTGTTTCCGATCGCTTTGATTATTCATAGACACAGGCTTGTAATGATGCAGACGTTTTGTTTATCCAGACATATCATCATCATATAAAAAGAATGTTTCTGTTTCCCTCCGTTTTTAATTCGAGGCTTTTATTTACATTATTGACCTTTTACTCACCGTTCTTCGGCCCCAACATCATGCTAATTTGCACGTTCAGACGACCCAGTTGTTTTTTATGCGTCCCCGAGAGCCCACGCACCGAGAATTAGCGTCAAACCCAGTCAAAATGTCATTTCGCGGGGCCCCGCCCCGTTTTGTTTAAGTCGTGCCATTCACGCGAGAGTGCATTCCGCAGATTAATCAAGTGCGGTGTATTTTCAGATTTTTTCTTCTACTTTCTCTGCTTAATTGCAGTTCCAAGTCCGCCAGGTTGTTTGTTGTTGAACGGACGTCTACTGTAGCCACACGAAAATGAACGCATCGCTGACCATTGACCAGCTGCTGAGAGCGGCACAGTTGTTGGAGCGCTCAAATCCCCTGCTCAATTCGTTGAACGATATTGGCATGTACAAGTTGGGGCAAGATTATCAAGACCACTACCTCCAACCCAAGATTATGAACTTGGATTCGGGGAATTTCAACGGCTTCAACTCGAGTGGATCGTCCCACAGATCCTCGCCGTCCTCCCTCTCCAACCAATCAAACTCCTCGCACTCGACTGCACCCAGTTCACCTTTGGTCCACCAATCGAGTCGAGGAAACTCGCATTCTACAAGACAGAGCAGGTGAGATACCTTAACATCTTATTCATACCACCCACAATCAAATTTATTCAAACGTTATCGGGTTTACGTAGAAGAATTTGGCATTTTTGGGTTATATGATCCGAACGTCACTTCCCAATGTATAATGGACTTGTTCTCATTAGTCGGAGCACGCTTTCCCCCCACACTTCCGTAGGTAAACGATGGGGTAACATGTTGTTGTTGCTCGTATTACGTAATTCAACTCGGATGGGAGCAGACATGCTTATTTTTGCTTCATAAATAATTTGTGGGCCGAATTGTGGGACCAAGATGTGTTGTTCCGGCCCTCGGGTCCCTTCCCTCCCCGCTCTATACGAAAAACAAAGTCTGCAGGCCATTCGGATCCGAATTTTGGGGCCGTTTTTTATACTCGGCGGCGGCATGAAACGCACGTGCACTCACGTGGCCCACGTGTCTTTTCGAAAGCCGCGGGGCACACACCAATTGTGCACGCAGCGAAAAAGAGAGGAAAAGAAATCGGGGAACCGTCCGTGCGCCCTGCCGTGATCATTAGGCGCACATTAACCACATGCTCCCCGCTTCGACCAGTTTTATTTATTTCGCACACAGAATTGGGGCTGGGTCAAAGGTTGGCGGGGGTGATTCATGGACAAGAGGGAGAGGAGAAGTCTCCTGACTCTCATAGAGCCCTAAATTGGGCGAATAGTTCTAATGGAATTCGGTGACGCATTCACAATCAAAAAGCCCATAAAGACCGAGAAATACAGGGTGCAATGAGTCAAATAATGAATAAAATTTCGTAGAAAATTTGTAGCCAGATTAATTAAGTCATTTGAAGAGTAGAGTAGAGTCAATTCAAGTGTTAAAATACAATTTATTCAAGTCATTTCGATTACAGAGCTGCCCACAATGAGCTGGAAAAGAATCGTCGTGCCAATCTCCGCAATTACCTCGAACATTTGAAGTCCGTCCTTCCTCCAGACTGTGAATCTTCCCGCGACACGACATTGTCGCTTCTTACAAGGGCCCGCAATTTCATTCGGGTAAGGTTTAGCGCTAATTTATTTTAATTAATCCGAAATTTTAACGGATTTGGAAAGAAAAAACAGTTTTCAACGGATTTGGAGGAAAAAGCAAAGTTCAAAGAATCCAAAAATTTCAAAAGACAATAGAAATTGAATTTGGAGATCACACAGTAATCTTATTTGTTTACAGGTTGTGAAAGAACGTCAAACTCAACTGAATGAAGCAAAAAAAGCCCTCGAATCCGAAAACGAAGCCTTGGAAAAGGAGTTGGCCGCTCTTGAAGAGGTTGAGCCTTTGATCGCTGATGAGCCCAAGCAAGAAGAAGCTATTGCTCAACCTACCATCTTCATCTCCTCTCCGATGGAGCTGAAACAAGAGCCCTTGACTTCGAATGTCTTTGATTTCGGGCCCAAAACCGACCTCATCGCTCAACTCAACGTGCTACAACAGTTGAACCAGTTGAACAACAAACTGTTGCAACAGCAGCAACATGTGATCTACAATCCGAATCTACGTCCCACCCCTATCGATCTCCTGAATGAGGGGCTTCTCCCGCAACTGCCCCTTCTCTATCCCTACCCTCATCTGCAAGGATCACTCAGTTAAATGCCACAGGGCCTTACCACACACCCAACGTTCTCATCGCAATGATCTTCTAGTGTTGTAGTCGTCTCGTTTGTATTCCACAGAAACACACAAAACGCCAAACGGGTAATCGATGTGAGAGTGAGCGAAGGCCTAGGAAACCATGATAACTATGCGATTTTAAGTCGGAAAACAAAGTCTGTTAGTCATAAAAAGTAGTCCATCCCGAGCTTACTCGCTCTCACATCGCTATCTTCCTCGGTTTATTCGGATTCCAGTTTCTGGACGAAAATGGAGTCATCTTTTTTGCCTTTAGGAACCCCTTAATATTTTGCTTTTAACTCGGCTTTAACACACTATTTATTAGAGACGTCTCGCCATCGATGCTGTGCCTCCGTTTTCTTCCAATTCTCCCAAAGATTGTAGGTCTCTCGGGTCGTTTCTATTTCGTTGTTACTTATACCCCCGGTATTCATTTTGTTGTTGTCTGAGGCGCAGAAAACCGCCGTCGGTGAGCGTAAAACACCGCCAAATTTAGTGATAATAAACTCAAAGAACTCATTGGACTCGGCTAATTTTTGGATTTGGGGAAGGGTTGAATAGTATACAAGATATCGGGGAGGTTAATCCGATAATTGAAGATCTCAATTTTTCAAAGAAAGCATTTCTAAAGCTATCAATTATTTTTTATCGACTGTTCGATATATTTTATATCAATGTTCTCCACAATTTGCAGAAAGGAGGCTACGTCACCTCTCTGCAATATGCCCTATGTACGTAGGACGTCATCGTATCTTCCATCACCGAATTCCCCCTCCAATCCCCCTTTCTGCTCAAGGTCTCTTTTCATCGCCATCCCGTCGGCTTTGCGGACTTTCATCGATGCATCTGCCGATCAGCTGAAGTCGCAATCGTCTCGCAAGTCACGCGCCCTCCCGCGAGGACCATGCGCTTCCAAACGAGGTGTCGGAGGAGACGTTTCGACTTTACAAAACCGCCATGTGATTCGTTTCTTCGGGCGCTCCGCTCTTCGCTTCCAGTGTTTTTGAATCGGGTCCAAAGAGCGTCGCTTCTAAAAGGGCGTCGGGAGCACGTGAGCGCCGCGAGGAAGGCGAAGCGATATGCCGCACAATGGAATTTGGGGGTGAACAAAGAAGCCCTAATGAATTTACAGGCCTTCCAATTAATTCATGGGGGGTTTTTTTTCTGATGTTTCTAAGACGCGGAATGTGCGTGTTCGATGAGTCTCTGGAACGTCAGAGTGCACTTCAATCTATACTCTTTCGAATTCATGGGGCTTTAAGAAAAGGGGAAAAGGCAATCAATGCTTAAGGCGATCCACGAAAAGTAGGCAAAACCAAACATCATAACGACGATCTACACGACCAATGCGCCATTGTAAGAAAATCATGACATAAACCAGCACATCGTCATTACCAAAAAACTGACTAGTACAGATGTTATCCTGTGTTTGTGTGCAAATTCTCTTACAATACTCTCCTTCACAATATTCTCCCTTACTTCCATTCTCGACATTCCAGCCTTGTTATCTCCAAATTTGTAATTCCTTGAAATATCTCGTGACTCTTCCCTTTTTTGTAAACCTTATTCGATTTTACAAACGTGCCCATAACTTACAACGGGATCTTTCCCAAACTCCCGACACCTCTAGCTGCTCTCTAATTAGACTTGTTTCTCATCTTCCCAGCCCTCGTGATCGCACGTTTTGGACATAAATCACGAGTCTATGGAAAGTGACGCCCGCCAACCGGTATTTCCTCCGCTAAAACTTCTACCAAGTTTCACGTGAACCCTCACGTGGAGGCTGTTCTCTGGAGTTTTCTGGACCGGCGGCTGTCCTGAAAATCAATATTTTGGACGGCAAATGAGAGATCAACATGCACTCTGATGTCTAAGATCATGTATGAGTTCGTGGTAAACATTTATAGATACTCTTGCATTATTTTCTTTGCAAACAGCCACATGCTCAGCCACCCTCTTTCTGCAGAACCTCGGAGTTGATAAGGGTTGTGAGTCAGGCGTTTCTTTATAGACGGCATCAACACAATAATAAAACTATTTTTAAAACAATCAGAAATCAAGGCGTGTGCGTGCAAAGAAAGCATGATGAAATGGACGACGGACAAAGTTTAGCGCCGATAAAGAATGGGGTGGAAAGGGGGTGGATGTGAGGTTGGGAACACGTGGATGAGAACTTGTTGAGTTATTGAAACGGAGTGTTGTTTACCAGGCGGATGATTTGACAGTGAGCAACAAAGGACTTTAGACTTTTTCCTTTTCTCACCTTGCCATTCGAAGGAATAGAAAGCACAAAAACTCTGGGGATAATACACATGTAGTGGAGTCATAATTCATTCACAAAAAAAAATCTTAAGATACGAAGCAGAGAGTTTCTATGAAGGTTAAAATAAATGATGACTAGAACTTTCTAACGAGAAAGCGAATCTGAGATTTTAAACTTAAAACTTTTTAAGCTTTGCCTGGAGGTCTTGGAAATTCAGCACAAAGAATTTGCATGTTATGAGGCATGATTTCGCCAAATTTCAACAAAATCCAAAATTTGTCTTGTAAAACTTCAAAATCGTATTTTCAACCTCATGTAGTACCTAAAACGCATTTTTTAAATCGTCAGCACTGTACTGAATACTGCACTATGAGGTTATTTTTGCATTGACAGCCGTTGCGGGCACAAAGGGCTTCGCCTGGGACAGTAGCTCTTCATCGTAATGGATTTCAAGTTCATACTGTCAATGTTAGATCAATCCAAACCGAGGGAAAATTGAAGCAATTCAAGAAATCGTGGGAAACGGAAGTGATCAGCATGAATTCGACATCCCCCTATACACGACCGTTTGGGCGCTTCAGGATGAGATGGATCGACGATACTGGCAAGAATCATGGTCTCCGGTGGAGCGATCTTACACTGACCGGACAATGGAAACCGTTATGATACACTCCATGATTTTTTTGCATGTGATTAGTGTAAATAAATTGAAATTGAAATTGAGCTCGCATAAGGGAAATCTGCACTATGCCAGAGCCAACAAAGAGTTTTCAGAATGATTTTGTATAAACATATTGTCATATCGTTGCAAACTTTATATTGCTATGCAAAACGTTTGTTCTGATCTTCGTAAAGCAAAGAAGAGCCAAAACCTTGCTCGTTCTTCGAGTTGCAATGTAATCCAATCCACAAACGTCAGCAAAAACTTGTCAATGTCATGACGAGCACCGCTCAAACATTCGTGTCGTCAGCTGACAAGAGTCACGTGCATTCTTTTGCACAACTAAACTCTTGGTCTTGTCTCTGACGGCCAGAAACTTCTTTTTCTCTCTGCCTTCTTCAAATTGCCCGTTTCCCAATGACCTTTACAACAAATGCACTCAAAACAATACAAATAATCCATCAGCAGACTTCACGTGAATGGCCATCGCGGGGCCTCAGGCGCCAACTGTTTCGTTTTTCCCGATCCCCGCAGCAAAATTCCGATAAAGGACAAAGTACAAAGGATAAACGATTCCGGTACGCTCCGAAAAAACGTGACTTTATTGTAAAATATCCAAGAAATTTGTCTGGAAAGGAATTCCATCTTGGTCGACCAGGAAGCCGAATGCGAAACAAGTTTAGAAGTTCAATTAGCAGGTGATGTTGGACACGTAAAACGAAATTCTGGCCACGTGTTCAGCATGAAGAATGTGTCAAACCACGCAGAGTGGCCAAAAGGTTTCAGAAATCATTTTTAACGGGGGTAAACTGTACAAGGAAGTAAAAAATGGCCAGAATGATCAAATTTAGGTGTGATGACTTTTTTCTTAAGTAATTGTTTATATCCGATAGACAGTAATCGAGTTGATAACATAATCCAAACAGTACAATAAATCGTCTTGCTTCACAACATTCGACCAGAGCGCCGTCTCCTCGTGGTCGGCGATGACTCTTTTCACAAATTTAAGATCTTCAGAGTAGACGTGGAATTCCGCCCGACCCCGTTGAGCTGCCCAAATTTCATCGACATTTTGAAGAAGGGCCAGGGAATAAGAACCACCAGGGATTGAGGCAGAACCGATGATGGTTCCGTTTGACGATGATTTTATGATTCCGGATTGACAGGAGAAGTAGAGAGAGGATTCTGTGGGAAGGATAAAGTTGCAACTCTCTTTTGGAACCTCTGAGAGTTTGATCTCACTGGTTAGCTCCAGTTTTTTGTCGTAAACATAAACTGTGGAGTTGGTCCTGCTTAGAACATAGATCTGAAATTTGGCATTTCAAAAAGACGTTATAAATTTGCATCGACAGCTTCATGAACCCGTAAGAACTGAGCTAATCAAAAAACAATATGCATAACATACCGTATCGTTGAAGATCTTCAAATCTAGCACTTGATATTCAATGCCCAACTGATTGATGACCCTTCCCTCCACGTCATAGATATTCAAAGTGGAGTTAATAGCCTCATTCACAGCCATCTTTCCATCCTCAAAGTAACCAATCCGATGAATAGTAGTAGATGTATGTAAACTCCTCAAGAATTCAAAAGAAGTTGAATTCAGAATATCAATTTCGCCGTGTGATTTGGCAACATGAAGTAATTGACCATCTCGGACTGTTAATCCGATAATCTTTCCTGGATTCTGAAGATCCAGTTTTGAAACTTTGGTCAATGACTGTTTAGGTTGTTGGTCCAATGAAAAGATATCATCCGAGGAAGTGAAAAACGAGATCTCGGTCATTGGAGTTGTCTTCGGACTAGTTGATGTTGTAGTTGACGTAGTGGTCGGTGTGATCGCAGTAGTAGTAGTACTGGTACCATTTTCCATCACCTTTTTCTCCACCGTCTTTGCCGTCCCCGCAGCTATCGCCAAATTGGCCGGCTTCATCGTAGTCGTTTCATTAAGCATCTTACTCTTCCCTTTCCTCAAAATCTGGGGCTCCTCTGTCATAAATATAAATAAAACGATTAATGACAGCAAGGCCGTCAGAATTAGAAACATAATAATTAGAACACAATTTGAGGCCTTCATTGTGATGCCAACCAAAAAATAAAATTCTGTTTTTTGAAGATTTGGGGAGTCGAAATTTGACCTCAAACCTGCCGACGGCAGATAAAATCTGCAAGGTTTTTTCGCACCCTCATAAAATGGATACCGAGGAATGAGGTCGTGCGCCGTTATCGCCGAGCTCCTGTAAATCAAAAAACAATACCGATTCCGGCATTTTTATGGGTGATTCCTGTAAGTGTATCATTTGAATGTTTTTCTTCGGAATATTTGATGACTTGACGGGTCAATTGATTACACAACCAAAAAATCGAGATTCCAGTAATGATAAAACTTTATATACCCGTTATTATTCATTGCATAGAGTTCTTTGGCACCATAAAAAAATAAAAATTTGAGTATCGTAAGTTGTAAACCGGTGTGAGTCGCATGAAAGTTGAATGGTAGATGTCTAAACTACCTAATTGTCGACCAGATCATTCCACCAACTCTGGATGTCGGTGGATGAAGTCTGATCGGTCTGAGAGTAAAAATTTGCATATTGGGCTTCCGTAACTGATTGTAGATGCTTGAGTTGAGAGGGACGACGAGAAAGTTGCGAGAGCGGATGTTTGACTAGCCCGGCTTCCAAGGAGTGGCGACGATCGTTGGGACTGAGGCCATCCTCCGCTTCCTCCCATTCTTCCACATCTGGAAGTTCGTAGGTTGGCATCTAAAAAAGTTACAGAATGACTTTAAAATTTAACTTTTTCATAAGCTTGTTGTAGAGGTTGGAATTAAAATGTGGCATCCATTATTTTGTGGGGCTAAAACTCAAGCAAACCCAACAAAATAAAAATGATGCCATTGTTTAACACATGGCCTGTGGCCTATGTAAAAAAGACTTGTCAAAATTTTTAAGAAAATCTGATAATTGAGAAATTTATTTGATTGCGGAAAAACGGAGTCGAATCTGCCCAAAAATCATTTTCCTTACCTGAAGCTGTTTCAAAGTGGCTCTTTTATCACTTCGTCCAAGATTCAGCTGATTCTGAGAGTTGGTTTTCCTAAACGAAGATCTTCTTTGCCTATTGTCAAAGTAATTTGATTCATTCGCGGTCAAAGTGTCGGTTGGTCGATCTGTCGATTGATTTGGAGTTTTATTCTTCCCCCAGACCAACTTCTTAGCCTCCTAAAATCAAAATATTCCCCTAATTAATCAGAAAACTTACTCCAACAAGGTCGGGGATGCTGCTTCTCCTTCGTTTTGAGACTTTTTTGACCATCTCTTCAGTTGTTGAGTCTAGTTTAATATCCTGGCTCAAATTGACGTCATTATTGTATAAATGGGTCTTTATTGATGAATTCTCCGGAGTGAGGCTGACTCTGGCGGTTCCTAGGGCTGTGATTGGTTGGCCAACCGTGGATCGAAGTTGAGCAAGAAGATTATGGTCCGAGCTGTGCTTCTAAAATAAGTCAAGTTAAATCAACTTTTTATTTAATTTTGGACGGGAAAATGCTACAGATAAAACGGATTTTCAAAATAAGTGATTATTTTTGCCATTCTGAGAATGGAAAATTTAGCACATCAGCAGCGCAAAAAAATCGTTATTGATAACCGAAAAACGATGACTAAAGTAAAGCCTTGCTCATAAACAATTCCAAAACGACTAACATCCTCCTGTTTGATCCTCCGCAAGCATCCTTCCAACCACGATCTGATGGTCTGCTTGGCCACTTCTTCCTCGATTATGTACTCCAGCTCTTCTCTTTGCAGCAATTCCTCCAATTGCAAGCTTTTTCGGATGTCAACGGATCGATAGGAGAGCATGCTGAGATAAGAATTATTTCAGTAAATAGCATTGCTGCTTACTTCAGAATATCATGGAAGGAGACATCATCTCCATTGTTCAATTTCTCCATTTCATAGCACATATGTTTGAACAACAATCGATCCTTATTTGGATCAACTTCCAATCGCCCTCGGAGCAAACGGAGGAGGAATTTGACTCTTCGGACTGGGATTGTCCGCTGAAAATTTTATTTTTATGATTGGTTGTTGATATCGACCTACCTTTTGTTCCACATCAACCATATTCCAAACCTGCTGGAAATTTCTTATATCGGCATAAGAAAGCAAGGCATCCTCCTCGCTCGAGTAAAACAGCGAGAAATTCTCCATAATTATAGCTAAAATACGAATAAATTGTAACTTCGAAATTTTTTTTTATTGTATTTCAAGGTTTTTTAAAATTTTTTTCCCTTACCCACAAGAAGATTAAGGACGATATAAGTGATGATCAAGTAAAATGAGCAGAAGTAGATGACAGCTCCAAAATAATTTCCGCAGTCCGTTTTCCAATAATCCATCCCCTCTTCCCAGTAACAGAAGGGTGGAGATCTCATACAGTCATGCATAATATCATTCCAATCTTCCCCTGTTACTGAGCGAAACAGAACGACAAGGGCTTCTGATCCGGTCCGGAAGTTGACGTGCCTAAAAATAATCCAGTTTATACGGTAATTCACAGGAAAAACTGAAACTTTTCGATTTTTAGAAAAAAAATATAATAATAAAATTGAAAAAAAAATGGAAAAGAACGAATTAAAATGTCTTATTTCATCAAAATCCACAAAACTCACTTCGAAACAGCCTGCCCATACTTGACCATTCCGAATAAAATCACCCCCGCATATGCGTAGAACAGAACCAACAAGAACATAGCGGTGATAATAAACAGAGATCGGACCATACTCATCACAACTGTCAGCATTAACATCTTCAAAGTGGACTTTCTGCCAGCAATTGTGAAGAATCTCATGATGACCACCATATACCCGAAGGTGTAAGTGTAACGTTTCAGTGTTCCCTGGGCATTATCGCTAACGGCTTTTGCTGGTAAGGCCATTACGAAATGAGTGGCGATCCAAGAGCATCCGAGGATTGTAATCAGAAGATCAATTCGGTTTCGTTTGCTTTGCCAAAACCCGCGGACGGTGAAAGCAATGGTCTTGAGCAGGACCTGAAAGCAAAAAGTAGTCACAAAAAATAGTAGGATTTTCTTCAAATTTTTTCAAAAACCCCCAAAAAATCTCGATCAAAAATTTCTCAAAATTCCCCTAAAATCTATCGCTTACCTCAACCGTAAAAAGCACATTGCACAAGGCAGAAATTACAGTGGAGAACCATAGATGAGTGGGCCGAATTTTCTCCTCCTCCACATTCCACGGAACAAAAAGAGTGGCCGAATTTATGACCACCAGGATCACAAAGAACTGCTTGAAGTTCCTTCCCATGGTCAATTCATAAAATTTCCGCCGTAATTTTGCCGATTCCCCCGGTTTTGGTGGGACATGAAGGGGCTGGGCCATTCGAAGACGGGCCTTCAGATCGTGCCATCGTCTCTGATCGACGGTCAAAAGAGCCGTGCCTCTGTTCTCCATGTAATTGGCAACAACAACACCCACAAAAAGGGTAATTCCAATCATACAGCCGATGAAAACATAGACATGGATGAAGATTACGGCCCACTGAAATGGATGACGTACTTTAGATAAAGGCGTTATAAAAACTACAGGGTGGTTCAGCCGAAGCTTCCATCCTTATTTCAAGTATTTCTCCGCCGATAATGCACCAATTTTTATAAAATTTATACCAAATTGAAGCTGATGTTCCCCATTTTTTGTCCACCAAATATGACAGGCCCAAGTTCAAGGATACCCCCGTACTGACCTTTGACATTTTCATTCCAAATTTTGGAGCCCGAAATCGGTGAAACATAGCAAATTTTTGGAATGATTTTCAATTGAGTTTCTCGGACTTGGAAAATTTTAAGATTTCCGGCAAAAACAAAGTCGCCAAATTCGATGAAAATTTTTAAAAAAAGGTAAGGTTTACAGAAGTAGCAAGTGCCTAAAAAGCATATTTCAATCCGGCGCGGCACCAAATCGAGCGATTGAAAACGAAAGCTCTTTTCTCGGGCAATCCAGGACTTACAACTCGTTATTTATCTTCAGGGTGGATTTCGTCATCCACATAGACAGTTTCGCCCATTTGTTCGTATTTTTTAAAATTTCGATTAACGAAGCCTATTACCCCAGAACACAAGAGCGATGCTTTCAGATTAATTAGGAGTATTCCGTTGACCGTCAATTTTTTCACCTACATCTAAATGTCTTATTTAGCCAAAGACTCGAATATTTTCCAAGTCCGAGAAACTCAATTGAAAATCATTCCAAAAATTTTCTAAGTTTCACCGATTTCGGGCCCCAAAATTTGGAATGAAAATGTCAAAGGTCAGTACGGGGGTATTCTTGAACTGGGGCCTGTCATATTTGGTGGACAAAAAATGGGGAACCTCAGCTCCAATTTGATATAAATTTTATAAAAATTGGTGCATTATCGGCGGAGAAATACTTGAAATAAGGATGGAAGCTTCGGCTGAACCACCCTGTATAAGAACAAAGCAGCAAAAGAAAAAAAAATAAAAATTAAAAGTTTGGAAAATTTACATAATAGATGTTTATGATACCGAGAATTCCTCTTACCGCTCCCAATCTGATCCACAGAATATCCCTGATCACATTCCAGCCCTTATAAGACAGCGTCTCGAACAAGGAGAGCATCGCATTCCCAATATGATCAAAATTAAAATTCCTGGGATTCGCCCACACTCTTGGAATCAGAATCTTTGGATGTAAATCGTCATGATTCTTCCCGTACACTTCCATTCTCGTCACAAAAATCTTCTGTTCAAAGAAGCCGGTGCAGTTTTCCCTTTCTGTGATTGCAATATCATTGCAGCCAGCCAACTTTCCTCCGGCCATTTGGACTCCAAAACAGGCAAAGACAAAGACGAGGAGGACTAGGAGGATGGTGACCAAAATAATCTCCTTGAAGCCTTTGCAGAGTTCCACAACGACGCGTCGAATATGAGGGACCAAGGTGTAGATTCGGAGGGGTCTCATGGCTCGGAAGATCATCAATAGCTGGGCGAAGGAATTGATTTCGACGTGTTTTGGCATCCAGATCAAGTACCAAACAGATGTCTGAAATTTTTTCATTTTTTTGGAAAATTTTGAAAAAATCATCAAAACATGACCGTATGTTCTAAATGGTCCTATTTTTAATTTCCAACTATTGAGATAACATCAAAATTTAGCCCAATTACCAGGCAATACAACTCACAATATAAATAAAAATCGTCATGACTCCACCCACATCTCTAACCACCGCCTTTGGCGTGAAGAAAACTCCATTTGCGCAGACCTTGACCAACAATTCGAATGTCATCGCGGCCACGAAGACATATTCACAGATTTGAAGATAAACATTGTTGAAGACAAGAAACTCCCCCGTCGTTGGCCAAGGAGATTCAAACAACATCGAGCAACAACTGAGCCCCGTGACCACAACCATCGCCCAGTCCAGGTAAGTCATCAGCCCAAAAAAGGAGTGGATTTGTTTATATTTGAGTTGGATTGGCTTCCCAGTGATTGGATCGATCTTTTCTGGGGAGTATTTGGCATAGACCATGTTCTGACACCATTGGCGAAGACGGGAGTCCCTTCCGACCTAAAAATAGGATCAATTTTGGGATGAATGTTATTAAATTATGACCAAACACAAAGATTTTGTCCTTATTTTTCAGTTTTTTTGCAATTCTCGCTCAAAAATTCAAAATCCTTACAGTAAAGAGCGGTCGATCGAAGAACGGATGATTCTCCCTCATTTCCTCTTCAATCCTGTTCCTTGTAAATTCGGCTTGCGCTCTTTTTTGTTGCAAAGCCTTTATATCGATCTCCCCTTGCTTCAGATTGTCCTTAGGCGCTGAATCAGTTGGCCTACAATCGCCGTTCTCCTTGAAATGCTCGTAAACAGCCTTTGCTTTCAGAGAATTGGTCCCATTGAGTCCTCGATTTCGATGCCTTCTGAAAAAATTTCATTCAGATACTGTAAATTGGCACTCTTTGTTCATTGTGAAGCCCGCTTACATTGTGTTTTCCCTTCTTCTTGGGCCCAGTCTTTGGGCGATGAACTGAGTGGAGTCGGAGAGCAAAACTCGGTTCTTATTGGACTCTCTGGAAAGAGAAAATTTGAATTACTTGCAAAGCCAGAGCTAAAATTTTCAGAAACGGAAATTCAGGGCTAGTTCGATTATGCGCGCAAAATTTAAAGAAAAATAAAATGAATAACCTACTCGATTAAATAGCCAATGCTGCTTTTTGAGGATAGCTGGCCAATCTGACGAAATCTGATGTCATAAATATCTCGCCGAAGAAACGGTTGGCCCGGGAGGATCTTCTTGACCTTTCCAATGCAACCTAAAACAAAGTCAAGATTGAAAAAGGTTAAAGAAAACCATTTTTATCAAAATTACATTACACCACCCACCATCTGTATCCAACATGAATGGTTCGCTGTTTGGATCCGCAAATTGTCTTGTAAAACTGTCGCGGACCTTGGGCATTGGGAATTCGTTGGAGACTTTTCTCAGCGAAACCATTTGAGGTCTTGTCGGAAACTTTTCGAAGATCCTCAGCCTCCAAGGCAAGGTGGTTCTCATGGTTGTTTCCTCCCTCGCTTTCAGCTGCTTGATCTTTTTCAATTCCTCATCCATTTCCAAGTTATCCAAGATGACGGCAACGAACAAACTGAGGACAATCTAAAACATTTCAATATTATTTTAGCTAACAAGCAATTTTAGTCATCATTTTTTTAGGAAACCAAAAAAATCGATTTTTTCCGGAATCAAAAATTGGCATTCTTCTTTTGTGACCTAAATACTCCATTTTTCAAAAAAAACACAAAAAAATCTAATAATAAGTTCAGTTCCCCTTCAAATTAAACAAGCCTCTTACCAAAGTCACGAACAAGTGATATCCCACGAAATAAATCGCCACAAATGGGACCATGCTCTCATTCATACTCCTCAAGATCTCGACTGCAAGTTCTGTCCACCCTTCTTGAGTCATGATTTGAAACATGGTCATAAATGCCTGGGGGAATGTATGGAATTTATCCAAATTCTCAACGAAACAGTAGAGTTGTAGAGAAACGGCCGACGAAATAATTAACATTATCATTGTGAACGCGACTAAACCTCCGAGTTTCTTGCCTGGGCCAAAGATCTGCAAAATCAAACTCAAATTATATTACACTTGATATCAGCAGCTAAATTATCGAAGAAAATTGTCGAATTTAAATAAAAAGTACCTTGTATAAAAAATCCTCTAGCATCGGCGATGCCTTGATTAGCCGGATCAATCGAAAAACTTGGAAATATGTGAAGATTTTGGTCGTGTACAATATTGGAATTACATTTAGAGTTGATCCCACACACAAAACTAGCTCGAATTTGTGTTGACCTCGTTTGAAAAAGTGGGTAAATCCATATGCAATGATCTTTACAAGGCATTCAATATCGAATAGAACCGTGAAGCCAGTCTGAAATTAAATAAATTTCCTGATGATTTGTCATGTTACACTTGATGACGTAGGGTAAAAAAATCACCCCAAAAAAGCGAAACTCCATTTTTTGCTGAGTTTCTTTCACTGCCAAATGAATGGTGCCTACCTCAATAAAATAGTAGATCCTCTTCCTCTCATCGTCTCTTTTGTCGTGATAATGGACAAAACTTCCATTAATAGCAGCATTAATCAAAACCAAGACCATTACACAAATTTGAAATGAAGTCGACCTCACAATTTTCTGCAGAATTTTAGGAGCATTCGAAAGCTCAACTTCTGAATCGCACTCCACCAATTTCCAGCCTTCAGAGGTCTTCTGGAGCTTCTGAAAAAAAAACAGACGTCAAATGCAATATAACCATTTCAAAAATATCTTTAGTTCTTACCATGTGATGGACATTCTGATCATCAATAATCTCCTTGTTTTGCCACATTTCGCTGAACTGGACTCGAATCTCGGCAAAAGTTTCGGTGATTACAGCAATGAAAACATTCTTGACCAGCCATGCCATGAAGAAGATCAAAGTAATGAAGTATAAAAAGGCCATATAAGACGGGAATGTGTCTAATGTGTCGTAGAGAACGTATACCCAGCCTTCTTGACTGGCAGCCAGATAAACAGTAAATAAACTGGCGCCTGAAAACAGTAGTTTTAATTAAATACATGATGAGTCGAATATTTATTAACTCGTTGGGTAAAACCTTGCATTAGCCCCGTAAACAGGGCCAGAGAAAACATATCAGAGTTCAAGCAAGCTATTACAATATAAAATAAAATTAATCCGCTTACCAAAGTCATCGAACATTCCGTAGAACCCCGTCTGTTTCGCATTGAAATGCAATCTCATACAGACCATATTTGGAGGGCATTCGTATCCACCTCGGCCAGCGAATGAACACATTGTATCGGGGATGGCCAGGTCTGTGATGGAGACATTAAAAGGGTTTGTGGTCGGCAAGACACAGTGATTCTCAATACGACCAAACAATTGAACACCCATTATCGCATATAATGTCATGAAGAACAGAAAAAATATCGTGACATTTTGAATTTGCTGGGATGAGCGTCTAAAACAAGGTGAATTAGGAACAAAATCGATTAATCTTTGGTCATAAAGGTAAAGTACGCATTTCCGCCAAGCCAAAACTCATTTTTCTCCAAAATTTTTTGAAGAAAAAATTTGGTACGTACTCCAATTACATCAAAAAAATGTCGTAATAAAGGCATATTGCAAAAGAAATTTTTTTGGAAAGTCACGTCTTCCATAGAAAAATAAAAGTGAAATTGGAAACTCACTTTATGATTTGCTGTATCCGATTCTTGGGTAATTTGAATCTAATTAACAACCTAACTAGTCGAATCATAACAAATGGCCGCAACGAGCGAAGAATCCCATACCAGGGCTTGTAGATCAGCCCCAGGCCCGGGAAGGCTCGAGTTACGAGCTCATAAATGTGCAGGAAGACGGTGAGATAATGGATGATGAGCAAGGCCAGGTCAAACTGACTCCACCGGTCTTGGAGGTACGACTTGCTCATCTGCAAAAAGATGATTTTTTTATATGAAAAATGAGGATAGTTGAATTAAAAATTAATTTAGTTATGATCTTTGGATTTTGAAAAAGTAGTAATCATTAAAATCTCCACCCAAATATTCCACATTTTTTGACTCGCAATTTGCAGAAATCATCGAATTTTTTGTAAATTTCGATGATTTCCAGGGTCTAACTCGAATATTAAAACTTTGATGACACCTGGAGCATTGTTATAACTCTTCAAAGAAACCAGAATTCAACTTTTGTTCCGTTTCAAAATCTTCCACTTACCTTCAGCAATGTCTCGAATGTAAAGCACAACGTGATGATCACATCGACGACCAACAACCCGTACTCCAAGCTGGGCAACAGCTCTATCGTCTTGGGTGTGTGCACACAAACACTGATCATGGAGAAGAGACATGTCAACTTGAGAAACGTCTCAAATCCACTCATCAACACAATCGATTCTGCAACAGCGGCCTTAATTAGCGACATGACCGCAGGGCCTAATTAGGGAGGGGCCAAAAATAAACTGGACCAAAGGTTTTTTCGGTGGGTATTTAAAAAGTTTTTTCTTTTTTAATTTTTCGGACGTAATTTATTTTGCAATAAAAAATTCTGAAAAAAAATTCTGGAACCATACATCTTGCTTGATGGACGAGTAAAAGTTGAATTTACCTCCTATAAAAGGGCAAAACACTAGGTTAAATAAAAGGGGAGCCACTCCGTCTACAAGGCATGATAAGGAAGGGGGATTTCAAATTACAGAGTGTAAAGATTTGAGGGAAAAAGAGGCCGGTGAGATGGGCCGTGAAGCCCAGGACTCTGATTGGGACCTTAAACCCCCCAAAGTTTGGAGAAATAATAAAAAAAGTGGGGCGTGGATGCGCAATCTGACCCCAGTCCTCCAAAAAATCTCGCCCACTCTTCACAACATTCCTGCCCTGAGGGGTTTTCAGCCCCGGAAAGAGCCGTAACGAGTTTCCCTGACAAATTGAGTAAATTCCCGAGGACTTTGAGTGCACCGACCCTGAGGCGTGGCGGACGCATAAACAAGATATTTACGCGCGCCCGTGGCCCACATCATCACCGGCCCATCCATCCGGCCGACGGGGTTCTTCACCAAGTTTCATTAATGGCATTTTTGGCATTCGAAAAGTGTGGAAATTAAAAAACGACGGGAAAGTTCAAAAAATTGGAAAAAACGCCTGCGGCGAGAGGGAAAAGCGACAAGGAATTGCCTTAAAATCGAGTTTATTTGACAAGTTTCACACTTATCTTACACTTGAAGGGCAAATTTTGCATTTATGTTACACTTTTTTTCTACCAGTCTTCACGGAACTCCACAGAGCTCGGAAATTAGCATAACCCGAGGATAAACTCAATTTCCTGCACCAAAAAAGTCTGTCTGACCTGAGGCGAGAAGAGAGGTTATGAGGAACGCCCGGGTTTGGAATTTTAATGGAACCCGCGTTTAATGAGCCCATCAGCGCCGTTATGGTCCCGTTTCACACAGCCCGAGCCTACTCTATTTTGGGACCCGAGATTGCAAAGAAAAGTCATGGGAAAGTTGGGGCATAATGGGATCAAACAAAAGGGAGGAAACAAGCTGTTTATCCGCGAGATTATTTTATGGTTTCGCTGATATGAGTGGTTGAGTTATTGGTCGAGAGAATGGGCCCAAGAACTCGGTCTGCAGGCAGCAGCTTGAAAAGAGGTTGTTACTAGGCTTATCCACTAAAAATTAGAGGAGAGGGTAATAAATTTCGCACTATAAATTTCAAAAAAAATCATCAGGTATCTTCTAATTTTTCGAGAGAATCGAAAAAAATCTATTGCTCAGTATCTTGGTGGTATTTATAAGATACGGCAAATGTTAAAACCAACGTGTCTGCGCTCTTTCGGTTGCAAAATTAAAAGCATTTCCTTCACAAAATTCGAAGAGGGACTTTTAATTCGAGTACTTCCCTTATCACCTAACCTAATAAGATAATTTATGTCAATATTCTGCCTTACGTAAAGGTAACAAACGGACATTGAAGTATACCCATCACCCGGAAGTTCCTTTAAAGAACCTCTCCTTACCTGGTGCTTTTCTCTTCCTTGTGATCGCATCCATGGTCAGCAGCTCAGCCAACACCGCCACACTCTCTCTGGCCTGATGTACACGTGATGTGACCACCGAAGTCGGTCCATTCCCCATGTTGGAGGCTTTGGGCTGATCGGCCGCGGTCGTACTGCTGGTGGCGGCCGAAGATTTGCGCCGGGCCAACATGGCCGACGACAATATGGTTGCCTTGCACGCTAAAGGCAAAAATACAATAAATAACTCGAATCAACAATGTGATTTATAATTTAGAGAAAAAGTTCGGGAAAATATATGCAATTGCACATTTAACCTTAATTTATACACCTAAAACATAGATAGTAAAAAATAAATCATATTTAGAGCGGGTGGATAAAAGAACTGGTAGAGCCTCATCTAAACGGCCTATGATCTAGGTTTTGTCCATTCATGAAATTTAAACTCATTCGTCATATTGTTTTTTGCATTTTAATTTAACGGCTCATTAAATAAAGTTGTGCAAGAAAGTTAATTTTTGGACGAGTTCATAGGAAATATGACAGAATTATGACGCAATCTGAGCTTAAATTATATTAGCCACGTATTTTTCAGCATAAAAAATGAAACCTTGCAGAATTAGATATTAGACTAGGCCACACCCGAAAATCAAAAATATTTTAGTCCAACCACGTGTGTCCCAGTCCACGCCGCCGGGAACTGACACTCCAACAACAGATTGGAAGTTTCCAAACAAAATTCGGCCGGGGTGTTCAAGTTTCCAATCAAATTGTACACTCAATCCGCCCGAGAGGCGGCGTCGCCTCTTTTTTTATCTTATTATCGGCCGGCGCTGCCGTTGTAGCAAGAATTTAAGCGGGGCCCTCAGGCATTCTTCTTGGGACAATTAAATATTTCCCTTCTTTTGCTGCGCCAATTTTTTGAGGCGTGGAGAATGGGATAAACAAGTGGAATGTAAGTGGATAATGGAGAGGGAAAATTGAGGAATCACGGCAAATAGAAGCAGTAAATAGTGCTCTTGTGCGTGGAGGATGACACAAACAATATTTTTCCTATTCAAAAGTATAAAAAAATATTTTCCAAATTGAGGTTTTTTTGATCTTCGGGATAAAAGTCGCCGAAAATATCAAAATTTTCTGGCTTGGATAAATTTTTTAACGCGAGAAATACTGTAACAAACGTATCGTTATTTTTCAATAAAACTTTTAAAACCCTATCGTTATTTTTCGTTGGCCTTGACTTTCTAGACATGATTTAAACCAGTCAAAAAAAAATTAAAACCGAGATTTTTCAATTTCAAGGCCAAAACCCCTAAAATCACCGTTTTGTTTACATTTTACTGGCTGAAATTTGCGGTAATCAGCCTGTCATTCTATTTATACAGCGTTCAAACACTGGCCCTCCGCGGAATAATCTTTTGTTCTTGCCCTGGGGCATTTAATCGTCTTACCCTACTTTTTGGCTTAATGAACAGCCCTCAGAACTCTTTTAGGAACAATTTATGGAGCCGAAAATTGCTTGACGCCGGAGAGAATTGTCAAAGACAATTTTTATTCTTTGCCTCAGGGCACGTGAAAGCCGTTGGAAAAGCGTTGTAAACAAAAGTAGGGACGTGACCACGATTATTGTGGATGTCATCGTAGTCAATACGCAAATAATAGAGGAGAGATTGCTTGAAATATATGCAAAAATAACGTTTGCTATGTCAATTTGAAATATTTTTTTGAAAATTTGATTTTTTTTTTTTTTTTTTTTTTTTGAAAATTCGCTTTCTAACTTAGCATCTTTTGCAATTCAGCAGCCGCAAAAACAAATTTTTCGCTTAAAAAACAATTTTGAACTTCCTCGTAAGCAAAACATTATTAAAAATTCAAATTTCAAAAACAAAAACCTCAACAATTTTCAGTTCAAACTCAAAAGCACCCCAAATTTTCCCAAGAATTTGGCCAGAAACCGCATCTCCGCCATGTCCAGAATATTAAATAAACAAAGAAAGTCATCAAAAAACATTTAGGACCGAGATTTGCACGAGATTTCTGCAGTCGCGACTGTCATTCAAGATTCCCGAAATTTCAGCCGGAACTCTTCCCCAACTCCGCTCTGTCCCCGCTCTTCCCGTGCCCATGCTCTTCCACAAATTAGGTTTAAACGAATTAAGAAATCAAGGAAGAGGGGCGGGGCCATAAAATGCAAAAAAGATGATTCGGAATAAACAAACTTTTGGAAGGGCGAACGGAAATTGGTGAAACAATTACACTTGGGTGGCAGTGCGCCGCGAGAAACGCATTAAATGTCACCTAAACATGGGGCCGTTCAGGGATTTCCCCCAAGAGTCCGCGGCCCGCCGCTCATTTGGTTCAGTCATATTGGAGTAGGTTCAGATATGTTGCTTTTGTGAATTCATTAGTGGCAAATGTAACCTACTATAGTATGGGAAAAAAAATTCCTGCAATTTGGAGTGGGTTATAAGTTCTACAAGGCTAAATTTGGTTAAAGTCAAATAATTTTAAAATTATGAGGCGCAAAAATCCCAAAATTAATGGTTGAAATGATGAGAAAAAGATAATTCAACAGGAAAAAATTGTATTTTAGAAGATTACACATTAAATTTATTTAATTTTTTACCTAGCGAAAGTCATCTCTATGTATAGTAATATACGTTTTTTTCAAAAATAAAAAAATGGCGCACTGTGCGCAAAATCTGTAAATTATGCAAAATCTCGGTCTATGATGAAATTAGAAAAAAATGTTAATTTCGACTTGGGAATAGTCAAAGTTTAGCCACCTTATAACCGTTTTTTGGAAAAATCCAAGATTAGCGCATAGTGCACGAATTTTCGCCCCTAAAGTTGAAAACAAGCCCATCTATGGAGTAATTCATAGCTCCCCTCAAACACCACGACCACTTCCTGAAGCCAGGTGACTTCGAGATGACATCATGACTTTGAGCTTTATGAAAAAGTCATCAATATTCAACACTAGGGGGGCAATAATTTACTGAAGTTGTTGAAGAAAGCGGAATGTCGGTGGGGGGAATTACTCGAAAATGCAAAAAAATGTGTCAGAACCCGGATTTTTTGAATGGAAAAAAACAAAAAAAAACGAAAAAAAGCCGAGGATTTGGGGAGTCTCAGAAAGTCGAACTTTTACTTCGTACCTTCTAAACCCCTGCGGGCATAACGACCTTCCGACGCACATTTGATGCTAATTTTATCGAATTCAGCATGTGTTCCGAGTATTTTATATTTACGGGCATATGTGCCAAGTTTCTGGGGCATTTCGCCTGAGGGTTTTACGAGTTTTCCCGGTGTTTATGGCCATAATTCTTGTCGGACAGAAGTTAAAAATGAATGATTTTTGAACTTGATTCAGTTATTTGCGAAAGACTATTTTTAGAATTAAAAAATATATATTACACTTGATCCAATCGCAAAAAAATGTGCGTAAAAGTTATTAAATTATAATACAAGTACTCACCGAGGATTCTGGCAGTCCCACTCATCTCCAGCAAAGATCCAAGGGCTCTTCGGTCCACAAAATCCGGATCTCGGCCTGAAATGTCATTACTTTAATCTTTATTTAGTCATCATTAAAACGAATTGTTCCTCAAAAACTATCTCTCTGAAAGAGATTATTCTTCCATGACTAAACGTTTCCCTTGCCAAAACCGACAATTAGTAATAAATTTGATTTCAAGGATAATATTTTATTACACTTGATGTGGATCTAAAGAATATATCCAAAAACTGGCCTAAGGAAGATTCTGTGTTCTAGTCTCGAACTCGTCTACATAGCTATTCATACCCCATCCAAAATACGATTAATCGGAGGTTGAATTCGTCGAAAACGCGAAGGAATTCCCTCCGCACCGTGCGGAGAGCCTAATGAAAATCTCCAAAAGGTTCTGAAGGACCACTTTATGCCACTGTTTCATAAACAAAACTTGGCCACAATTGGTTTCACTTCCGTCCCGTTTTCGAACAAAAAATATAGAGAATAAAAAGGCGGGCCCACGAAAATAACTCATTTGGATTTGGGAGAATGGAGATGTCTAGTGTTATATGGATGACAATCAAGAGATTGTTTTTGTTTGCACCGTGCTTGACTTTGGACGCCGCCCGGGTTTCCAATTCTTCGCGGTTCACGGGATTTGACAACATTTTTTCGTCTGTGAACTTTATTTACAAGTGGGAAATGAAAAGTGCCTTAGGCGTTCATAGTTTCACGCAGTTTTAAGTGTCATTATAAAATAAATTTCAGTGATTTACTAGTGACTTTGCAGGCTATAACATTTAATTTTTGCACGCCCCGACTTACGAACTGATCTGGACGGCCTGAGAATGTGCCGTTGAGGACTGTTGGTACTCAGCCGAAACACATTTTCGGTATTCATCCCTAAAAACAAAACAATTCTTAAATATTCTCACAATAGAATAGAACCATGCAAAAAAAGCTCAGGAATCTGGGCCGAAAAACAAAGAATCTGGACGACTTTTGGAAGAAGTACATCCGACTTCGTGTAAATGAGATTAGAACGTCGTGTGGCGGATGGTAATTCCATCCAACCTCCCCACATTCATCATCATCACCAGTGGGCCCGCAAATTTTGATGAGGAAGGGCTTCCTCGGATTCGGAACATTTCACAAATAGGATAATTAAATTATAAACAAAATGACATACAAAACAAGCCGTTTCTTTCCGGTGTCCCTATTCACAAAGTAGGTCAGGATAATTCAATTATTTTTTATATTATCCATGATGTGCTGGTTAGACTCCAAAAACCTTTTTGAAACATTGCAAAGGTCCCTTCTTCTTCTTATAACCGCAGTCCATGGATATGCAAATTAAGTTCTGGTTATTTAATTCGACATGTCACAACCGGAGAGCCTTGGGGGATTATCTAAAAGGCCAGTTAATCCATTGACCTCCTGGCCCCAACCCAACATTAAAAGGACGACTTCTTCAACGCCATTATTCATATTCAGACCACCAACACTTCAAACACAGTTTATTACACAAACAAAGTTACATTACACTAGATTTTTACATTATCCTTGACATGTATTTAGTTTTATTTGTGATCTCGAGTCAGGAATGTAACAAATTACAAAGTAGTTCTTAATCCAGTTAATCATCTCTTACTAGTTGATCTCTATAACATGCGCGGGTTCGCCCGAGGAGGGGCCGGCAACACCTGGGGTTGGGAGTCTTCTCTTGAGGAGGCGATCGGCCATTGCCTTCGCATAAGCGAGACGGCGTTGGATGTCATGGGGACATCCTTCTTCGAGATGCTTCAGCTGGTAGGTCTGGCACTCTCGCTTGACATTGATATAGGTGGCGGCAGTCATCACCGATGAAATAATGATCTTGGTGTGGTCCTGAAGCAAAGATAAAACAAATTAATATCCCAAATAAAATTTTCATCGTTCCCGACAGCTCTAAAATACGAGATACCCAACTCTGGCCACAAATACCCCCCAATATCTCCTCACCTCAAAGAAATTGACTTGCAAAGTTCCATCAGTCATCAAGAAGATGATGGCCGAAGTTGTTCTGAACCAGACAGTCATCTGCGGCAAGCGGGAGAGTTCATCTCCTTGTCTCTTCATGCTCTGGCCAGCCGTAAGCAAGTGCTTAGACATGTATCCGCGGAAGTATCTGAGCAATGTCAACTTCTTTTCCAAAACTGGTGGATATTGGGACATGGTGTAATACATCTCAGTATTATCCCTCTCCGTGTATTGTATGTTCCTAAAAAGAATTTGTAATACCGTTTACCCGTCATCTGTAAACCCAAAACGTAACTTACTCTCCAGTTCTGTCCACAATAGCCTTGGTCTGATCGTTAAAAATAACTCCAACACTCTCATCTGATAATTGATACGATAGCCCATATTTGTTCGAGTAGTCCACCCATTTGGCAATCCAATAGATCGGAGCAGAGGCCGGATCTTGCTCTTGGACATCCACTAAACACAAAAATTATGTTTAACACAATAAAAAATTATATTATACATGACCGCCTTACTCGGAGTATCTCTTCTGATTCCCTCGTTGAGGAATGGAGACAAGATTCGGCAAAGTTTCTCCAAGTGGTCGTTGATGCTGATTTCATCCTGATCGGCGGGAGCTCGGGTCGTGGCAATGACCACTGAGGCATCCTAAAATAAAACTTGGCATTAATAATATAGCACAAATAATTCTTCTCATTATGTGATCCAATCGCTCTGACCTGCTTCACTCTTGGCGATGGTTCGTTTCTCAGCTTGAGGGCGTTCATCTGGTTCACCGGGTCTCCCAAATGCATCCTAGTTCCATGTGGAATAGGGCCTCCGGAGACCGCGTCCACATTGAATCTAGGAGCCGAGACCAAACAAGAAGTGGGAAGGGCCTTGGGCATGAATCCATCGGTAAAGAAGGGATGCTTTCGAATATCAAATACGCTTGGTCGATTTTCCGGATGGGCAGCCAGAAGAGCATTGATCAGATTACAGGCATCTTGACCAATCCTTTTGGGGATAATATAATCGTTAGTTTTGATCTTGGAATAGGTTTGCTGCAAATAATAGAAGAATCAGATCAAAATTGAGAAATTGGGATATTCACCACGCAAATCGAGTTAAACATTAAAAAAATTTACTTTGAGAGACTCGGTTTCGAACGGCGGTTTGCCACAAAGAAGAGTGTACAAGATGCATCCAATCGCCCAAATATCAACTCCATAGGAATGCCCGGCCTTCATCAACATCTCTGGAGCAATATAATTGGGAGTTCCACATAAAGTTTGCTTCTTTTGTCCGTCAAATTCAACCTTTGTGGCTAAACCAAAGTCTCCAATCTTTAGGACGATATCATCATTGAGAAAGAGGTTTCCAAGTTTCAGATCTCTGTGAATAATCTTCTGGGAATGGAGATATTCACATCCAGCAACCAACTAAAAGATAGAATTGAAAATTGATTTTGAAATGGTGAAGCAAACATCAAAAGCAATGGAGATGGGAGTAAAAGTACCTTTCCTCGGAAGAAAAGATCATAACTGCTGGAAGCTATGCTTTTAACACCAGTATTACCTGATCCGTGAAATATCGAGCTTCGGGTTCTGTGACTGTTCGTCGACGTTTGCTGAGCTCCATCAATGATCGTCGAGCACACAACTCCAACAAGACATAAACATTCTCGTCATCCTCAAAATGTCCCAAAATGTTGACAACATTTGGGTGTTTTAAAGTCGAATGGATTTTGATCTCTTGGACAACCTAAAGCAACGCCCAGTTGGTCTTCTTCAACAAAATCTAAACGCAAAAAGAGGACAAAAGTAACGATCCTCACCTTCTCTCGCTGGCTCTTCTTCATCAACAAGGTCTTGGAGATACATTTTCCGGCATAAATCTCGTCGCTTCGAATTAATTCATAACACCTGGCAAATCCTCCCTTCCCTAAGAACTTTCCTCGTTGGAATTCGGTCAAGCGACCCTCAATCTTGCCCTTTACCACCAAGGGAACATCTTTTATTACTGGTTTAGATCGAGAATCGCTCATAGCTGAAAATTCCCATATTATCAAATCAAAATATTGCTTTAGGCGGCAAAAAGAACAAAGGATAACATAAAGCGCAATATTACTTTAGGTTCTGACTTCCGGAGTAAAAAACTGCTGTCCAAAACCGAGAAAAGGTCGTTTTCAACCGCGCAAAATCAGCAGAGAATTTTCAAATAAATTTTGCCGCTCAAATGTTTTCGTGGTGGGAGAATTTTACCCAAAAGACGGGTGTCGTAAAACTGCAATTTTACAACGAATCATCAAAGAATAGCCGTAATGCAAGTATTTCCGACTATTTTCGAACCACAAAGCACCTTTGATAAAAAAATTTATTATATTATCTGTAGAATTAGACTTGATATTATTGATCAATCCTGTCGCCCAATCCCCAGTACCAGTCGTTACTTGTCTTATCCAGTCGGATGCACTTATCTCGAATGATATTCTGATTCAGCCCAAATTGGGCAGATTCATCCAAAACATAGCCTGGTTCATAAAAGCCGCCTCTTTTGTTGTACATGGCTTTGATCGGGATTTTTAATTCTTTCTCTCCTGGCAAAGAAACGATGATGACTTCAGGTAATTTAGCAAAGTCCTCTTCTACGATATGCTTGTTAGCCAGTCCGCCGAAGAAAAGATTCGATGTTTGGGAGTTGAATGAAAAAAAGGGGCCGAACCGAAGGAGAACGTCCCATTTCTCCTGCTTGAACTCAGAATCTGGCTTGGCGTAGCTGACACTAAAATTTTTAGTGTAAATTTGAAAAAATAATCATAATTTTGCTTACTTTACGTTGGCCATAAGGGCTCGGTCTACTTGGGCAGCAGTGGAAATGAGCCCAATCGGAACTAAAGTGGTGTTTTGGAAGTTGCAGAGATTCTCAGGAACCGCTCCAATATACATCCCAGCGTGGTGAGACTGAAATACGATCCTTGCTGTACAATAAAACAAGGCTTTAAGAGAAAAACTATGATTTTTGTATATAATTGAAGAAGCGCTCTATGATATTTTTTTTTATTTTGTGAGCATGACCTGCTTTGGGCACTTATCAATCTTTAAAAGTTTTAACTTTTACGCTGCAGGCAGAGCTGGTATATGAAAGGTGTTTGTGGAACGAAATACCTATCATTATTTCGCCAAAATGCTTTCCAAACCTACCGAAGGACTAGTCGGAACAAATGTAATCATCTTTTCAGCCACCCCCACAATGGCCTCATTAAAAAAATTGGGCTCATTGCCACGGAAGATCATAGGCAGGTATCCATCATAATTGTTGAAGGTCCTGGACTCCAGAGTATCTGTTTCTGCGTCGCTGTCAGGGGTTTTACGAACAGTTGCCAGCGAACCGTTAAAGCTGTAATTTCCAACCTAAACAGCATTTGCAGCGCTAATTGCACTCACCTTGAAAAGAAAGGATTTTTCCTTGAAATATCGCAACACGAGACCGGGCGCAAGGTTCACATCGATAATTTTTTCGGCCCTTCTGAAATAAGGAAGAATAAAAGATGTTGGAGATGTCGGCCTTTACAACTCTTTAGCTCACCGATCATCCAGCCCATTTACAATGGTCCTGAAAGTCAAGCATTTCTCGAGCAAACACTGAGACGAGAACATTGTTACTGTTAGAAAACTCGCTTCGAAAATTGTCATTTCCACATTAAAGGTTTTTGCTGGGTTACCGATATATAAAGTAATTACTCCATGCTCTAAAACCAGGCTCCTTTCAGACTATTCCAGCGTCTTCTCACCCGGGTAGTACTGTGCCGGTGCGTAGATTACACATTTTGCTTTCGATTGCAGCAATATGAATATTAGACACAGCTGAAAAATCATCTTTAAATCCATTAAAGAAAGGAGAATGATCCTCCCTATGTGCTTATTTGAATTTTTATTACATTTTATTGGTCTAATATGGAAGCGGGATGACAAACAGCCATTTATTTAAATCTTCATAACGTAAAGCATTTTAAACTTTTATATCACGACTAATTAATAAAACTGATTAATTATAAGGCATGGCAAATTCAAATCATAAACATCTTTCATTATTGTACAGACCAATTGAACGCCCTTGTTATTCCAATTTCAGGTTTAATGGTTCTATGGGAGAATCCCCAAGTCCATTCTCCGCTTGTTTTGTCCAATCTAAAGCACTTATCCTTGATAGTCGCTTGGTTCAATCCAAAATCGCCGGCCCATCCCTAAAATAGCAATGTAGATTGCCAAAATGATCGAGCATAATCTACACGACTAAACATACTCCAATAATGTAAAGTGGGTAGTAAAAGCCACCATCCTTCGCGTAAAAGCTTTCTCTCAAAATTACAACATGTCCAATACCGGGTAAAGGTACCGTAATATTCGGGGGAAGGGCCTGGAAATCTTTCTCCGAAATCCGTTTCTCTGCAACTAATCGACCAAAGAATTTGGTCGCGGGGTTTTGATTAAATACAAACTTTGGCCCTGCGGCAATGAAAACGTTCCAATCATACGTGTTGGCTCCAAAAGTGACACTAAACTTTTATGTTTTTCCACAAGAATTTGTTGTTTACCGTGAATGGTTCATTAGCAATAAACTGTCAGTTCCATGGGCCTTTCTCGTTTGGACCATCTCGCCGAATGGCTCGCATAGGTTTGGAGGGTAGTCTCCTATGTACATGCCTGATTCAAGTGACTGAAAAATTAGGAAAATGATGACTAAATTAAGTTCAAGGCAATGCGTCAAGCGTTGGTGAAAAAAAACAAAGCCGAAGACGTCGTTGTATTAAAGCTGTCGAATCCCGCAGCTTACCCCAGATATTGCTGGAACAAATGTGACTGTTCTAGGCTCCAATGGAACATGTTCAAAAGCCGTATCAAATAAATGATCACGTCCAAAACGCAGAGGAAGATACCCTTCAAAATGTTTGAAACTTTTTTCTTCTAAATCGCTGGTGTCCAACAGATCTCCGTTGGGATGAAAGGTGGAAAAGTCGGCGGTGAATTTGAGCGAACCAACCTGCAAAAAGTGTCATAAATTTTGACAAATCAAAAATTTCTTGTGTTCTTTGAGCGCACTTACAGCAATTGGAACCGAATTTAAATTCTCGCAATTAAGACCTGGCAGAAAGGTCGAAGTATTGTTATGTTGATCATTTCTGAAGAAGCCTAAATTGTAATTAATGTTACATACGAATCGTCATAAACATGAAGAATGTCCCTGAAATTTAGACATTGTGTAGTCAGACATTCCTTGCTAAAAACGATTGTTTTGTCGAGTAGAGTTGTCAAGTCTAGATTGAAAGTCTCTTGCTGAGCACCAACTCGAATTGAGACTGTTCCGGTATCTGTAATTTCATTCGTTGCACGGGTGTTTTTATACCTGAGAAGTATTGAGCCGGTATTCTGTGAGAATTTGCGATTGCAACTACAACAAATAACAGATACAGATGCATTGTGCAGCCTATTTGAAATGTAGAGAGAAAACGTTCCATCTTCTCTTGATTTCAATTTTTATTACATTTATTATTATTATGTATTTGCATGAGAAGATCCAGATAAAAGGCTACCTTTTATTGCAAGTTGAGAAGCGTTATTGGCTTGACTCATACGACGATCCCTAAGTTTTATCGGGATATTAAATCGATTCGAGACCGGTGCAATAAAAATTTATTCAATTTTAAAAACATGTTACTACTGGTTGAATTCATCTATAATCCAGACTTCGGTTTATAAATTTTCCAACTTACCACAGGGACATCGTATAAAATATCGCTTATTTTGAAATTTGAAAAGTTTCTGAATAAATCAATAGTTGCATTCCGCCCACCTCCACGTTCGCCGAAAATTTATTTTTATTTGCGGATTTTGTATTGTTGATCAACAATCCCCAGGATGTCCTCAAATGCGGCCAAGGGATCGGCTGGAGTCTGTGCAGTATCAACTCTGTTCCTGGTTTACGCAGTCACCACATCCGGCTCGTTGGTACTGACGGAATGTGCCTGGCTGAGCGCGTTTTCAACCGCAGTTCTTGTTGTTGCTACATACGGGGATAGTCTAGCCAAGAGGAAGGGAAAAGGTGGAAAGTAAGTTGTTTGCAGTTTTTCTTTAAAGATTTTAGGATGTTACACTTGATATCAACAACTGTATCGCTGATTTTCTAGGTATACATATGGATTTGCCCGAGTTCCAGTCCTCGCTGTATTTAGTTCCACCGCTTTGGTCCAACTGTCTTCAGTTTTCTTGTTGAAAGAGAGTTTGGAATCGATATTAGATTTAGGACATCATCATGGTGCACATGAATCAAACACATCGCTGTTCATTCTCTCAGCGATAGCAGTGTCTCTCTCATTAGTATTGGCTGCCTATGCGATCCCTCATAATCCTTTTAATCATGTTTTGGCCGCAGCTTCTTCATCTATTGTTCAAGTGGGTTCAGTTTTACATGATATGTGGTTTTTTAGGTATAATTAAATCGCTTGCTTAGGCACTGAGGACCTTAAAGAAGTTGTCAATCTAAGTTTGCGTTTTCAGGAGCACGCCGCTGATCTTTCCCACGCCATTTGCAGTGTTATCCCAGGACTCTCCCGAATTCTTCTTCCAAGAATCAACGCCTTAACCTTGCTGGCCTCCTTATCTACAGTATCGTGTTTCCTCACAGTCAACCTCGTTGAGTCTTATGAGTGGATTGATGCTATATGCGCTGTTTTTCTCGCCTTAGCAGCCTTCTCCACTATGATGCCGTTATCAACTTATACTGGTCTTATTCTTCTTCAAACAGTCCCAGCTCATGTCCGAAATCAGATTGATCGATGTTTGGCGGAGGCTCAGACCATTGAAGGAGTGTTGGAGCTGAGAGAAACTCATTTTTGGCAGATAGACTTTAGCCAAATCGCTGGTTCGGTTGATGTTCGGATAAGAAAAGATGCCAATGAACAGCTGGTGTTAGCGTCAGTGACGGAGAAACTGAGTGGCTTGGTCAATACTCTTACTGTGCAGGTGGGTAAAAATTTATTTTTGAGGATTTCGGTAGAAAACTTAATTTTCGACAATTTTGATGTCAACCATAAATGGATAATTATTTAAAATTTATACCTTTTTCTTACCAGTCTCTATTTTGAGGTTCTAAAAGACGTAACGACCTCCTGGAACACCCTTCATGCAGCTGTAGGCCCTCCACCTGTCCCAATTCAAGGTTATCATCACTCAACTCCAGTTGAACATCATGATCATGGCCATGAACATGGCCATTCTCACGACCATGGGGCACATGGGCACTCTCATGACCACGTTCGTCACCATTAGAATTTTCTGGAACCGGTATATACTGGTGGATTTCACGGTCTGCTTTTGAATGGACATTTAACTACTGAAATTTTGGAGCACGGTGACTTCTGGAGTCCCTTTTTGAGCCGGGTAAATTCCCTAGAAGGTTGAAAAAGAGGTTATCTTGCTCTAAACATAATTTATTATTGTTTTCAATATAATTTGTTGTGTGTTAGTCGCCTGTGATAAAGGGTAATATTATAACTGAAGAAGCGCTTATGAAAGATTTATATTGGTTGGCCTTGCGTCAAAAAATAAATATTCAGTAAATAAATTTGCGGGTTTATTGCCGTATCCGGAATCTATGGGATTTTTATAGTCTGAAAATTAAAATGAGTTTTGCTAATGTCATGGGTAATATAATTAAGCGGCTGTCTTGTCGTTCTCAGGTACTGAACTATGAGATGATCTCCTCGATGACTCCTTGCTCTTTGGTGGGGCCTCCACAACCTCCACGGATGTTGTATCATCGGTCGGACGTTCTTGATCATCACGAGTTACATCAATATCACCAATAATTTCGTCATCATTCTTTGGATCGTTCACGTCTTTAATGATCTGTTTGGACGATCTCCTAGACTGATTTGTGTGACCTTTCCCTTGCCTTGAAGAAATCACTGATCCACGTTTTTGGGGTACTGTAGACTGTCTTCTGCTTGCCGCATTTGATTGGAGAACATTGGAATGACTTCTTGATCTGCCCGTCTTTTGCTCTGATTGCCCCGATTGGACGGAGATCCGAGAAGATCGCCTTCTGAGACTGGACGAACGACTCCGAGCTGGTGTGAGCAGAGGCGTAGGCATTAGCGACGTAAACCCGCTCGGCAGATATCCCAGCCGCCTCTGGACGTCATGGATCTGGCGCTTTAAGCCGGAAATTAGCTTTTTCTGGTCCGCCATCCGCTCCTTCAGTATCTGCTCCTTGGCAATCATTCGGATCTCGTTCTGAAATTACTTTTTAATTATATTTCACACCTTTCCGGGGCAAATAATTATATTATCCATGACAGGATTATCTTATCTGGAGTAATTCATTTATCTCTTACGTCCTCAATTTCCATCAACAGTGACTTCTTTTGTCCCAAAAGTCTTTGTTCTTCCGTCTTGATCTCTTCCAGCTTGGCGTCATCTTTTTTTCGATTCTCCATGGCATCTTCGAGTTCGGGTAAAAACTTTGTTTTATCCCCCAATTCTTTGAAATCAAACGATTTGAACAGTAAAAATAGCTTTGCAATCCATTCCTTGGCAGTTTGCCCATCTTCAGCTGGTTTCAACATGTCCAAGTCGCTGTTTTTCATACTCACATTTATGCGATTTACACTGTCATAAACCTAAAATAATGTCATAAGCCATCAAAATAAATGGATAACATTAACAGTGATGCAAATTGTCGACTATTGCTTAATAATTTAACTCCTTACGTCATCAATGAGGTTGACCGTGTTCTGCACCTCTACATTAATATCATTCCTTGTTTTACTGACGATTCTGTGTTTTACATCCGATAAATCTCGTGTTAAAGGGATCAGCAGTTGAAGGTTTTGTCTGAAATACCAAATGAACTTTTTTTACCGTAATCCCCCTCCACAAATTCCAGAAATCCGTCAACTTTCTATAAAATCGGCCATCATGACAAAATTTCTGGAAGATGCAAAAATTTTACCGAATCGACTCAGTTTTTCGTTGACGGATAATCTGCCGGTACTGTGCAGTCAGTTTGTTGTCGTTTTTGATGTTCTGCAGCATCTTCTCGCGCAATCTGGCCCTCAACAATAGTTTGCTCAATCCCGAGATATTCCTGTGGGATTTTCTGTGCTTTCGATGCCTTCTAATTCGTATTTTAGCGATCTTTGAGGCCGCCAACTTCCCTATCATCTCATCCATGGTCTTCGTCTTCTTTTTCTTCTTTCTTTTCTTTTTAGGTTTTTCTTCAGGATTTTGTTGAACTTTCACCATCTTTTTGACTATTTTCCGGCCAGGTTTCCTCGTGACCCGTCGTTTTCTGCGCTTTCGACCTAAAATTGTATAATTTATGGTCTATTTTATCGTAAACTTGTCTGGCGTAGTTATTACTCGGTTTTTTCTACAAATTTTGGGCATTATTTTATATTATCAATCCTTTCAGATGTACCAGGCCCCTCAAAGACAGCCTGATATCCTCGAAGTCCAGAAATTCTCGCCCGTTCCGACCAATCTCAATCTAGATTCGACCCTCAACGACAGTACCAGTCCCCGTTCAACTCACGAGCAAGGGGCCGACGTTCAGACTCTGACTTTTGCATTGAACAAGGAAAAGAAGCGGTTTAGCAGCTTGAAGAATACGTTCCTATCGGACAAGGGAAAGGTAAGAGCTCAATTGGGAATATGTTGAGTCAGTTTAGGAAGGAAGTTTGAGGTTTAATGTGTCCGGAAAGGCGGTTTTTACGGGTCAGAAGGCTGGAAATGGCATGGTGATGTTTGAAGTGGCGGCAAGGGGATTCTCCATCAAAGACGGGGGCTATTTTTGTACCTTGACGTGGAATGTGAGGTAGTTTTCTTATTTGACGATGTTTACGAGTGTCGTCACAATAAGAAAGATAAGGCAGTACGCTTTTTTTGGTGGTCCGACTACCTGAAACAACATGCCGAGTAGCCGGGGGAGAACAATTAAGCGAGTTATTCCTCGCCTGTTCCCACTGCAAGCAGGATTAGCCATTTATTTTTGAAGGCCGTTTGTCCCACGAATTTCTGGAGATGTATTTGTTTTAGAAACGGGTTTTTTCTGGGGGAATGCCATTGATTCCTTTTGGGCCCATCCCCCCAAACGTCCCCAGCCCCCACGAGAATCCCCGGAAGGAAAACACGCCGCCTAACTCTCGGCTTCCCAGCGTAATGTAAATCACGGGCTGTAATTAGACAAAGTTGCGTAACGCCACTTGTTTTCCGGGGGATTAAAATGCTCCGTTTCTTTTTTGAGCTATTCAAATTGGTTTTAGGGTCACTGATTTTGTTTTGTTTCAGAAATTCCAATCCTCTGATCTGCTGACCGACCCCAAAATGCAGACGGTAAGTATTTTATATTGGTTTTTTTGAGTTTAGGTGCTGAGTAATCTCAAAAACCATGAAATTGGAAAGTTTGAGAGGAAATAAGTGTTTTGAAACATGTGGAAGTTGCAAGATTTTCTTATCAATTTTTAATTGTTTTTGGCTAACGTAATATCTAGCAACAATTAATTTTACGACTTTTGTTGACCTAAGTTTATGTACGAACTGCCCAAGTTAGTATTTTTTGTTGCAAACTGAAGAGTATCCAATCTTATTAGCTAAAATAGCTATGAAAATGTCAAAAACAAGAGGTATTCGCTCCCACGCACCAATTTACAATCACTGGCAGCTCTGATTGATAAGTATAATAATAACGGAATGACCTTTCGCCACTCTCTCCCCGAGCTCCAAGTAGACTTGACACTGGGTTGAGTGGGTCGCTGCCAGCAGAAAAAAGAAAGACGGAGACGAAAAATCGGTCCGGTCATTCTCTCAATTCAGCTCTTTTTTTCAATCTGAAGTTAGGACGGGACTTATTAGGCAAAGTTTTTTCTGGACGCGGCCCCAATTCCCGCCGCTTTTCTGGGCCCATTGCATGCCCTAGGCGTTTGCGGGGCTTTTTCTCTTGGCAAAATATCGGATTTTTTCGTTTTTACTCCTTTTATGTACGGTTAAAGTATTGGAAATAACTTGGATGACCTCGGGCGCTCAATGGTTCGCTTTTATATGAACGGAGGTGTTTATGATCGAACGTAGAGGGGATTTGCTTTGTTTTGAGTTAGATTAGGGTTAGTTTGACGAGTTTGGCATTTTGGGGAACAGGTTTATATTACTCTTGCCATTAATAAGTGCCCTTTTATGCTGATGTTGTGGGTCCGTTCGGTAAATTAATTTGAAAAGGATGGAAAATGAGATTTTAGTAGTTTAGAGACCTTATTTTTGTTATGAATTGGCTCCATCACCTTTAAAATTGGATTATGTGACACTTGATCCCTTGGAAAAATCGCTCTATTTTTTGTCGTTTATATCCCTATGCGACCTAAAAATATTTTTTGTTGAGTCGAAACTGATTTTTAATCGCTTGAGAGAAAAGATTTTGAGATCTTGAAGAATTTTTTTTTTCAATTTAATTTTACTTGATGTTTTAAATCTTAATTTGAATGTTCTTATTTTCAGGTAAAGGCAAACATGCCAGCGGTGAAAGGTGATGGCATGCGTGGCCTGGCCGTCTTCATATCCGATATCCGAAACTGCAAATCCAAAGAAGCCGAACTCAAACGAATAAACAAGGAGTTGGCAAATATCAGGGCCAAGTTTAAAGGTGAGTCATTGCGTGTTTTAACATTTGCTTTGTTCTGCGTTTAGGCGACAAGACTTTGGATGGATATCAGAAGAAGAAGTATGTCTGCAAGCTCTTATTCATCTTCCTTTTGGGGCATGACATTGATTTTGGCCACATGGAAGCGGTCAATCTTCTCAGCTCAAACAAATATACCGAAAAACAAATTGTAGGCAACTTTTTTGATGCGATTTTGTCTATAACTTTGATATTTGAGGCTTATTTTTCTCATGTTTAATATAATCCTTTTTCAGGGATATCTGTTTATATCAGTCCTTATAAACCTCAATTCCGAGCTGATCAAGCTGATTATCCAGTCGATCAAGAACGATATCTCTTCAAGAAATCCCATTCACGTTAATCTTGCCCTCCAATGCATCTCAAATATTGGATCCAAAGATATGTGCGAAGCCTTCTCGCAGGATCTTTTGAAATTGTTGGTTTCTGGGTGAGTCGATTTTTTGTTTACAGTTGTTGGAGTTGACTTTTGTATGGTTTATTTTTTCAAATTGGCGATTCTTACGTTGTACATGGCGTTTTTTCAGTGATACGGTTGATTTCGTTAAACAGAGTGCTGCTCTCTGTCTTCTGAAACTCTTCCGCACCTCCAACCATGTCCTCCAGCCTGGGGAGTTCTCTTCTCGCATCGTGCACCTCATAAATGACTCTCATTTGGTAAGTTGATTTTATTTTATTCGATTCTTCCGCTTTTAGGGAGTTGTAACTGCCGCAGTCTCGTTGATTGAAGCCCTCAGCAAAAAATGGCCTGAAGAATACAAGGGATGCGTCCCATTGGCCATCTCCAGACTCAGCCGAATTGTGACCTCTACCTATACGGACCTTCAAGATTACACTTACTACTTTGTCCCTGCCCCCTGGCTGTGTGTGAAATTATTGAGGCTACTTCAAAATTACCCCCCTCCAGAGGATCCGGGCAACAGATCGCGGCTTTTTGAATGTCTAGAGGGGATTTTAAACAAAGCTCAGGATGCTCCCAAATCGAAGAAAGTCCAGCATGCAAATGCGAAAAATGCAGTCCTTTTCGAAGCAATCTCGCTTATTATTCACCATGATACGGAGCCGAGTCTACTGGTCAGAGCCTGCAATCAGCTGGGAACTTTCTTATCGCATAGAGAAACTAATTTGAGGTAAAGGTTTAAAAGATTTTTGTATTAATTTGGATATAATTATTGAGTTTGGTGAGAAGGTCCAAAAAATATTTATTTTTTTGCAGATACCTTGCTCTCGAGTCCATGTGCCTTCTGGCTACGTCAGAATTCTCCCACGAAGCCGTCAAAAAGCACCAGGACACGATAATAAACTCGCTGAAAACGGAACGAGATGTGAGTGTCCGACAAAGGGCCGTCGATCTTTTGTATGCAATGTGCGATCGGTCAAATGCTGTGAATATTGTGAATGAAATGCTCAGCTATCTGGAGACGGCTGATTATTCGATTAGAGAAGAGATGGTGCTGAAGGTGGCGATTCTGGCAGAGAAATATGCAGCGGAATACACTTGGTATGTGGATGTGATACTGAAATTGATCAGAATCGCTGGAGATTATGTCAGCGAAGAGGTTTGGTACAGAGTCATTCAGGTAAGAAGGATATCTTGCAAGATATACCTTGGAGAGTGAATTTGGGCATGTTCAGAGGGTTTTTGGATAAAAATTTGCATTTCTTTTGCCGTGTGAAAAGGAAAAAACGCTGTTTTTTGGTTAAATAATAATACTTTTCTGTTTTTAGATAGTGGTAAATAGAGAAGACGTGCAAGGGTACGCCTCGAAGACCGTCTTCGAAGCCCTCCAACGTCCCGCTTGTCATGAAAACATGGTCAAAGTTGGAGGTTACATCCTTGGAGAGTTTGGAAATTTAATCGCGGGAGATCAGCGATCCTCCCCGCTCATCCAGTTCGAACTACTTCACAGTAAATACCATTTGTGCTCGATCAACACAAGATGCTTATTGTTGACCACATACGTCAAATTCTGTAATTTGTTCCCGGAGATCAAGTCGAGGATCCAAGAAGTCCTCCAAACCGATTATAACTTGAGAAACCCGGATGCAGAACTTCAGCAAAGGGCTGTGGAATATCTACACTTGAGTAAAGTCGCTTCTCCTGACGTCTTGGCTACGGTAAGTGATCTTTGGAACAGATTTTGTTATGAATATAACAATTCTTGCAGATTTTGGAAGAAATGCCGCAATTCCCAGAAAAAGAGAGTTCATTGCTCGCCAAACTGAAGAAATCGAAGCCTCGAGTCGAAGAACTGGAGAATCAAGTAACGGAAAAGAAGACTCGCCCTCAGGCAATCATTAACAATGGAGTCAATAAAACTGGAAATCTTGTGGATATCTCAGGCAATTCCACTGCCAGGGACCCACTGGCTGAAGTATTTGCGGCTACAACGAATGCTCAGCCAATTGCCATCGGGGATGAGGAGAGTTTGGAGATCAGCAACAAGGAGAACATTTACAGGTAGGATAATATCAGATTAAACAAGGCCACATTTATTAGTTTTATTCGATCTTTTATGATTTCTGTTTTAGTTTTGTCCTACGATTGGCTGGTGTAATTTATGAAGATGAGCTGATTCAAATCGGATACAAAATCGAGTCCAAAACTCACCTGGCTAGGTTAATTTTGTTCTTTGGAAACAAGACCAAAGCCCCATTCACGGATGTCCAAACTCTTGTAACTTGTCCCGATGACCTCGCAACGAGATTACTAACTCAAGTAAAACCCATTGACCCTACGATCCAAGCCTCGGCCCAGGTCCAACAAACAATTCATCTTGTCTGTGTCCAAGATTTCTACACATTGCCGGTGGCAAAGGTCGTCTTCAACTATATGTGAGTTTGAATTGATGTCGGGGTATTTGGACAGTTTGTAAATTTATTTCAGCGGGCTTGTATACCAGTAGAGCGAAATTAATATAAAATTTTACATTATGTATGACCAAAAAATGGCTTGAAAATTTTTTAGTGGCCCTGATTCGACTCCTCAACGGTTTGCCAAGGCGTTTTATCTCCCAGTCTTCCTCAACAAGTTCATCACCCCATCAGAAATGCCTGCAGCAACTTTCTTCGAGAGGTGGAAGATCCTCAGTCAGCCATCTCAAGAACATCAGCAGATCTTTAAGGCCGGCCCAGATGGAATTGATGTCCCTACGATCCGACAAAAGGTATGATTTGACGAATTGGCGAGTGTTTTTTATTTTATGATTAGTTCGAAAGAATAGTGTCATAGTTTCTGTTTTACACTCGATACTTTCAGCTGGAAAACTTTGGCGCCAAAATTTTGGATAATGTGGATCCCAACCCGGATAACTTTGTGGTCGCTGGCATCGTGGAGACCCGAACAGTAAATGCCGGAACGCTGATCCGATTAGAGCCCAACAAATCGGCAAAGATGTTTAGGCTTACAGTAAGATCTTCGTTGGATTCCGTAGCCCGAGGCATCTGCGAACTCTTGATGAGACAGCTGAATTAATCACAAATCAAGTCAAGAATGAGTATAATAATGGTCGATCAGATAAGTTATCCGCTTCTTGGAGCACTTTCTCGACTGATTTATCCCCCTTTGCCACAAGGGGATGCCATAGCTAGATGACTTAATATATTTGCTTCCCCATACTGTTCCCACTTCTATACAACTATCAAACGTCTCTCGAGCATAATTTTGTAACTTTTACAGTATTCTTAAGTGGATTGTGATCGCATTTATAGCACTTATTTGGATGTTAATTGTGTTACACTAATCTTAATCTTGTCTTGATCCCCTCAGATCCATTTTTAGTCTGTTTTGCCACTAATAAAGAGTTTTTGACCAGGCTTGAGGTGATTTGTTAGTTTAATGGTATTTTATTTGGTATACCCGAACAATTTAGACCTAAATTTTCAATATATTATACATATTATACATGAGCCACTTGAGGTATTCAGACATTGTAGAACGGAGAGGCCGCTGATGTCTGAAGTTCGATCTGAGAAATCTTGTAGCGGACCTTCTTCAACCACGGGCCCAATGGCTGAGCATCAACTGGCTGCTGATTCTCACAAGCATCCAATTTTATCCGCAGTTGAGACGGAATTTGAGAGTGATAGACGGTTAGAATGGGTTGCCACATGGGATACAGTTGACACAGAGTCGCCGAATTGCACTGCTGAAGAGCTTGGATGGTATTCACGAAATGTAGATTGACCATATCGGCGAGGACCTTGGAATGAGCGAGTAGTTGAAGGATCGCGGGGGTGACTCGACTCCAGAAATCAACGATATTTTCTGGCGCCTTATGGAAACTGTCTTCATTTACAGCCGCCGCCTTCTCGCAATAGACAGTCCAAAGTTGACAGAGATGGAAGGCGTGGAAAAGAGCTGACATGTGCACTACTGATTGCTGGAATCATATTGTTTTAGGCGAATGCTGGCATGAAAATAAAAATGATCATTTTGTCGATATTACCTTGGACTGGTCGGCAAATCCCGCTAAAACAAAGTGAATGTAGTCCGCCATATGATTGGAGCAGTTGATAGGCACAGGGAAACAGTCTTGATTAGCATGAAGAGCCCCCAATAAAAGCCAAGAAAGGACTCGGACGTTGGTTACACTCTCAGCAAAGGCTCCAGGCACTGCTTGAGTAATGTTGGGAGGGGATAGAAGCCACGGGATAAATCTTCCAACTGTACGATTGTCACGATGAGCAGGACGACTCATTTCCAAGGCTAGGATCTCAGCTAGACCGGCCTAAAACAATATAATTTAATTTTGACGAAATAAGCTGACCACCGAATTGGAGGGTGTGTCAACGACCCTCAACTTACCTTTAGATCGCCTCCCATACGATCGCTGTTCGTCTGTTTCTTCAGTTTGGACAAGACATGGAGATCAGCGATGAATTCCAAAAGATCTGACAGGAAAGGACGGATAGCCTCGGATCCGCCAGTACTGTATTGGTCCAGATCTGGGATCTCGTCTGAGACATTCTCACCAAAATCTTGGAGGATTATCTTGACTATGTTCATGTAATTTGGTTCAACCAATTCGCAGCGAAATTTGATGGCATGAACGAGTTCGGTGACGATTACTCTGGTTAGGCATTGCTTGTCCCGCTCCTAAAAATACGATATTAATCAAAGACGTACACTTTCCTATGCAACACCAGCTGTATATTGCCCTAAATAGAGGTAAGAGTTTACAAATTTACATATTAATGTCCCTACGATCCGACAAAAGGTATGATTTGAGAATAATAATATATTTTTTGTCATCATTTATCATCGACAATAAAATTTTGATTTCCTTACCCGATGCATTGCCCGATTGCAGATGGAACATATCGATAATAAGTCCTTGAGGTCCGCTTTACACTCATGTAACACCTCAGTCATCCATTTACCGTATGCCTCAACCATGGCGACCGAAGTTTTGAAGGTCGAGAAGTTCTGAACCTTCATAACCTGAGACATGATCACAATCAGACTCTTGAACTCGGTCGTAACGGGCCTCCTTTGACTATTCCCGTTATTATTATTTTCCGCGACGATCTAAACATTCTTTTATTTGTCTGGAAGACTTGTCCTACCTGAGATTGATATCGTCTAAAGAAGGAGTCTAATTGCCCAACAACCGATGTCCAATTGGAAAAGTGGGCATCAAGTGGGACGAAGGAGATAAAAGCGGAGAGATTATGGAAGATTCGATCCAATTTCAAGCTCCAATTATTCATCATGTCATCCAGAAGACATTGGATAAAAGCAATCGGATTGAGGTCGTTGAAGTCCAAAAGAGATTTACAAATAGTCTCCCAGAATTGCAAAGGCTTCTCGATTTTACTGTCGAAAAGTTGGAGGGCAATTCCGCTAGTTGAGAACTGAAAAGCATCGTTTCGTATTATTAGGTTTAGAAGTATGACTCCGCCGTTTTTTTCTGCTGATTGTTTTGATCATAGCAAAAAATTTTTACCCTAAACTTCATCCATTTTTATATTCTACTATTAATTACGAGGTGTTTCCGTAATTTGGTCAACTTTTCAATCCACCAAAAATTTTTTTTGGCTGTTTTGAAGCCATCCAAATATCAACCTAATTTTTGGCATCATTGTGTTTAGCGAAGCGCTGCTGCCTCAGGTCGTGTGCTATCGGTGGAAATAAGTGCTTGTCTGAAAGCTCGTTGTCCGTAGAGTATAGCGGGAGAGGTAGGGCCTCCCATCCTAGCTGTTCTGGGGTGTCCTTGACCAGTTTTTCAACATGGGTTCTAGCGCGATCATGCAGCAAAATAAAAATTGGTCATTCCGCCCGCTTTGGTCATATCTCTCCGTTCAATTGCATCGGCCACTGTTGTCGACGGAGGCCAATAACCGTTTTACCAAGTTTCAAGAGCTTACAGTGAAGAACAACTTGTTTATGTGATCATATACAGCGCAATGCTTTCTTACCGGTAGTGTTAGACTATGCGGTCGCATGCGCTTCGGGTTCTCAGAATCGCTGGGTTTTTCGTCTGTGGCCATAAAACGATGCAAAAATAGCTTCCTTTTGGTCTGCCTATCAAAATTTCGCAAGTTCTCTATATTGTTGTAGGTCATTCCATAAGACACCCAAGTCCGTTCTCTCTGGATCTTTTCAATTCGTTGAAAACTGCGTGAAACTCCTTTCTGTGGCACTTCGAGCACCACGGCCAACTTTTTTTGTGTATGGGCATCGCTTTGTATCCAGTAATCTCAATCTTCAATTTTTTTAGATGGGTTTGAAAATCACGGGGCTAGAACCGTTAAACCCGTTCCCCACGGATTTTTTCTAACTAAGCACAACTAACTTAAGCTTCTCTAAGCAATTGATGCATTAAAAACGTTTTCCCTCGCGTTACACGTGCAGGGTAAAATTTCCCGCAAATGACGATTTTCCAGGGACGAAGTTGGTCATCTTTGAAGCTTCATAAAAACCGCTATGTCAAGGCCTACTATCCAAAAAATAAATCAATAGATAGCGTTTTGAAAGGGGATCTCAAAAGAAATTTTTAAACATTGCTGCAGCCTGTAAAAAAATGCAAAAGAAAAAAACGGCGGAGTCATACTTCTAGACCTAATACTTCAGAGCTTTCTTCGGAAAAAAAAAACAAATCTCATTTTTTACTACAAAAAATAGGTAAAAAATCGTTTTTTGGAATGCACCACTTACCTGATGAACAATAACTCTGATTAACTGTTTGGCAACACTTTGACTGTTTCCCGGCACAAAAACATTGTTTTCATTCCACGGATACATCGGATAATGGATGAAATTTGTGACTGTTTTGAAGATCCTGAATAACAACGGCGCAGCCATTGACGACTCTCGATGAAGGAAGGTGGAGAGTGAGATCAGACATAAACTGATTGTTTCCTCATCAAAGGTTTCGATGGGGGCATTACAATAAGTGCAGGACAGCCGGACGCACTCGGCTCTCACCAACTTCTTCTTTTTCCTCTGGCCTTTTCGTTTATTTCTGCGTGAATTGGCCAATAATTTTGAGGGAGTTTGTCCTGCTTCCTGGAAGAAAAATGACATTGTTTTGGACATAAAAATTTCAAAGTTTGAGCCATTTTTTCCGAAAATGGGTCAAATATGATGACTAATATAATATCGCTTCTTACCGGCTCAATAATAGCTGGCTGATTGTTTTTCAAATCCTTATTCATTTTGAGACTCTCCGGTCGACTCAAAACTCCTTCCTCAGCCATCTGATACATCTTTGTGTGGTCGTCTTCCTCTTCTTTTATCACCTTTTCTTCTTCCGACTCTTCCGAAGAATCCGACCATTCCTCGAATTCTGGAGTATGGGCTTCTGTCGCATTGCACTCAAATACATGGCAATGACATTCCAACGTCGCTATGACAATCATCATCAGCTTTGTGATCAAATCGCTGACAGGAAGAGCGTCGAAACGATACTGAAAGATTTGATGTCAAGTCTAATGTATATTTTGTCCGAATTCACCATCTTTCTTGCATTACTTACTTTGTACAGAATGAGGATAACAGAATGGAGCCAGTGGTACCGCAGATTTTGACTCAACAGACTCAACGAGTAGTCAGCGGTACTCGAATCACTCGCGAACTTTTGAGGCGAAGGGAGGTGTACAAGTAGCTGGACTATGATTGGGAGCATCTGAAATTAACAAGCTAATCCAATCTCCACTCTTTTTACCTGATTTCCGATCATCATATTGTTATCCAGAATCTGTGCCAACCCGAGAATAAAAGCATTACAAACCGCCGCTCTTCTCATTCGATGCGGAGGGATTGTAAAGCATTTCTCGGAGTTACTGAAGCCAAGAAGAGTGTTGAAATGCCTTAGAAGGACACTTTGCTTCTTCGCCGAGGCCTTTTCATCGTTGGTTTGCTTTTTGTTTGACAAGAAATGAACGAAAAGGGCTACTGTAATGTAAACTGTATGCCTTTCTGGGTTCTCCATGTCGACAACTCGATTGAGGAGTAAGCAGAGGTTGGATTCTTCATCCGTAAATTCGCGGAGACGTCCATATTGACCTACAAATAATTTCGAATTAAAACTAAATTTATTTCAGATTATAAGATTTTTATTATTAAACTTACTTCCAGCCTCTTGCGCAGCCTGTGAAATGGTCGAAGCTTCCGTAGAATCCACTAAAATAAGTCAATAATGCTTCAAACACTTCAAAAAAAGTTGGAAAACAGATTAGTTGAGGAAAATGGAAGAGTAAAATGTACGAAATTGAAGCCCGTGTTACAGTAGGACAGATGATTAAACGGAAATATGTGGGAAAAATAAATCAAATGATGAACAAAAAAACAGGAAACCGGCAAAAGAAGAAAGGGGGACCACAACAAGCGGGGAAAGAGAGCATCGTGCACATCACTTCACCGTACGCGGGAACGCGGTCGAGATGGCGGTCAAGGCCGTCTGCTGGACATTCGGTCCTCCCTGTTGCTCGATGAAGCCCGGCTCGGGCGTGGAGGAGCGCGATCGCTTGCCCGGCTTCGGCGTGAACTGGTAGATGCGATCGGTGATGCTGCGGAACGCATTCACCACCTTCACCATCATGATCACCTTCCGCAGCTTGATGCGGGCCACATCTGCGCCCGTTGTGGCCCCACGACGGCCACGCAAGTGAGTGGTGCGGCGGGCGCGGATCTCTTGGGCTGTGAAATATGTAGACCGAGAAAAGTCAGAGAGGCAAAATGTAATTTTGAATCCAAAAAACAGCCCGGATGCGGATGAGAATCAGAAGTTAGGCTATTTTTTGCGAAATCTCAAACAGCCTAATACTTGATGATTTCCAAACGCATTGAACCAATTCCTTTGAAAAAAAGCGGTCCAAAAACCAAAGCCAACTTAAATTTAAGCTCAAAATGACACTGCAAAAAACAGAGCAAAATTGGATTTTCAGGGGATTTTACGACTCATTTTGGACTGCAAACAAGTTCAAAACTCCAATCAGACCAAAACAATCTCAATTCAGGTCATGCAAAAGACAATTTTCGGATAATTTAGACCATTTTTGCGACAAAACCGACCTTTTTCGATTTTGGCACTCATCGTGAGTTGGTGTTTTAGCGAATTTTCCCTCAGGCTCTTCACAATCGATCGGACGGAGCAGGCTTCATTCAGACTTTGTCTGGCCTTGGTCACCTTTCTTTGGTACAATTCACTCATTGGGTCGGTGTGGAGGAGATCTGAGGAAGTACAAGTCGCATAAACAGCAGTTTGTGGGCTCTTACCTTGCACGAAAGTGTGCTCTCCTTGCTGCCGCTTTAACTGGGCTTCCAAAGCCAGGGTTTCGAATCTTTGGATAAAGAAATCCCAAGAGAAAAAGTTTTGATTTGGAACAATTTGGGTCAGCAAAAAGATTCGACCGATGATTAGAGGGCGGTCGAGGATACAGGAGTCGAATTGACTCTCTAGGCAGTAGCAGATCAGCTGAAAAAAGTATTTTTCAATCCAAAAAAGATTGACTTGTCAGCCAAATTTTCGCGGTGAATTCCTCAAAGCACAACAGTCAGATTTTTTATTCAAAACTTGACGATGAGTGTCGTCTTTTCGACTTTTTTCAAACCAAAACTTGTCGCAACAATAAGCGTTTGAGGTGAAATCAAATCCTGACTCACATTCAGCGCCTGCGAAGGCATGGCCTGCAACGACAATAGCGTTCTCTGCGCTACCGCTGCGTTGGGATCGTTAACCGATACAATCAGGTGAGAGAACGCGCAGCTCAAACAAGTCTGAAGAAGTTTGTTGGCTTTCACTGGACTTGATGGGACCAAATGGGCCAACACATAGATTCGCTCCACTAAAATTATATATTTGGGGAAGCAGGATGATGATATTTGGCAATGTTATATAACACTTACCAGCCTTGAATCTGACCTCCCATTTTTCGCTGGTAAAGTCTTTGTTCACCACATTCCAGAACACATCCTCCCCGCAAGGCAATGTCATCGCGTGGATGATCAAAGGGACCGCGATTTGGCCTCCTTGAGCGAAATTACTTTTCAAAAGACCCCAAAGTTTGGGGATCAGCAAGTTCTCCTGAGTCCAGATCAAATACCCTCGATACTCCCGCTTGGCATGACTCAGAGCTCCGGTATGAAGGCACAAGTACTTGAGGATGACGAGCAGAAAATATTGGACATCTGGATCAAGTTCCCGCTCAATGTTCTGAAAGATAGATTCGGTAGAATACGGAAGGCATCGAATGGATACAATGAGTTTCAAGTCCTCTCAAACCACTGCATGCAGTCTCCTTACCATTAACAGACTGTGAACAAACTGCAGTTGAGGCGGCAGTTGATCAATTGTAAACTTGAATCTCCCCACTGACGTGTCCCAAAACTGATTGTCCCTGGACGTCGGATTGGAAGGACTGTCGTTCAAATTGTCCAGCACTGTCTCAGTAACGACCTGGCAAGTTTCATGACCAAGATCTCGCTCGGTCACCGTAACTTGTTGAGCGAAAGCGGTCTCAATCTCTTCGGAGGGCAGAACCCCGGCAAATTCGTCATAGGCAGGACTCTCCATGGTCGCCTGGAGATATTGTGGGCTAGCCAAAAAGTCCTTGAATTGGGGCTGAGGAAAATTGGAAAACGCTCCGGGGCTTTGACCTCAAAACATTCAATACTTTTTTGTCAAGTAAAATTTTGATTTTTTAGGCGAAAAAAATTAAATTTTCGAAAATTACTGCATAGATTTTGATATAAAAAACCCACCAGCACTTGAGATCGCATTCCTCGGAGACAACGGATTCGACGCTTGTCTGGATACTGTAGTTATACTCTCCGACATTTGAGCTTCAGCCAGCCAATCACTGTGATTTGTGTCATCAACTTCTATCCTGATCTCCGTCTTTGGGCACAATTGTTCGACCAATTGCATCACAATTTGATACAAATAGACCGCTTGTTGACAACGAATACAATCCGAGAATTGATCGGCCTCCGGGTTTTGGCAGGAATGAGAGTCGAACTTGGATGTGCCCTCAGGGTATTGCATAATTAGAGCCATCACGACGAATAACTGGTCCTTGTGATCGTTCAGCTCGTTGGAACCTTCGTTTAGCTTCATCTGGAAAAGAATTATGGTGTTTTAGGGACGGTTCAGGTGAGATTTTTTCAAAAATATTAGAAAAAATTACCTGCTGAGCGATAATATCCACCATGACCACCTGAACAGCCATCGGTCCAATGTCCTCATCCAAATCATCTTCTGGATTAATTTGAGGTCTGATCTCATGAGATCTTCGGAGACATAATGTGGCCATTTCTAGGATCATATCCATGGAAATTCGAATATCCATTCGACAGAGTAGATGGAGCCAATCCAAGGCATCAAGAACTTCGTTGTAATTGCCAGTGGAAAGCCGATTGAAAATAAATTCAAACACTTTCTTCTGCTCAAATGGAAGAGGGCAGAGATCGGGCTCAAAGATTTTACTGAAATTGGAAAAATTTTTATATTACACTAGACATGAAAATAAAAATCTATTTTTTATCTAAAATAAGGTCGGAAATTGCCTTCGATCTTACCATAGCAAAACTTTAAGTTCCGAGAAATCCTCGTCGTCTGATGGCTCAGCAATAACTCGAAGCCAATTGGCGATAACTATGTTCCAAGTGTCCATGGAGATGACGTCATATGGCATTAGCGACAAAAGTTTTGACAGCCCTTCTTTGAGCTGGTCCTTTCGGGAACATAATTTGTCCCAGACTCCGCCCACTTGAGCATAATCCGGAAGATTTGGATTGAGGATTGAGATGAACACATCGTAATGATTGGTAATCGCCATGTTCAGCCAATCAGACGCAAACTGTAAGTGTGGATAGAAAAATATTTTCTTAGAATCATGATTAGTAAAGGTAGTCTATACAAAAACTTGAAGAAAATCTACAGCTTGCTTCGAGTTAACTTACATCAGTTTTGAGCTGCTCCAACGCCGCTCCCATTGAGTCATTCGGCAGCAACGCGGTGGTCGCAAACCATTGGAACAACATACTCATTATGTATCCCACCCCGACATCGGGCGCCTCCTTGGATGGTGGGCACAACGCGGACATTAGCCATATTCCAAACCTACTCAACATCCTCCTCTCGTCGCTCATATTATCTATATCCTTTCCCAAAGATTGGCCAGCCTCAAGTTGACGGAGCCATTTCGGTCGTTTCGTTTCTCCTTCCTGACCTTCTAACTGGCCCGAGGTCTCCTTCAAGAGTTTCACAACAGCTTCCACCATGTCGCGTTCAATGTCAGAGTCCCAAGCACAGGTTAGGCCAGCATGAACAAGATGGTTGGCTTTGTCTGGCAGCGAATGAAGGGCTTGGAGGCATTCCTGAAAATAAACTAACGGTCAAACGCAAAGTTTATTATTTGCTTTACCGCATATCTTAAAAAGCCTTGTTTATCGCTCAATTTCTCACCTGGCAAAGTCTCAGCGGCACAAACCCATGAGATCTGATGCAATCATCGTGAAAACAAGTCCCAATTGCCACCCTATTCGCAGATTCACACCCTTTGTTTTGGCAGATCGTTGAGTTTGAAGCGGGCATTGGTTGTGAAATATATCTGACCGGATCCTCGGTTTCAATATCATCTGCGCAACTTTTGCATAAGAACATTGGAGGGGCAGAATCTCCCATCTTGGCGCATAAAACCGGATCGTAAATGCGCTTCATGGCTGGGGATTTGTCAGCGCAGTTAATGTGCTGACAAGGAGGGGTGGACCAGGCTGAAAAAGGAATAACATGAACATAACATAAGTAATGACATTCTCCAAATATGGAACTCGTATTATTCTCACCATGGACTCGATACTGAATGGCCTTTCGATGGATGATATGTGGGTTGATAATGGGCCAATAATGGAACAAGAGATTGGCCGCCGACACTCTCGCTTCGCTCGTTCCTTTCGCTATTACGGCGATGAGCTCCTAAAGTGTAATAGTACATGATGTGATGGTAATTACTTACCGCATACATCGAGTTTTTGTGGGCCATCAAATTTTCTACTAGGCAAGTGTGAAGCGCTAAAAAATAGATTAAGAAAAGAAAAAATGACGATAAAATAAGACGATGACATCTTTTTTAACGGGAAAATTTTTCAAATACAAATAAATGGATTTTTTTGCCATATCACTCTGATCTTTGACCAAGAAATATGACCTTTCTGTAAAAATCTTACACTTTCCATTTCACATAAAAATTGCAATTTGCCGTCTCAAAATTTGAAAAAAATAAAAATTTTTTGTTTCTTTCAACCTGAAAATTGTGAGAAAAAAGAAAGATCCAGTTAAAAATAGATAATGATGTCACTTTTTTCCAAAAAAATCCCAAAAAAAATTTCACTCACAGGGGTCGGAATGTTGCTGTAACACGAGCATTAATACCACTGGGACACTCAACGCTCCATAACAGTCATCACTCAGGGTATATGGTAGAATACACTCGGTTAAAAGACTGACAATCTTCTTATGGAGATCATGCGAGAACACATCCAATTGGGAGGCAATCAAGATGGGCAGTTGATCAACCGTATCCCGGTCCAAGAAGAAGTACAAGGCCTTGAGGCAGTCCAGAATGGACTCGCCAATGGCTGCTTGGCCAGTTTGGATCAAGGGGAACACATCGAGCAGGTTTACAATGCCGTAAAAAAGGCCGGAGTAATTCAGATTCGGATATAAATTGGAGCGTTGCGCATCGGCCGTGAATTTTACAAATAAATGACCATTTTTGGGGGAGATGTCTTTGAGAAATCTGGAAAGGAATAAAAGAATTTTAAACTTTTCGACAAAAAACATAAATTTTTTTGGTAATCTCACCCAATAAGAGTCTGTGTAAAGTACTTCAGAGTGGTGATGACTTCGGCATTCGATGGAGGCTGTTGATTACCCGATATCCGGGAATGGAAATCCGTCAGCGTTCGGATCTTGGCCGAGACTAAAAACGGGTATATCAATTAATGAAAAATGTGAAAGAACTGATATCCTTGCCTTTTTCTGCCAATTTGGACCCAAAAATTAAAAAGAGCTATGAAAAATCTGCACCTTTTACCCAAAAAATCTTGGTGATTTCTTTGGCAAAACTCATGCTAAAGATCTCAAGTTTTCCCCCTTTTCCTCCCGCATTACATGTATAATATTTGAGGAGATAGGCCATTGATCCGCCGTCATCAACCGGGCCGCCGAATTAAAGGGACTCCGACAACAAGCGAATGAGAATGTATGAAGTGCCGGTCCCAGAATACTCGCCGGAATCTCCTCAGGCCCGAAACACGACCCCCAAGCCAGAAAGCACGGGGCGGTGGGGTTTCTGGTGCCGACGAATTAGAGGGACATTCTGGAGGAAACAAGCCCTTCTTTTTCGCTTAAAAATTCGAATTCGTTCCGTTTGCGGCTGTAGATGAACAAAGCTGTCATGAACACACGAAAGGCCAAGACATATGGCCACAACATAGAAATTATTCATAACCGACGCTGTTGTTTTTTGGGGTGAAGAAAGGAGAGAAAATAAAAACTAATGGGGAGATTATGGAGTGATGTTATCGAAATTGCTTGTAACAAAACGGCCTATTAATCAGTATTAGTGATTTTATTTCATCGCAGAGAACTTCCGGCGATTTTTTCGAGAAAATATTTGAAAAAATCATAATTTTCAATAAAAATTACAAAAATTTATTTTTTTTCATAAAACTTCCGAAACTAAAAATAATTTCCTCAGAGAAAGTTTACAGTAATACTTCAGCTGTATTTTAAAAAGTGCCAATTGGCACCACCATAAAAACTTTTTAATTTTAATGTTTACTCTAACCAAACCAACATCGAAATGCCCAATCGAAATATTCCAAAAGCATAATTCAGAGTCTCCAACACCTCCAAAAGCCAGGTAAAACACCTTTACCTCCAAAAAATCCACTCAAATTTCCGAAAGAAAAAATTTTCGAATAAATAATTCAAGCCCTAAAATTTCATGGCCCAGCAAGTTTGAAGATCGAAACGGCTCTCCAAGATAAGAAACGTCCAAACGACATGATTTATGACACATTTGGTCATCAAAAAAAACGAAACAAAAACTGTGCTACCGCAAAAGAATCTTTAAGAATAAAACCTTTTTTTTCTCACTTCCCGAAAATAAAATAACTCAAATTTACTTCTGGCTTCGATAATGAAATAAACGTATTTTTCAAAAACCCTCCCATCCTTTCATTGTCCGCATCTTGGGCCACAAAAATGCGCTCAAAAATCCTTTCTGGAGGCTTCAAATGTCACGCTAAGGAGCCGAAAGCGGGAAATGCCACGGAATTTTCATATTTCAGCCGTAATTATGAGGCGAATAAACAAAAAAATTTGGATTGGCTCTGGTAACATTTGGAGGACTGGAAAAGAAAGTTTTCGTAAATTATCCGAGGGTTTTCAGGAGGATGGTTACGATATTATGCATGGTTGAGTGGGTTCACGTGGAGATACTGTGATTGTGTTAAAAATTGTGTTCAATTTCCGGGTTATTGAATGTTTCTTGGGGTAAAAGGAAGTTATTTATGTGAACCAGAGCAAAAACTCTGCTATAAAATTTCACTGCTTTTCTTGACACTAAACAATTTTTTAAATAATTTTTTCCTTCAAAAAACATTCCAGAAATTTGCATAAAACATTTAGAAACGAACATGTAAATAATAAAGCCATTTTATAAAACTTCAGACCTGGAAATTTAATTTCGAAAGAATTTCCGCTATAAAAACCCCCGTTTTTCAATTGAAAAATCACTAAAATTATGCTTACATTTATTTTACAATGTTTTTTCTTTCTTTTTTACTTCAAAATTCGCCTGTTCATACTTTTTTTCCTAAATCCCATAACCAGGTTTTATGATCGTAGATCCAAAACAACTTTTCTCATTCACAAAGAGTACTAAAAAACCCCGCTTTGCAAAATTTCTAAATGCAAATTTGAGTCCCAAAACTGGAGACTTCTCCTTTTCGAATAACAGATCTAGGCAAGAATATCGAATGAAAAAGTTGTTGACTTACACGTTGCCGCTCTTGTTGTGGCCATGATCGAACTGAAGTCTGAAATAAAAAAAATACTATTTAGAAATTAATCGGAATTGAAATAAAAAAAATAAATATTTTTGGAATTTTTTGTAAATATTTTCTGAGCTCCTTAGAGGCTACACTATTCCTGCTTGGCCATAATTTAGGTCCCAATAAACAGCGAAAGTACAAATTCTGTGCTTCCAAAGGATTTCGGGGACTTTTGGAGGTCCATGCCCTAAGGGATTTTTGGTCGGATACGCACCGAAGGGTTCAAACCTAAACACGATTCTCTTAGGTGTTTCTACGTTTATCATATGCTCTTAGATCTTAGATTCAATATTATTTGAATACATTAACTTAGATCGAAAATTTGAAACTTCATGCCCTCAAGGCTTAAGCCCTAAATTGAATGCCCCCAGGTTTTTGCCATAAAATTTCATGCCCTAAAGTCTCGAATATAGCTTAAAGACCCCTTGAAAACACCTTAGTCCCCATTTAAATAGGTTCCAATCAAGCATGTGCCCTGAGGCAAGAAAAACAAACGGCGCCTCCCAAAAAAGGCCCAAGTTTTGGAGGCCATAAATAAATCCATGGACGAGCCCAAGTCCATTTATTTTGATAAGAACTGCGCCTTTTCCCGGAGGCGATAAAGCCCTCTTCTTCAAAAAAACTCGTTCAAATCTCCAGTAAAGTTTATGCAAATCCTGAAGAAGTAAAAAAAAGCCCGCGGAAAGTGAGAGAATTCAATTCGAATTCCTTTCTTCGCCGTCTAATTTAGCCACGCAGACCGACAACTTGGCCATGGCATCTCGTATCAGAAGTCAAGACGCTTCAGAGACCGCGGAGGGAAAGGAGAAGGTTCTCTTTTATTATATCCACAGCCTCTGTCTCCACGTGGGATTCGGAGAAATCCAAGTTGAAGGTTGGGAAAATAAAGATTTTAGAGTGACAACAGGTTGTTTATGACAGTCAAAAAATGCCATTGGGATAGAAAATTTGGGTCGAAAAGCAAAAATGACTAACATTGTTTAGAAAGTGGGGAAAGTTTAAATTTAGAGGCCAAAACAAATGTGTATTAAAATTCAGAGGAGATTTCTAATAATAAGACATCATTTGCATAAATTTAAACTTCAAAAAGAAGGTTATTATATCCAACTCCTAATCGTCAAAAAAGTTCTAAAATCCCTTCAAAATCTACTCATTGTCAGCACACCCCCTGCGCGTCTATGCCCTTTACTTTTTACACTATAACAAAGAAGAAGTCGATGGGTTTATAAATAATTAATTGTTGATTTTGTAAGTTTTAGCAGACGGTATCCGAAATAGTACTTGGTGTTTTTCTAACCTCACTTTCATGTCATTAAAAAAAATCTCGCGCAGGAGGTTGTGTCGTACATATTTTACAATACAACGAAACGGTAAAATCCAGGCAAAAATCAAAGACTTTTACGCCTAAACCAATCAGAAATTAAAGTATATTTTGAACTTTACAAGTTTTATTTATATAATATATCTGCGATAGTGGATTCTTACAACCAGATTCGAAAAAAGCAGCCAAAGGTAAATTTATAAAAGTGTACATCTTGGAACACCGTTAAAAGAACGGCCGCGTTTATGCGAGCCCAATGTTTACCCGTCTTAATCTATGTTTAGGCCTTCATGTTGCGAGCGGAAGGAAGAATTCGCTTTTTGCGGGAGAAAGTGCCTGCCAAAGTCATCTTCTTTTGGGGTCAATTAGAGATCAACTCGGGATCCCTTTACCAAAAGTATCAAAGAAAGTAAAATCTAAGCTTAGTAGGTGTACGTTTGAAAATTTTGCTCAAAAAATACAAAAAAGTTTTAATTTTCTTATTAAAATTACATGAAGTTCATAATCCCAAATCTCAAATTTTATCCTATTTTTTGAAATTTAAGAAGATTTCTACCGTATTTGCGAAGGATAGAAAAAGCCATCTTGAGCTCTTCTAATTGCTAGAAAGATCCTAAAAATCTGGGTACATTCCTTGATGACTCACAACGCTAACTTTTCTTACCGAAACAATGCTTGGTGGAGAAGCGAGCTCGCATTTTGCGAGTGCGGAAGTTGCGAAAATTACGTTCCATTCTCTTTGCGGACGCCAAGTAAAAAACAAGAAGACACGAATCCCCTCAGGCCAATCCCGTTTTTATTAAATAAGATTTACCTTTTTTGGATCTCGACTGAAACATCGTTGACGCCCCGAAGCCTCTTCAGATGACACTCGAATCCCCGTCGTCTTCTTCTTCTGCCGAGTTCACCCCCACAAAAAGTGCCTTGGGCGGTTCGTCTTTCGCTTTTCAAAAAACCGGCGCAGACTCGGGTTTCGGCCGCTCGATTTGGCACCGAATTAAACCGGACCTATTATCGGATGAGGTCCGGGGTGTTTGGGAATTCGAACGGAATTCTAATTTCGGCGGAAAGTTTGACCAAAATGTTTGAAGAGCGCCCGTTTTTTTGGGCCGCTCAAGTGTGGCCGCGGAACTGTTTTGAATTCATTCCCCGCATTTTCGACGCTTCACCCGCCCTCGATACCACGATTAATCTCCCATCAGAAGACGAAATACACAAGCCGCTGGCATTAAAATGCGGTAAATCATCCGGATTCCCAAGGATAATATTCGATGGGCGGAAATCATAACATATGCGGATGGGAAAAGGCTGTGCACGGCAACTCGACTTGTTTCCTCGCTCCTTTAGACGATTCGCCGACTTCGTGTATCCATTGAAATCAAACAAAATGTCACAGGAAACCTTTCGTGGGATTTTTCGCCGGGAAAGATTGTTTTTTCAACTGTGACATTTCGTTTGGACGAATCTCAAAAGTGGTCGGGAAACTTTTTTCTCCGTTTCGGGTTGTCGTGCCGTGGGGGTTTACAGCATTCTTTTTTATTAGGTATCAAAATATTATCCACTTCGACTAGTAATCGAAAAATATTCAAAATCAAAGATTTTGCACTGTGTAGCTTTTTGGAAATTTTCAAATTTCAAGATTGGTGCAAGAATAAACTCAACCAACCTGTTTTCGCCGAGCAAGGCGTGGCTGGAGAGCCAACCTGATGTGAAGTTGTTGGCAAATTAACCTTGGGCTTTGGATCCATCTAAAAATCGCTGATTATATTATCTATGACATTAAAAGCCCAAATCGAAAATAAGGTTATCAAAGTTTACAAAGTGTTGAAAACTGTCCTAAGCTTCGTTTAGTCATAGAAAAATCAATCTACTTAAAGCCGCGAACAAGAATAAGATCTACATTGTCCCAACTAAAAATATACCCAAATCTGTTTTTGACTCCACAATCCGAAATAAATCCGGGTCAAAACATGAATGGATTCTAATTGCAGAAAGCATGAGACAAATGCAAATCAATCCAAAGAAAGAGCTCCTAAGCCAAAACTTGAGTCCGCCTCTTCTCCTAGGTTCAAGCAAATTTTTCGGCCGCTTAAACCGGTCAAATTCAATTTTCAGGAAAATTGTCTGAGGGGTGTAACTGGAAATGGTATTAGAAATTGCCTTTATGATTTTTCAAAAGTATCTAGACGCAACCATTGTCATTTTAAGGGGCATAATTATATTGCGCTCTTGGGTGAATATTGTCTAATAAATGTAATATACCTAGTCCAAATTTCTGATCATTTTCTACTGTTATAGACTTATAGAGCTACGCACTGTAATATACAACCCAAACTACTCCATTAAATCCCAAACGCGGTCAAGTTTTCCCTCGTTTCCCTCCTCCAAAAGAAGTGTCCTCCCCAATTAGGTCGCCTAATTCAACAAGTTGTGGTCCAGGTGATCGGCTCCCCGCCTAATTAGTCATAGCGTCCCGGGATTTATGGGATAATAGTCGTGTTAAGTGGAATGGAGGGGCTGCGAAACGGCCGCTTCGAACATTTGACGGACATGGATGAGATAAGGAAACTCTCCCCAGGGGTCCGGACAAGTCCATTATAACATACCTCAGGCCGGGACGAAACGTTTTTCGATAACTGTCAGGACGGGGATAAGGTGTAATGTTCGAGGAAATGTTAACTAATCTATGGTAAAAATCTTGTACAGTCACGGATAAACAAAATTTAACATCTCAAAAATTGATCAAAAATCAGATCCAACCTATACTCTCGTTCAAAAAAATTATTTATTAAGCCACAAAGAATGAAAAAACAACAAAACTTAACAAGTATAACAATAAGATGACCTTGTAATAGGCGAAGATCCTATTTCATTCAGATCTAGAGTCCTTTGCCTTTGGTCTTGTGGGTGAATTTCTGACCTCGATCGAATTGTTTCCCCATATTGTGCTTCATCTCTTTATAATCATCCTTCAATCGTTTCACTTCTTCTTTGTCCACCTCTACTCTGTGCTCCCCATTCTTGTGCATTCCCAAAAGTTTCTCGAATTTGTTTCTTTTGGAGTCCGAGTTGGTAATGGCGGCAATTCGAGTGGACCATCCTTTGACCAGGTCCTTTTCTCGAGGCTTTTCTTCAGAATTTTGTTCGTTTTGAGAGTAATCGTAGTGGAAAGCGTTGTACGTTCTGAAAAAAAAAACTTTATACAAAATTTATTTTTATTGTGCAGTGCCAAGTCGAGAATTGCTCAAAAAAATTTTGCAAAGCCTTCTTAAAATCTGAAAAATCAACCAAAAATTCTGGGAATTAAAAAAACAATATAAATTTAGGCTAAAAATTTTATTAGGCTACTTTTCAATCCCTAAATTAGTGTCAATCTTCTAATTTCTCAAATAAACTAACGTTGTCTCTACAATCTGCCCTTGGTCACCATTCTGATTCTCTTCTTGCTGTCTTTTCTTCTTCTTTTTCTTCTTTTCGACCACTTCTTCTTCTACTTCTTCAATCATATCCTCTTCGTCTTGCTGTTTTCGTTTCTTTTTCTTCTTCTTCTCCACTATTTCTTCAACTTCTTCTTTCACGTTTTCCTCTTCTTGATGTTTCCTTTTCTTTTTCTTCTTTTTCTCGGACACTTCTACTTCTACTCGCTCTTCAACCTCTTCTTCTTGTTGTTTCCGCTTCTTTTTCTTCTTCTTTTCCTTCACTTCTTCTTGCGGTTCTTCTTGAACAATTTCTGGGGCATCTCCATCTTCTTCCACGTCTCTTTTTTTCTTCTTTTTCTTTTCTTTCACTTCTTCCACTGTCTCTTCTTCAACTTCCTCCTGATTTCTTCTCTTTTTCTTCTTGCGCTTAGGTTCTTCTTCACCTTCAACTTTACTTTCTTCTTCATTTTCTCTCGTTTCCTTCCCCTTCACTTCTACATTTTGTTCTTCTTCAATTTCTTCCTCCTTTTTTTCATTATTCCCATTATTTTCTCCATTCTTCTCTCCATTTTCTCCTTTTACTTCTCCATTTTTCTCATTCTTCCCCTGCTCTTCCTTGTCTTTCTCTTCCATTCTTCGTACAGCTGCCTAAAAATATAATTTTAGTTTCAAACAAAAAATTTCTCAAAAAACCTTCTAAATTCACCGAGTCATACCTGCAACTGATCCCAGATTTGCTCCGCGACAGAATCACTTTGGACTCTGAGCGCGTTTTTGCAGAAATTAATGAAGGGTTTCCTCTTTCTGGGAACATTTTCCATGCCACTCATCTTGATCAAAAAGTTCTTTACCATTCCGTTGGTAAAGTTGATGGCTTCCGAGACTTGCTGAGACCATTTCTCTTGCTTCTTCTCTCCCTAAACACCGAGAATAATATTTCATATAAAGTCTTACTTTATATGACTCTTGAACAAATCCAGCTCCTCCATACCTCTGTCCTTCGGTGATGCATTTGTTATGCGCATCGTAGGTGTTCCAGTCGAAGGTTACGAAGCAGTCAACACAAGTGAAAGTAGTGCTCCGGCAGCTGTGAAACTTGACTTTCGGCTTCTTTAGCGGTTCGTTGCAACGGTCACAGGTGAACACAACCATCTAAAAAATACAACACTAATACCAAATCAAAACATTATTTTCTAAAAAAAATATCAAAGCTTCAGGTATAAAACTGTCCAAAACAGCTAAATTATTTACGAAAAATCATAAAAATCCAAGTTTATTTACAAAATAAATAAATTATTAGTTAAAAAATACAACCGATATGCATAATCCAGCGTGCTAAAGCCTAATCACCCGTTGTTGTCAGCATTGTCACAGTCTACACTCAATAAATTAGTTAAAAATGTACCAAAAGAGTTTAAATTTAGTCGTCCCGATGCATTGGAAGCATTTGATATGAGCTGGCCGAGAATCCACCAGAAATTATAGAGAAGTTGCGATCATAAAAGTCGTAATATAAAGTGGAATGGAAGAGGATATTAAAGATGACCACTCCATATTCGGATAAGGCAAAGAAGGTGTAGATACCTGGCTCACAGTAAGTGTTGTGTCTGTAGAAAAAGTAGAGAGCGAAGAACAGACTGATGAAGGCTGCTCCACAGCAGAACACTTTGTATTGATATGATTTCTCACCCTAAAATATCATGTATAATATATACACCATGATTTTGGTACCTAAAATTCAAACAGAAATCAAAAAAAAAACACTTACCACAGACACTGTCCTTCGTCTTCCCGAGTAATCGAACAAAAATATACTCATCAGCATGTAAATAAAGCCACATATCAAAAACCCGATAAACGATAATTTGTGCAGGGCTAAAGCAATAAAAAATTATGTAAAATCACTCAAAACTCACCGTAATTATCACCAGAAGATATGGCTGACAGCATCATTAGGAATGTAATCTCGGCTATATGGAAGAAACATCCAATATTCGCCATGACATTGAGGAATGTTGTATTTAATGAACGAAGAGGAGAAATGACTAGGAAATTACTGCAAATAATCTCATTAAACCTTAAAGTTAACAAACAAAAACATGGACCACAAATTACTTACCGAAACGCGACTGCCAGCACAATTCTAGGCGCACTGTGCAGCCCAATAGCTATTCTCCAAACGTATCTCTCGGGCTCCAACTTGGCCACAGCCGCTGATATGGAAGGCAACCAATTGGGGACACCACAATGCGTAGCATTGGCATCTTCAAAGTGAAAAAGAAAGCTGTATATTACACAAAAAGCAAGTCCAAGAAAAGGGAGACCACTGATGTAATATACAACTTTTTTGAAGGGAATCCGGATCAACTCATCCTCCGTGGCCATGCCCAACGGCCTAAAATAAGTTAAAAAGGAATCTAAAAATTTTAGATAATGTCTGGACGCATAACCAGTAACTGCAGACTAAATTGTCAATAAAAAACAAATTTATGAACAAAAAACAATAAAAGCCTAATCGCAATAACAAAATCATTTGTACTTTCCCTTCCAAATGATATCATATTGGTTCAAGAAGCTGGTACAGTTTTGCATATTCCATTTTATCAGCTTCTCCCAATTGAAAGGATTCTTGTTGTACTTCTTCACATCTTCCTCATATTGTCTTTCTGCCGCCAGCATCTCCTCGGAAACAAATCGAACCGGGAAAGGCAAAAAATCGGTCATGTAAGTCACGTAAGCCATTGCCTAAAAACATTGATCAACATCAAAGCAAAACTTCAACAAACTTTTTAATAGGTAATACATCTGATATTGAGCCAAAATACTCACCTCAATCTCCGTAATATGCCCTCCCAATTCGACAATAATTCTCTCAGCCCTCACAGGAGTCACATAATGATGAAGCTGACCTTTGCCACCACCCAGCTTTGTACCCTGCGGCTTCCTTGTCCTTGGTAACCATGGAGGAGGCACTCTCCAGATAGCAAATTGATTTTTTTGAAGATTTTTGTTGATTCGTGTCTAAAAATCAAATAAGAAACAAGTATAAGAACCATACCTGCAAGAATTTGAAATCCGTCGGCCTTAGAAAACCTCCCTGAACGGCTGCCAACCCATATTGTTTATGAATCAGGGTAGTGTGAATGGGCTCAACTCCCCGAGCTTCGATCAACCTTTTGGTCGTTTTATACTTTTCCTCTCCTAATTCTGGATCATACTTAGGCTCGGTAGGCATCACCGGCAACTTCATTTCACCATTCGGCGGAAAGACCACATCTAAACGTGAAAATTATGTTACCCTTCCAATAACTCACTTTCAAATGTGACCGGAACAGTTTTATCGTGATAACTTGGACTCCAGAATCTGACGGAATTAAAATTGAGGCGCTGAAGCCTGAGCAGATTTAATCTACTCATTCCATCCACTATAACCAAACCTCGAATTTCCACAACGTTTTTGGGAAAATAAATTTTCTGCAGCCCGCGCCCAGAGGTTTGTAAATTTTCGCGCAGCAAAACGACATTTTATACCATCAAACTTGCAAAAATTTGCTGTCAAAAAATATTTTCTCCCAAAAATTTTTGTGGATCTCACGGATCAGTCTTCAGCAATGGCGACCACTAGCAAGGATCAGTTGCCGTCTACTATGACTGGTTTACCCTCTGGTTATGGGCAGTATAAAAATCAAGAATTGGTTTTATATGGTTCCATCAAAGAGGCCTTCAAGGAGCATCTCCTTCAACGTCTGAATGGTCTTTGTGATCCAGAGAGACAGAAATTTTCTGAGCATGAGATGGTCTTCACTTTGAGTAGGTATCTTTAACTTATACTTGCTCATCAAGCGAGGATTTTATAAATTTTGCCTTTAGAAGCGGGAGAGGCTCCAGTGCAAGTTCGAATGAGGAGAAGGATGTATGGTGATGTCTTTTCTTGGCATTGCAAGTACATTGGTAGCCAGGAACCCGACCCGAAATGTCCCGTGATCGTCAGAAAATGCATAGATTCGTGTATAAATTCTACCAACATGATGGAGTTCCTGAAGGCGCTAGGTCTTCGTATGGACTACGAATACCTCACAGATGGTGTGATATACACATGGGGAAATATTCGAGTAGGATTTACTGTGTAGCTTTTTCTTACTTTTCAATCAAAGTTCTTTATTTGGATTGCTTTTCAGATCGTGGTTGCGAGGATAACATACACGACAAAGACCGGCAGATACGATCAGGAAAGCAGAACTCGGTTTGCGGAAGAATCGTTGTTTGTTGAGGCTTCTACTGTGCTACCGGAGCAAGCGGATTACATGCCGGCGGCCAAGCAATTACGAGATTTTGCCGACCAGCTAGAACCGTGAGTATAATATGAGTTTCTTTTGAAATTTGATGTTTAGACTTTGCAAACTGGAAAAGTCTGATTACTGATGGTAGACTGCGGCGTTTTTTCTTACCTTTTCTTCCTGACCTTGGCAATCCGTGATTAATTTATTGGCAAAAATGAAGGAATTTCAAGTTTATTAAGGCATCCTTTACGAATAGGAAATTTAAAAGTTATTGAGATTTGTCAGTTTGAGCTTTGTTTTGATAATTGTTCTGTTGCTTGGCAAGGTTTTTGATGTCAGTCCAGTGCTGCCATGGGGTTTTAAAGATGTTCACAGGCTTCCATTCTACTTTATCTTTTCTTCGAAGATTTATTTTCTCTTCCGGGAACAGATCGTACTCCCTTATTTGTATTTTACACACCTTTGCCAGGATAAATGATATACCAAATGACGCTATTACAAAGAAAAACGCGAAGACGTAGAAGCTTTCCTAAATTGAAAGATTATATTTCAAGTGTAATTGCCTTACCTGGTCGAACATTTCATTGAAGGTCGGTATCATCTGATTGGCGGTATCAATCATCTTCAATATGAACGGGTGTTTGCTCTCCTTGTCGTAGTAGTTGCCCCATTTTGACTCTCGCGACATTTTGAGTTTAGTGGAGAATATTGGAAATGCCCAAATAAGGCCTGAGGGCAATCAATGGCACGCAGGGAGAGAGTTGTCTCAATGGGACAAGTCTTTCTCTGGCATAAAACAGGCAGGGGTGGTCAGCGGACCCTATTTTTCCGATTTTCGGCCCGCGGCCCGGCCCGTCTAATTACCGGCCCGGCCCGTCTAGTCTTTTTCCACGCCCGGCCCGGCCCGTGCAGGCCCGTTTATAGAGGGTTCTGCGAACTGCGCCCAAGCTTGGGATCTAAACTTACAGGGGAAGTACTCCAAGTGCGATTCTCAGATTTTGATGAAACTTGGCACAAATTTAGAAAAATTTTTTGTAAGATATATGCGAGAATCCTAGCTCGCGCTTTGCAGAAACAACCGAGATTTTTAGATCGAAAGTCGCAAAAATTTAGGACTGTTTGCCGAATTTCGGCACGAAAAGTTTCATGCCTATTTCTACCGTTAAGGATAATGTTTCTACAAAAAATCAAATTTTTCCGCACGAAACTGCCAAAGTTATGGTCAGAAAGCATTTTTTTCTCTGACCGCTCTCCACGTTTAGCGTGCTCTCTCGGCGGCAAAAATCGTTCGATGTCTCGGCCGCGCCCGCAAAGCGCCAGCTAAAACTTTCAGGAATTGATATTTAGTCTATCCCAGACGTGTGGGCAAAATTTAAAGAAAATCTGAGCGTCGCACTTGGAGTACTTCCCCTGTTAGGCAAAAAAGGCGTTGATATAGCTAGTAAAGGATCAATGTGATAGTTTTGCGGTTTTATAATGGAACTATAGACTTGTAAACGTTTTAGAACTTGAGAAACAGCAACTATAACAACATCAATTAATTTTACCGGCGCGAAAACAATGAATGCCAACGGTTTGGCATTGTAATTTAGACGGGCCGTGCCGGAAAAAACCCCAGGCCCGCGGCCCGGCCCGGCCCACTGACCACCCCTGAAAACAGGCTGGCTAACCCTGGATTTGTGTTTAAAAAGTATAGTACCATACGTACCAGTGTGTCGGAAAAATAGTGAGCGCTCTGTCGCTGGCCAATCGCGTCGCTAAAGTGAAAAGCAATTTGAGTTTGCCGCGACACGATTAATTTTCTCGGCGGCGAAGCTATTAGGTTGATTCAAAATTATCCGGCGGGTTAATTGACGCGTTTTTTGTTAGTTAAAATTTGCGTTTTGTTAATGTTTTTTTTATAAAAATAATCTTCTCTGGTTAGTTAATAAAATGGCAGTCGAAACCATACTAATATTTGCCACATTATGCTCTACCACTTCGAGAAAAGTTGGAAGTCAGCACGGTCATTCTGCGATCTCAACGAACTTTTCGGCGAAGGAACAAAAAATAGACACGATTTCCCAGTGGATGATTCCGCTTCTGTCCCACCACACATACGACGTAGCCTTCTTATAGTGGACGTCTTTTGGTACTCCTTTGGGCGAAACACCTGCCGATTTTTTTCCTTCGCCGAAAAGTTCGTTCAGATCGCGAAATGACTGTGCTGACTTCCAACTTTTCTCGAAGTTGTAGAGCATAATATGGCGGATAAGAGTATGGTTTTCGACACACATTTTATTAACTAAATAGTAAAGATAATTTTTATTAAAAAAACATTAACAAAACGCAAATTTTAACTAACAAAAAACGCGCCAACAAAACCGCCGGATAATTTTGAATCAACCTAATATTTTCGGTACGACCGAACTCACGTGCCCGACAGACTGATACTGTAGTCTTGTTTTTGATGAGGTTGTATCTTTTATTTTGTTTTGAGATGATCCTAAAATACCAGTTTTATCAAAATTTTTATTTCCGAGTTGCATAAATACAAACAACATTTTTTTTATTCACTAACAGCATTAACAGACAGAGAAAAGAAGACGAGAATACGTTCGATATAACATAAGAGAAAGCCGGGGTGCATATTGAAAATCGTCGTTGTCAGTTGAAAATTGCTGTACCCGTTTGATGAAAGATACGATTCAGTGGTGTGGGGGAAGAGAGTTGGTATCGAAAGGAGTGGTGGGGCTGTGCTGGATCTGCCCGCCATTCGAGGTGGACGGCTGAAGAGATTGGCGACCGTTCTTCAGCTTCAGCATGCGAAGATCATGCTCGGAACGGCAGGTATGGCAAGTACAAGGTCCCTCAGTGCGGGTGTGATGGCATCGACGACAGCCCATGGCTTCGCCGACGCCGAATGAGCTGCGATGGAAGTATATCTGTCGTCGATCCTGAAATTGTGCTGTTTTAGGACAGAAAATTTATATGATAGTAGATTGATAGGTGGGGGAAAATAAGGTTAAAAGTGTGGATGACAGGTGATATAGCTTGGTGATTTTACAATTAAAACTTTGAAATTAAGATGATAATTTAATTAAGCTCGAATTAAATTATTTATTAATAGAGGGGCTCAAGCATTGATTTTTTTGAAATGAGATATTTACCTTACTTTAGCTAAATTAATATTGTTTCCTAGCCTTTGACAACAAAAAATACGTGCATTAGGTTAAAAAAACGAGAACCTTGTGGATTATAAAAACTAAAATCGAAATAAAAAAGAACCAAGAAAGCAGGTGTAAGTGTTAGGGTAAACATGAAAATTACCTTGTTTTCTGGAGGTCCGGAAGGCCACTTCTCGGGATCAGATCTTCTTTTGTGTCTAAACAAAAGAGAAAAACGTTAAAAATGAATATAATCGGACGAACACCGAAAGTAAGGGAGTACGGGGCACAAGACTACACCACATTGAGAAAAGCGGCTTAAGGAGTAGAGTAAATGCGGCTAAAACAGTAGTGTAAGAGAACGTTGAGAGGCTGCGAAAGGTTTTTTGTGAGACTACATTTATTCCACTACTGATTTTACTATGGCTATCGACATTTACTACAACAAAATATCCACTTACTTTGCGTTTGAAGAGCTTCGAAAAGAATCCTTGTTTCCCATTGATGTTGTTCAGGTTGTCAATCGAATTCTCTGGACGCAGATCTGGAACTATTTGGTTGTCCTTGTAGAAGATATTCAGCTCATTGAAGCATTCAGTTTCGATGATTTCGTTTTGCCAAGGAATTGACACGGAGCCGGTGTTAAATTTGTCATAAAAAGTGTTGTCATTCGAATCGAGACGAACTCCTTTGACTGTACTGAACTGCTCGATGTCCAGAACGTCCTTGGCATACACGGAATGAGGATCTGGGCAGAATGGGGGACTCAGCTGAAAGAAAATCGATGTTACATTAGATTGGTCATCATCATGATACTTTGTTGCATAGATACTTTGTTTGATGGTCCTATTTGTCCAACTTACCTTCCCAGCCTCCATTTTCTTCCATGGAACCGGTTCCCTGCCAGTATTTGCGTCTCCAGTCATAAAGAAAGGATGCGCTTTCAATTCTTCTGCTCCTTCCTCTAGTTTGTGAACCCTGCGGCAACCCAATCGAAATCCAGGTTCTTTGTGTAATAGTCCCCTGCATAAAGTCCTCGCAGCATCACTGAACTTGTCGGTGTATTTTTCTTGATCTTCACGAACTCTTCTCTCAACTTCTTCTCGTTTTACCTTCTCCTTGCGTTGACGGAATGGCGCCTTAAAGAAAATGCTTATATCTCCGTATATTTTAATGATGCCTTTGATGATTTATGGGGAAAGTGCCAAACTGGATTCATGTTTTCTCCTGATGTCTTATAAAAAATCCCGTTTGCACGGTCCATGTGTAATTACGGTAGTTGAGTTTGCTTGGCCGTACGAAAAGTGTTTTTCGCCGTGTGATCGGCCGAAGATCTGTTTTGTTTTTTTCGGTATTCCATCTTGTTATCCCGAAATATAGTTGGCATGACACTTGTTCCGGGCCGGCTGACAGCTCACCTTTCCCTCAATCATTTCGAAGATGAGACATCCCAGTCCCCACCAATCAACGCCGTACGAATATCGCTCGTTCTTCACAATCTCCGGCGCTAAAAATAAATGTTTGGGGATTGTCAATGTTTCCTGGACCGGAAATGAACGGAAATATAACAAGTAGACGTGCTTTTTGGACAGAATGACTTATGAAGGCAAAGCCGGAAATGTCATGGATAATATCGCATTTCACGCTGTTTATAGTGCAAATCAAACTCTGTAGGTTCGCGACTGTAAAAATAGAAGGAGCATGGCCTAAAAGTGCAAAAAATGGGGAGATTGGATGCAAAGACAAATGAGATCTGGCAATGTCAACTTACCCATATACCCTACTGTCCCGACCCTTCCTTTGATAGGCTCGTTCTCCCTCAATTCAACTGCCAACCCTAGATCCGATATCCTCACATGTCCATAATCGTCTAACAGAATGTTCTCCGGCTTCAGATCTCTGTATAATATCCGTTCTCGATGTAAATGTTGCAATCCCAATGTGATTTCTGCGGCGTAAAATTGAACTCGTTTTTCGTCGAAACCCCCAGGTGACAGCGTATAAAGATGGAATTTTAAATCGCCACCATTCATCAGTGTAAGCACCAAACATAAAGCATCTTTCGTTTCGTAGGCATAGGCCAACGAGACGACGAATGGAGAGTTGATTTTCTGAAGGATCTGCTTCTCATTCAAGGATAAGGTCTCGGCGTGGCGTTTCTTGACTCGTTTCTTCTCCAATTTCTTCAATGCGTACATCTTACCGGAGGCACGGACCTGGCAAGCGCAGACCTCGCCGAATCCTCCTTTTCCCAGTACTCGGTACAAACGAAACGTATGCTTATCGACCGGTCGTTTTTCCAACCATTTCCATTGAAGATATCGATGGAAGTACATGGAATCGAGGAATGTTTTGAAGGGATCGGCGGAGAGGAAGGCTCTTATTTGTCTGAAATTAGGCCAGAATAAATTGCAGACTATTTTTTGCCAATAGTTCAACTTTTTCCAAGATTTCAGACTTTGATTCCCCCTTTCCTGTAATGCGATTACTATATGTGAACTTACTTGTAGGCCTCGGCGAAGATGTCAGATGAAGGCTCTTGGTCGTGGGTAGCGTCATTTGCATTCTGGATGGCCTTGTTTATCACTTCCTCGTTCAAGAAAGAGCACCAGTTCTCGTCGGATTGGGATGTCTGAAAAAATTGAATTATAATATTTTCACATGAACTTCCCAAATACGGCGAAAGATCATAGACGTAAATATCAAAGGCTATTTTAGGAAATTATGAACAATTTTTTGATTCAATTGGTCAAAACATTGTTCATGATGTCGCGTATTTTTTGATGACAAATTAAGTGTCATTTCTGACGCAAAGGTTATTATTGGCTTAAAATTCCGGAAGATAATACAGCAGAGTTGCGTAGTTAAAATTATTAATCCACCAAAAATTGAGTTTCATTCTGGATTTGACGAATTTTTTGCATCAGAAACCAAAGGGCATCAATTTTTGATGGTTAGTAAAAAATGGCAATTTAAGCAAAAAATAGATTACTGTATTCTAGGCACAAATTTTCCGAAACTCTTACCGACGGCTGGTTTTCTGTCTCCGACTGAGGATCTGGTGCAAATAGCGCCGCGATAGCATTGGCTAAGACCCTCCGGCTTTGGCCATCGTCATCGCTCGTCTCGTACTCCTCGACCCGTTGCAAAAAGTTGCAACATCGATTGTACTGATCATTCTCCTCACAAAATTGCTGGAATAACAATCGCCCGATTGGCTGTCTCTCCACGACATACGAGTAGCTGAAATTTGATTTATGAGATTCGGTATTATTTATGGGCCGGAAATAAAAAGGACCAAGAGTTCTCCAAGTTTAGGTTATCTGGTCATACGTTTTTCGTGAGGAAAAACAAACAAGAGATATTTTTTTAATGTACCAAGACTTTAGGAAGAGATTTCTTGATGCATTCAAAAATGTTGTTTCAGTCATAAAAAGATGAACGGGCAAAAATCGGATGTAAGCTTTTACCTGGGCTCAATTTCGTTTCTCAAATACAAGCACTGGCTGTAATGAGGGAACTGTAGATAGGTCTTCCATTTCTTGCTTTTTCCTTTCTTCTGTCCTCCACCTGAATGATAGAGAGTAAACATGAGGTAAAAAACTAATATGTATTACAATATAAAAGAAAATTAATACAAATAAATTGTCAAATGACGTGTTATAAGGATTTTAAAGCGAAAAATGTCGATTAATAAAGCCGAATAAATCTTTTGGACACAAAAAATACGTGTTTCTGACGTTTAAAATTTGATGACTATTATAAAAGAAGAAAATTGAACGTACTTTCGCGGGCCTTGATGTAGACGGTGTTGGCGACGATGTTCTCGATCTCCATGACCCTCTACTAGAACGGTGCGGAGCGTTGGGAGAAGGCCGAGCGCTCGGTGCTGTGCATCCCCAACCCTCGACTTCTTCGCTTCGTTTCGGCCGTCTATTCCGTGTGCGGCAGACGGGTTTTCCGGTCCGACGACGCGGCCTCCTGCAACTTGGAGACCATGAATTGAGGACAATGGGACGGTAATCATGAAACGTGAGGGAAACGCGATTTGCATTACATTTGGTATAATAAGGGCGAATTTTTTAATTTGATATTTTAAAAAATAAAATCAGCATTTGTACAGCAACAATATGTAAATTAACGGAGTAAAGTCAACGACAATGTTATTATTAAAATTTTTAAGTAAAATTTACCGTCGTATTTACAAAATACATTACAATTCCAAAAATTGAGCGAAAAGGTCAAAAATAAAACATGTACTATTACAATTGCAAAGAAAACAGACCATAAGTCATCAAAGATGAGTTTGGAAGTCCCTCATTACCGGAAAAAGCGGCTTCTCGCGACCTGAGGTGTGCAATCCGATTCCCCAAAAACACAAATCTGGGGATTTATGCCCGGCCCACCAAAGAATGTATATCTTCTTCGCGGCCGCTAATTCCACGGCCATTATCCACATCCCCCGTCCGCTCTCTCTCCCTCTCCCTCTTTCTGGCTTTTTCGTCCGTCGGCTAGCTCGTTTGGCCAACTACCACCAGCACATTGCATGATTGAGAAGGTCTGCCCCCATTGCCTCGGGGGCAATGGCTGAAAAGCGGGGAGATCTCTTGACGCAACACCCCCCAATAAACACGCGCACACCATCAGGCGGGGACGGGTCATGGGAACGGATGGAGGGCATGTTCGCGGATTTGGAGTGGCCCGGGTATTACATGACGAGGTGCAATATAAACAACGCCAAAGTCCTTCATGTTTATCACTTTTAGAGTTTCCCTACGGTATCTAGAGGACTTCGAATTGGGCCATAAATAAGCTTAGGCGCTAAAATTACTTTGTTATTTCAATTCCGGCATAATTTACATATTTTCAAGTAGTTCGTGCGAAATTCTAAACCTATTCCTTAAATATTCGGGCTGAAAATAAAACCCAGACATTTGTTTGATAAATAAATTATTCAAATACTTTGTTTATGCAACCCCTAACGCTTTCAAGCATGTTTTTTGTATTTATCGTGTCATTATTGCACAATTTTTCGCAATATTTCGCTCTAGAAATCCTAAAATCCAAAATTTATTACTCCTATTTTCCCGTTAGTTTTTTAGTCTATGCACAAATTCTATAAAAATCACTAGCCACAACTGAAAAGCTCAGTGACGGACAACTGAATAAATACGAAGACAAAGCCCTTTCCTTCGCTTCGTATTTTACCCTCTAAATCTCACTAAAACAGTAGCTGTAGTACCAAGTACCAACCCGTGAAGAAAACTGATCATGATAGGAAATGTGTTCAAAACGGGAAGTGAAAAGACATGTAGGCGGTGAGTTTATGACGTCGATATCAGTGTAAAAACAAAAGATTCGCGATTAGATAAGCCGGGGCCTGCGATCGATTCCACCCACAGAATTTGATATTACAATTAGGAAAGATGTGATTTTCGTCTTTTGTGAGTGGCTTAGGAAACGGTAAAACTGAGAGATATGTATTTTAAAAATATTGCTTTAGGTCATCAGATGAGATTTGACGATTTGTTTGGGGAAAAATAAGAAATCGCTAATCGCTGTTATTCTAAAATAAAGACGAAGTCATAATAAGAATCTATGGTGACTTTTCTCCGCTATAAGAGATCGGAAAAGCCTTCCAAACGACTCATTTCTCCATCTTATACCGGCAAAATCAGTTAATCCCCCATTAAACCCATGGAAATCCGATAAGTAGCCACTATACAAAAATCCAACAATAAAAGAACAAAAGAGAATACCTGGGACTTTAGAGCATTGCCCGGAGGGGCAAAGGAGAAAAGAGCACGGGGAAAACGAAGCGCTGTCTTTTCTTCTCATTTTTTTAATATTCTACCTGTCGCCAGCCCAGCTTTTCTTTCCTCTCGCCTCTGCAGATCGAGAACCGCACCCTTGCCCCACCGAAAAGAACAGAGGATTCCCCCACCGAAAGTGCGCTCACTTCTCGGTGCCGCAGGGCATTCGGATTAGGTATTTAGATAGAGCTGTTTTATTAAGGGAGATCTCAAGAAATTTAGGAAAAATCTATTGAAATCTCCACCTAAGAATACATTTTAACAGCTAGGTCTATTGTAAAAGTTTGAAATAGTAAGTGGATCAATTCTAAATCTATTTTTCAGATTATTTCCACTCGATTCTCTATGCTTTCACCAAAAAAAGACTCGCTGATATTGCAAGAAGGAAACAAAAAGTAGACGTAACAAGAAAAATTACTATAAAAGACATTTCCGTTGTAATCTCTCGATCAAGAGGGACAGAAAATACAAACTCGACTCAAAGCATTTAAAATATTAGTTAAGACAGCTCCAGTTCGATAATAAGCAAAAATTTTATGATCCTATTTAGATTGCAAACAATGAAAAAGTTGTCACGCCCGGGCTCACCTACTTTTCCAACCATACCATTCCCTGAGGACTTGAAATTTCTCAACGTTGCTGCAAGATCTCTTAAGGGCATTTTCAGATTTTTCCGAGCTCCTGAAAATTTCCTACGGGCATTTATGCCCGCAGAATGCACCCGTTCTTCCGCAGGCCTTAATTTGTGCCTTTAGGGCAAGAATGCGTGCGGAAGATAAGAAACAGCAGATACATCTTGGGCGCTCTTTTTTAATTTTAAAGAGGATGGTCTGCCTAGTAATCTGTCGATTACTCCAAGCCGCACCCTCAGGGCAATAAATGGGCAACCCGCGAAGGGAGGTCAAATATTTCAATTTTAGTGAAAAGGTAAGTCTCATAATGGAAAAAGCGATGAGTAATCACTTTTATCAGTCCTACAATTCACGTTATCAGCCTTGGAAACTCCCGGAATGTCCGATGGAATTGAGAAAAAAGATATTCAAAAAAATATGATTTTTTAACAAACTACTCGCAGAACGTTGCAATAGTGAAAAAAAGAGGACGTAGATTTATGCAGTTACATTTAAAACTTCCCCTGGCATTAAAAAGTTACTAAAATTACTTCCTTTATGGGCGAATTTAAGCCGATAATTGAAAGCGATAAACCCCCGGGGCAGTGTCATAGGACTATAATTGGAGGATTACATGACAATTCTCGTCTAGCCAGCGCTTTGCAAAGACGTTAAGACCGAATTTGTGAAGCATTTCTGGATGAAAAGACGAGTAATTCCGGGGTTATTCCATAAACTGAAGAGAATAATGTAATCTGAAGGTATTCTTTGCCGGTAGTTTGCAGAATCTGAGGAAGAAGGAAGGTAAATTTCGCCAAAGTACGCTGCACTTCTAAGTTAACTTTTTGAAATCGCTAGGACATTAATTTAGGCAAAGGTTGAGCCATGACAAAAAAGTAGATTTTGATGGCAAAAACTCATGCGTAATAGCAAACTCAAAGGTAATAAAAACGTATTTTGCAACGGGACATGTATAAAACATCAATTAGTCATCGAATTGGACAACGAATTATATTATTTATGACAAATTTTATGTTCTATTGAAAATTCAAGTGTAAAATTTATAAAACAAAAATTATGAATAATTGAAAAATACAATTTTAAGACATAAATTATAGCCGAGAAAAACTAAGTTATAAGGTCAACATTTAATCTTATTTATCTTTTTTGAACCAAAATTTAATCTAAAACCACCATTTTCCCTTACATCAAAAAAAATTTCGCCAAACCCCCGTATTCCGGCCAAAATCCTGTCCTCCAGTCTAAAGGATGGCGAAACTCGAAGGAATTTATTTTTAATATCTCGCAAATTGAATTCCGCCATCTGAATCATGGATTTGACGGTGATTTGCATAATTTTTGTTGCGAAAAAAGAAGAATTTGAACTTTTAAAATAATCAGTACGTCGCTAACAATGCGATAATTATGTTATAATAAAAAGGCAAAAATACAATCCTTGAGAATGAAAATACAAATTTTGCCAGTTCTGTCAAAACTTTTACAAGAATTGCGCTTTTTAATGGCAGATTACTCTAAAACAGAGAGAAAAATTATTTTTAAACATAATCGCGGAGATTACAAGCGCCGTAATTAGCGTGGAATTAGGGGAAACATAAATTAAATCAGTAATGTAAGAGTTATTTCGAGCGAGATTAGGGACGTCTGATGGGGGAAATGTCAAGGAGAATATAATAGAGTAAGGAGAGACAAAGAAATTAGGACAATGTGAGGAAGAAATACTAAAATAAATATTTCCCGGAATAATCAAAATTGGATTTGATTTTTAAAATAAAATTTTTTCTAATTTTTTTATTTTAAAAACAAAAAAATCAATAAAAAAATATCTTTTTAAAATTTTTTAAATAAACAAATACAGTAAGTCTGACTGATTCTCTCAAATCAATCAAAAATGACAAAAAGTTTGCCGTTATCTCAAATATCTTTTTGTCACCTGTTCCATCATTTATTTCCTTTCCATTTCCACGTCTAGACTTTCTGGAATATGGAAAATATAAAAGGACTCTCGAAAAGAAAAGATGTTTGCTACAGCGAGCGAATAACTCATCTTTAACGACTCCAAAAAGCTTGAAAATGCCGATTTACGAAAAAAGCGGTGGATACAATATTAGAAGTCCTTAAAGGGAGGTATTATTAGAAGTCCTTAATTCATGGAATTGGCACATTGTAAGCAGGAGGAATACAAAAGAGAAAGGTCCGAAAAGATACCATAAAGTAAATATTTTAAATTCGATTTTGAACAAAATTAAAATTTTCCATGACGGAAAGTGTGCAGTTACAGAAGAACTGGACGTATTTTGCAATCAAACATTAACAAACCTCTCAAAGAAAAAGTGAATTTTGTCTGGGAGAACTGAATAAATTCTCTATGAGTGCCATGTAACGTTTTGCGAATCTTCTAGGGAGGCTAGTCACCCCTTTACCCATCGGAGTTGGACGATTGGGGAAAAAGACGATTGGGGAAAGGGACGATTGGGGAAAAAGACGATTGGGGAAAAGTACGATTGGGGAAACCGAAAAGTATTATTTTTCTTCCATGCAAATGTCGAAGTTAGGAGAATCGAGGGTGCTCATTTCGAAAATGACATTCATTTTTTTGATTCTTACTTTTTTACTTAAGGTACTGTAAAGTAGTAATTTTTGATTTTTTTTTCATAAATACTCGATTTAGGGGTTTTCGAGGGTGCTGATTTCGAAAATCATGTAAATTTTTCCTCTAGTACTACATAGTACTATTCTGATACTATATAGTACGAAGTGAAAATATGGCTTTTGACGTTAATGGTGTTGTTTTGATGCTTAGTACTCTTCAAAAACACGTTTTAAAGACTTGGTGCTATATAGTACTGTCTGATACTATGTAGCACGAAGTAAAAATAGGCGTACTAAGAACCAGAACAACACCACGAACGCCTAAAGGCCAACTTTGCACCTCGTACTACATAGTATCAGGTAGTACTATATAGCACCAAGTCTTTAAAACGTGTTTTTGAAGAGTACTAAGCATCAAAACAACACCATTAACGTCAAAAGCCATATTTTGACCTCGTACTATATAGTATCAGAATAGTACTATATAGTACTAGAGGAAAAATGAACATGATTTTCGAAACCAGCACCGTCGAAATCATCTAAATCCATTATTTTTCGAAAATTTTTAAAAAATTAGTACTTAACAGTACTACTTAAGAAAAAAAGTAAGAATCAAAAAAAAGAATGTCATTTTCGAAATGAGCACCCTCGATTATCCTAATTTCGACATTTGCATCGAAGAAAAATAATACTTTTCGGTTTCCCCAATCGTACTTTTCCCCAATCGTCTTTTTCCCCAATCGTCCCTTTCCCCAATCGTCTTTTTCCCCAATCGTCCCAGTTCCTTTACCCATATGTCTCAGCTCGAGCAAAAGACGGATGTTTTCGATTAATTCAATCCTCTTTATTCGAGCGCCATAAATCACTGGAAGCTTTGCATTGAAATATTCAATACTGAGTGGGAAACAGTTTTTGCTTGTAGCAGATGAGATGAAAACTTGGATTATTTGGTTAAGTTTCACCTCAAAATTAATAAAGACGAAAATTAAAAAATCTCTATCCGATTACGGTATATGTAATATAGAGAAGGAAGAAATTCATGTTATATTTTTGAAATCTTACTGAAATTTACAGTAAATAGGGCTTTCTGAAAGAGAAAAATGTGAAATTGGCAGTCAAAAAGCAGAAGAAAATTTTCTACTGGCTGTTGTGGACATCAGAAGTTATCCATCTTCGGTGTCAACGTGACATTCTTCCCCCGAAACCTTCCAAAAAACCAGGAAGTCCTGGGAATTCAGTCAGTCACCGACTTTTTCTAATTTATTCCCCCGAAATCTGTGACTCCACTCCGTCTATCCCGGGCCGGGTCAGTTGAAAATCGCCTCCGGAAACGCCTCGCTTGATATCGTGGGAAAGAAAACAGGAAAGCGGCCAAAAGAGCGGCCGGACATTGGACGAGTGCATGCCGCCTGAGGGGCGCGCCCGGCCCGCGGTTTCATTGGCACGGCACAATGAACTCGAGGGCACTACTTTTTAAGGATATTAACAAGTATTTGGAAAACACTTCTGTCACGCCAACCGCCGCTTTATTACATCAGTTAAACGAGCGCGCCGCCGTTGGAATGGCATGTCCGACGTGGGTCCGTCTGGCGAGTTACAGTCTCGGCGCTAAGTGTTAGGGCTGTGTCATTCGATGAACTGTGGCGTTGTGTCATTAGGCAAATAGCAAGGCTTTGTCACTGTACCCTTGAAAGAAAAAAGAGGAAGTTCGTGGCGGAAGAACAAAAATATGGCTGGAACTTGCTGTAATATTAGTCATCTTGCAAAAATATCATTTCACATTGCTTATCCAACTGTCCCAGAGGGTTGCAACGGAATGCCAATTCTGGCGGGAACAATTAAATTTAAAAATTTTTGTAAATTTAGCAAAAATTTAATTCAAAAAAATTTTTAAAAGTACCAGACAATTATCAAAAAATATTTTTTTTGCAAATGAATGTCAAAAAGCCAAGTCATGGGGAAATAAAAATTTTTACGATGCTTGTGAAAAATTGGTCGAAAAATATTAAAATAACCGTTTTACGACGGCAAAACGAGATGCGTGCCTCGCTATGCTCCCAGTACAGTATTTTTTCGATATGCTATTTTCAGCCCTCCGATTGCATCACAGTCCTTGATGTAACTGAAACTCGGCTGTCACGCAAAGACTTTCCTGTCAAACTTTTGAAATGTTTTGCATAAATTCGGCTAACACGCAGGAGAAAAGTTTCAGCAAACGCTGTAGGCGATACCCTCGGGGGAAATGTAGGAATTAATTAGTTGAAAGGTTTTGTTTCGAAGACGGTTAAGCGAATTTATGATGCGGGAAGGGAAGACGTTCGTCCAAAACTTTAACGGATACTTTTAGGGGAAACAGGGAAACGAAAAATTTTATCTAGGGCAGCACAACAATTTTTTCCATAAAATAATTCGATGTCTTCCAATTTTTTTTGGTATAATCCGCTGCTATGAATTATGTTGCCAAAAACGTACTAAAAATAAAAAATAATTCAAAATTAACTTTTGAATTTAACATCGCCCCCAAAAGCACTCGAAATTTCGATTCAAAATTACCCTATCTATCTATCAAAAAATTCAAAAAATCTCATTTTTTCTTCGCCGCTAAATTACTCTTTGCTAGAGATAATTTTAGAATACTCTCTCGAGTCGCCTGCAGAGAGACCAATAGAACCACTAAAATGCCAAAAAACAAAAAACATCTTGTTCGAGTAATTGGTTGGCCCTTTAAATTTGGACTGAAATGCAACAAGTGCCTTTCAAAAAATAATTTTAAAATTGCGCCAAAAGTCGATAAAACTTCAAAAAATGCTCCACAATTATTTTAGTGACTATTAGAGCAATTGTGACATCGTGACAAAGCTTTTGGAAAACAATAATTCATGGTAAAAGTTCTGTTTTCCCGATTGTTTTTCGAATTACGGCGCAAATGCTGTTTATGAGATGACATTTGCATGGAAATAAATTCGCTCTGCAAAACCGGCACACAATAAATAATAAATGTTTTTGGACGGTATTTTACTTCAAAAACGTAATCAAGTTGGTTGTTTGCATGATCAAAATCGCAGTAATTTAAAAAAAAAAGACGTTTTGAAGCAATATTTTTTCGTTGAAATTTAGAATAAAGTAGGGAATAATGATGAAAAATGCCATGGTCTTATTGTTTAGTTTGCTAAAAAATACAAATCAAAAAAAGATTTCTTGAGATTTTTGCTAAATTAAATTTATTTTTCTCTTTTTTTTTGCATAGAAATGAGATCAAAATCTTTACCAAGAAACCTCGACAAAACTGATTTTCTAAAAAAAAACTTTCTCACTACAGTGCTCGTTTTTTTAAAAATACGAATAAACCTTATGTATTTTAAAAAAATTAAACTTTCCGCCTACAAAAAAGAGACATCTATAAAATCAGTAAATAAAAAAAACGAAAACGGAAAGCGAGACCAATATGTTTCACTTGGCGGTCGTTCCGTTCCATGGCCAACCTCTTGGGCCACACAAAAAAGAGCGAACTTCCTTGGGGCCGAATCCGCGGACTGTATGCGCATCCCTCTGACTTTTGCGTCTCTTTTCGCCCTCGGGCTGTCTTTTGAGGTCTTTTGGAAAGGGCCCGGTTGTTTTTTCAAAAAAGGGAAGTCGTTTCCTCAAAGATGAATTCGTCAAAAACAGCTTCGGGTTTTTAATACATTTATTGCATAGGGGAAAAGCCGAAGGCGGGGGAGGGCGGAAATTGGAGGGTCATCAAAAAAAGAGACACAGATCTGACTTTGAGGAGGTATTAATAATAATAGAAAGGAGCCCAAGATGTCCAGAAGACACTTTTATGGACTGTTTCTGGATGCACTTTGACCTCTAATGGGACAATTAGGGCCTCTAAAGATGGATGAGGAAATGGTGAACATCAAAATTCTAGATGCAAAAAATTTTTTGCAAAATCAGAAATTAAAAAAAAATTTTTTTTGAATAATCAAGATTTCACTCCAAAAATGTCCCAATTTTAAAATCAATTATCTTGGCCAGCGTTGCCCCATAAACAATCAAATTTAAATTTTAAAACAGATTAGAAATTTAGTCGTCAAAAATGCTTCATATTTTTTGACGTCAAAAATTTCAGAAAATTGCTTTTTACAATTCAAAAAACAAATGTGATTACGCATTTTACTCGGTCACAATAAACAACACCCAAGGGCACCAGTACTTTTTTGGTGATGTTTGGCCGGGACATCTTAAAATAAAAAGAGTAATGGATCTGAGATACTTAACGATAAAAATGTCATGTTTTATGACATTTTATGAGACAGGCAATTCGAAATAGTTTTGAGTTTTATGAGGTTGATTTGAATGAAATTGATTTCGAAGGCAAAGATAAAATGGCAAAAAATAATAGTTTAAAAAAAAAATTTTAATTCATATTGAAGAAAAATTCGGAGAAATTTTTGCTGCTGATTTTTTGCTATTTTTTGACTTTAGTTTTAGGTCTAAGACTTTTTTGCCGTAAATTTTTATCACCCTCTAAAATACGTACATTTCTAAAATACCCCATAAATCCCGAAAAACATCTTCCAAACGAAAGTACAAGTCCGTCGAACGGGCCGGATCAGTAAAAAGTCCTTCCCGCATTCCTTGACCACAACAACAATAAATTCTTTCGGCCGCTCCGATCGCGGCCGAACAGTTGGTCCCCTCGGGGCTCACAATGCCGCTTCCAGGCCCTCGCTTTCCGTGCCTTGTTCACGGATCGAATTGGGGCCGGGAATAATGAAAATTGGAATTTTGGTGGGGGTTCAGCTCCTCTGTTGGCTGGCCAAATGTCACATTCAGAAGTCGACGGAGATTCATGCAACCAAGGGCCGATTCATGACTCATATGCTCCATTCCGCCTATTTCTTCGGGCAGTCAGGTAGGCTGGGAGAAGGGATTGTTGCGGTGGAAGAGGTGTTGAATTACACATCATGCTCATGTTAGGAACAGGGTGACATTAATCAACTTTTTTGTTTTGATGTGATATTCAAGTTTGTAATGTCAAAAGACGATGAACAGTTTCTATGACGAGATTTACGATGAGTCAAAGATTTTCAGACATTTTAGAAACTTCTCTGCCCCTTTGAGAATATAAATACAAATAACAAAAAAATTTAGATTTGAATGTTTTTGTAAGATTATTTTAAATAGTAAAGCCAAAAGAGTTATCAACAAACAACTCTCAGGTTACAATCAAAGATAACGCACATCCTCAAATTTCAGGTTGATGTCTTCTATTACATTCTAGATTCTTGAAACGTTAAGTAGTCCCTAAAAAGAAGGCCTTGCAATAAGCAAATTTTACTTTTTTCAGTAAACGTAAAATGGAAAGCGACTGCCAAAGGGAAGCCAGAACTCCCAGTCTGGTTGCATCTCGCCGGCTCTCGTCATCAAGTCATCGCTTATTTGGTTGGCACTCCAGTCACTCCAATGCCACAAGTCACCATTCATATCATTGCACGGAGGATTGATAACTACGAAAGCGCCAGTCAATACATTACAATACTGCTTGATGATGACAGTAAGCAAACCATTTATGACTCGAACGGTTGTTTTTTGCCGAATATTTTTTAAAATACTTTTGAAATTTCAGTTCGTTTCAACACAACAACGCAGCAAGTAATCGAAATGAAATTCAAGAATATTGAGCCAGAAGATTTCTACAGTGATTACAGTAAGAATAATCTGAAGAAGTTGGAGAATGTGATCCAGCGAACGTTCCCGGGGAAAGGAGTCAATCCGTACATCTTCAACATTCTTCCCGAATATGTTCCGGAGTCACGAGAAGAAGCGTATACCAATTTCAATTCATATTATCCTGGAAAGAAGTTCAAGTCGGGGTGAGTTTAAAAATCATCATGTATTTTATATTGATGAGATACGACGTCTTGTTGAAGTTTTGCTCAAATTGAGGCAGATGCTTTGTATAGACATTTAGAATGCGCGTGAAGCCGAAAGACACACGGCCTTATGCCGTTCTTGTTGCCATGTGCTAAAAAACAGAGATTGTTCGTGAGGAAGACAGCATTGCTACCGTTTCAATTCAGTTGTCCGCGCTAAACGGGGATCCAAAAGAGATTTTTTTTAAAACAGTCTCATCATTTTGCATAATCTCTTTAGCAAGCATTGACTGCCCCGATCCGATGGTGTATTCGTTATCAGACTCATTTACTGTTGGCTAATCTTTCAGATCACTTGTCCAGATTGGAACCCAGTCCCAATTCCATCCAAATGTCCAGAATCTTGCAAAATACCGTGACAATCCCGATTACTGTTCCAACAACAACATTATCCCTCTGGATAAGCATTTTAGGAATCAATTTGAGGTTGATTGGTGTCGGTTTTCAGTGGTAAGTTGATTCGTCAAGCGCAATATTAAAAGGTTTTATTCTTGTCTTTTTCCTATCAATTCTATTGACGATTTCAAACCAAAATCTTTTTAAGCTTTCCGGGGTTTATATGTTTTTGAAAATTTAGATTGCCCCCTTTTTTCCCAGAATTTCACCAATTTTTGGAATTTAATTACAAATACTCGAGGATAATCCGCATTTATTGTTGCTCAGATTGCTCTTCCGGCCACTCGCTATGTTTACTTGCTCAGAGTCACCATTAATCTGTTTAAAAATTCCACCGTTTTAGAAGAATATGACATTACTTCGTGGGTTCTACATTCCAACAACAGCAGACCCTATAGATCCATCTCCTGAGGTCGCAGAAGCGTTTCGAAAAGATCTTGAGCTGAAGAAAGAGAAACTGGAAAGTCGGAGGTTGGAGGAGACCCGGCGTGAAAAAGAGATGTACCAGTTTCCGTACTATTTCTGGCAGAGTGTCGTGGTAAGATTAAGAGCCCAGAATCTCCGCAAATCCCTATGGGGATAAACACAATTTCTCCTGGATTAAAATCCATCATTTTGCAGATTTTTCCGTTGCTGGCGGTCCTTTGTATCGGCCTAATCCTCGTGCTAAGTATCATTTTCTTCGGACGCCGCGAAGGCCAACAATGGAGGGATTACAAAACGCCAAAGTAAGGGATATTACCTGGGATATTCGTCGGATATTATGCAGGGCTTCCGATGACAGATATAATGTCGGTGGAAAAAGGGAGACAAAAAAAAGGAATTAGGGGTTAAGACAATACGTGCAAGATGACAATTAGAGATGTCTATAGGGCCATTGTATGATAATTTCCACAAAAGCCAAAGATCCCTTATTTTACTATTCACATTAAATCTTGCAGAGAACAGCTGCACGAGTATCTCAACGTCCGTGAAAGCCAACGGCATCTTCGCGAACTCAGCGTTCAGCGACAAATGTTGTTGATGAATGATCGAAGTAAATCAAATACTCCATTAGGAGTTCAAGCCTTCCTTCAGCCCAGAGCCGGCACTGTAACGCCTTCTTTGGGACCTAAACGAAGTCAAGCAAGTGAACCGCCAAGAGTCCCGGGAACTCCTCGAAGTGTGACGTTACCTCGACGAGAACCAAGTCAAAGATGTAAGGAATGTTTTTCAGAGTTTTTATATAGCAAAACGCTTAGTTTTTTTGCATAATTATCTACATGGGAGGTATGTAATTAGTATTACTGAGCCTCGTTATCATAGTTATACGAGACAAAGAGATGTTAGATGTTTATGGCTTATAGATTTTATAGTTAAATGCCTTTACATTAATAAGTCGAGAATTTAAATTCCTGCTCATAAGACATGTTGTCAATTAAGTGATTAATTAGTTATGTTTACAGCGGAAGATGACGACCGTCGTTTTAATAAGCGCTCTTCTGTGGGCAAGCAGACTGTGGCCGAGGCCGCTTTGGCCACTGGATCTTCGTTAAATCTGTATCGAAATCCTTTGGATTCCGAGGAAATTGATCAGTCTCATCGATAAGATTACTTTTTTCGACGAAAAGCAATGCTTTAAAGTCCTGATCTACTGCCGCTTTCAAATTTCAATTGTAAAAATAAATTTTAAATTTTTATTTACAAACTATAATTACAGATATCATTAATGTACAAGACCTTGGCACAGTAATATACCGGTTTCAACAAACGATATGTTAAGATATAGGCAATAGGTTCAAAAAACAACTAAGTAATCTCTATAGGACTCTTTGGCAAGACAAAACAAGTGTTCAGGTATAAAGCAAACATCATGTACAGAGGACACAGCCTTATATACAGCCATATTACACGTCCAAAATCAAATGTTCCTTGGCCCAAGCGCCAAACAAATCGTAATCGGAGAACTCCTCTTCCAGCCGGACTGAAGGGATCACCCGTCTTCTCATTGCATGCAGTTTATACACTAGCACCAAAATCAGCACCATCATCAAAGGGACCACCAGGGCGATGAGCAGAACCAGCAGAGTGTGGACTTGTTCCATAGAGGTATAGAAAAGTCGCATTGTGTGGAAATCATGGGAAGTTATATCAATATTGGTCAGGTTGAGGGGATTCATCGTTGAATTTGCGAGAGATGACAGCAGTTTGATGTAGATGACAGTCAAAGAAATGAACCAAAAAGAAGCTGAATATAGGACTACTAGAGTCTATAAAACTCAGACTTTGCAGCGATTGAGACTTTAGTAAGCCGGGAGAATTCCCTCTTATCCGTTCGGTTAAATACGAGGGATTTGGTGGGCGGTGTTGCAAGGGGATTAGCGACTCTACCGTAAGGTAGCGAAAAGTATAAGTCGAAGAAAAATGAGTGGGTTAGAAAAGCGGAAGTTGTTCATACAAATAAAAAGGAAATAGGACCCGAAGTATACGATATAGACAAAGGATTATGGGGAATGAATAAGATATTGATTGTGAGATGGCATTCCAGAAAGTACAACCTTTAGCCAAGTAGAATTAAAGAGAAGATGTTTACAATGTCTAGGGACTAGAATTGACTAATCTTAGCTAGCTGGCTATTCAGAGTTGATCAATAATGACTTATCCTTTTCGTATTCACAGAAGTCGACTTTAGAAGTCTTATCGATGCAGCCAGTAATGTAATCACTCAAAGGATGTGCCGCTTCGCTCTCCCAATCCCTCTTGAAGATATTCCTCATCTTCTGGATTAACGGCTGGTGTCCAGGCTGTTGCTGGATCACAATGGCGGCACCAGTTCCAACGCCTTCGAAATAATCACCCGACCAGTTGGAGGTACCTGAAACAAGTAGTAATTTCATTAGGACAAAATATCATCATGTCTTTACTCATAACCTCTTGTACTAGGTGTTTTTTAGTGATAAGCAATGTTTTTATGGAACTGCAAAGACAATAACAAGAAAAGATAAGAAAAGCTTATGACACGTTCCGAAGGAAATAACAAAACTGAACAGAAAGTATTTTAAGAGAAGTATATTAAAATTTCCAACAAAAGGAGAAGGAATCCGAATGCCCAACGAAGTCTTGAACTTACCAACAACAACAGTGTCATCAGTCACCACGAATTTCTTGTGCGTTCTTCTCTCCCTTCGAATTACGCTTTGCATCTGTCCTGGAGTCGGAATCTTAATAATCTTCACTTCTATCTTTCCTTTCCCAATTTCATTCATCATCTCGAGACTCTTCAGAAATCTCAAGCCCATTTTTGGATAATGCAATGCAGCAGCAATCATTTTGACATTCACTCCTCTCAGAATGGCATCTCTCAACGCGTTGTCCAATACTGGCCAGAATCGGTTGTTATTTGAGTACAAGAACATTGGGAAGTAATCCATGACATGAATATGAAGATGTGTTTTTGACCTGTTGATCGTATCCACAAGAGCATCAAGATCCCATGTTCTTTCAGGGGCATTCATCAGCTTTGGCGAGGTCTGGAATACAAAGAAAATCTTAAGATACGAAAAGATGACGGCTAGACTCAAAAAATATTAAACTTTTCAGAAGAAAACAAATCAATTAGTCTAAATTTGGCATTGACAATGAACCTGAGACATCTTAATTGGGGGATAATTAATTTTTCTAAATATACGAATTGCGTGGGGTATGGGTTAATCTTTTGATTAAAAATATTAATTATAGTATTAATAAATAACAAACATGGCATTTTAATGTTGAACATAACAAGGCCTTATTGTCTACGTAGCTGGCTACGTGAAAATCCCGTAAATATTCTGGTATTTAAAACTTCCTCTACTTTTTAATCTTCTTTTTGACGCTTAGCGGAAACTAAGGCTTTTGAAAGTGTTAGATGGCAGTTTTAAATGTACTTTTACACTTACCGCAATATAAACTTTTGAGTCGACTCCGTCATACTGTATCTTCAGCGGCTTTTTCATATTGTAGATATGCGGAGATCGCCGATGAATCGCTTTTTTCATCTGATCCGGTCTCTCCACATTCGCTGCCTGCCAATATTGCTCAAAGGAATGTCTCAACTCCTTGGCCAAACAAGGACAATTCTTCACGAGCACTCCCATTTCCATCTTCTGACTCAACGATCTCCAATCAAGGTTTGCAGAGCCAAGATAGAAGCTTTTCTCATCAGCGATAATGAATTTGGAATGCATCGTGCCAGAGTTGTAAAGTCTCTGGAGGTTGAGCTTTCGAAGGGCTGCAACGCCAGCATTTTGAAGACTCCGGGCATCTTCGTTGTCTCCTTTGTCTTTGGATGGAGCGTTCTCGACGATTCGGATGTTGACGTTACGGCCAAGGCCGGCTTGTTTTAGTTCTTCAAAGATTAGATCACCCTGAAAAAAACTAATAAGCATAATCACCATGAAAGGAAGCGGGATTTCTTGAACTAAAATTTACAGTTCAAATACTCAAAATGAAGCACATATGAGAAGATGATCTAAATGAGTTGTAGGTCTTCATTTAAGCTAATTTTAACTAGAATCTAAGCAGTACACTTTGAACTATTGACTGATAACAGATTAATGCAGAAACGGAAGCAACCGTGAAAGTAATATCTTAAACTCAAAAACAAATTAAAACCTCTTACCTCCACCGAAAAGTCTTGTGTCACCGATCCCAGCACATGCTTTCCTCTCAAACTCGATTTGTAAGCCGCAATGTCCAGAGAAATTTCACTTTGAGAAACCAATTCATTCCACGCTTCAAATGTACTCTTAACTTTGTCCGAAAGTATTGTCAAATTCTGTGGGACACTCTCAACCATCTCAATACTGCAAGTGTGATAACATTGTTGAGATTGTGTCAGGTCGTATTGCGGGCACGGATCCGGGATTTGCTGGGATTTCCATTTATCGTGATAGGCAATCAGAGCTGATGCTATCACTATGACGAGAGTTATGGCCTGAAAAGGGTTTGATGACGTAATTGTAAACTAACATAACATTTTCTTATGATTGCAAGTTTTCGATTTTTAGAAAACCTTGGGGTTCAAAAGTTCAAAAACCTTAAACTGTAGTCTAGTTACAATAAAAGACCAATTTTTTCGAAGTTAAAAAAATTACCAGTATGCTGGCATTTCCTTTTTGGCTTTCGTCCGCCGCCTCATTGCACGATGCTCTTCGTTCTGAAGTCATTTTGGAAGAATCGCTTTTTATTAACAAAAAATAGAACGGAGAATTAAAGAAAACTCAAACAGAATGAGCTGATAGCAGAAAGGCAAGGCCTTTTAAGGCAAATTGTTGAGGTTACTGATTACTCCATAAGACGTCAGGCTCCCGAAATATCGAGTCTGGGAAAAAACAAATATCTGATTAGCTGGCTTATCAGCAAAGGCATGTGATCAACTTTCATAATCGATAGAAATGCAGATAATGAATGTGCGGTTGAAAGATCAAGAAATGTTGGAAGGGTCATGTGAGATTAGTACTTATGTTTTATATGTAGAAAATACGTTCCTTATTTCTCAATGGTCTAGTGGAAATAGGAAATCCACAATGAAGAGGCTCATTATTGATGACTATAAAAAACAAAACCTGCAGTTCCATGAGATCACAACCAACTCTCGAAACTACTGCTTGGACTCAGAGATTTTCATCTATTTATTTTTTGCAAAGAGATTGAGGTCAAGAGTGTTGCCCAATCCGTTCCAAGTCTCAGGTTTAGGTTGTCCCTCAATACCCATAAGAGAAGTGTTTGTGGTTTCTTTAAATTCACATCTGGCATTAGTCACATGTCAATGCGAAAGTTACAAATCTTGCATATGTCTTAGAAAAAAATTTAATCATAATTTGTGCCAAGTGTTATCAGAGCTGATCATCCACTAGGATTAGTGCTGTCAGTTTTGCTTCAAATATGCATGCAGAGTCGGTTGGTTGAAGCGATTTTTGATAACACTCAGAGACTGCAAAGTTATACCATTTTTCGAAAATTCCTAGAACCCCAATGGGGAAAACACTGATTACTTGTATATATAAAACGTTGTGTTTGTATTAGCATTTTACGATTCTTATCAACTTGATCCTTTAAAACGCTGCAATTCACATCTTGTGTATTGATGTATACCCTCTCAAAGTTCGAATTCCATTATTTTCCGTTAACGTCATCACACTTTATCTTTTGGCGGTCTAAAAATGGTTTTTGTTCCTCGAATGTCATAACTTGCTTATCTCCCCGTAATTTTTCATTTCAAACGGGCAAAGAATGTTTGAGAAGTACCTTTTCTTGATAGATTATTATAGAATCATGTTTTTAATTTGCTACTGGTGAATTTTTGGCTATTACATATCTATGAAATGCCTGATAATATTTGCGAGATTTTTGCAAATATTATCGTCCCTTTAATTAACCTTGCACAACTATAAATAGTTTTGCATTCCCTCCGGGCATCTCCCATTTATGTTTACCAGATATCAGATAATATGATAAGCTCATATCTTTCCCAAATTGTAATCAGTAATTGCAAATTGCACGACCATCAAAGAACTCTTTGTTTCTTCCTGTAATTAGTACAACTTTTTATCGTCATAACCAAATTTTTCAAAGGACAAAAATTCAGTAGTGATAAAATTTTGTGGCTAAAATCAAGTGACTATCGATTATGGAAATAATGTTGTCTTGATTTCTAAAGATCAGCAACTTTACTTTTATTATTTACAAGCTGGTTTCCTTATCAGTAAGAGGAATATTAACTAATTTCCTCGTGACAATAATTAAGTTAAAATATACAGGAAAAAAGACAAGAAATTAAAGTCCAAAGTATTGAATATCTTGTAATCATCGTTTCTGGGATTGAGGAGTAATTTCATTTGGAAAAACTGTTTAGTAAGAGGTGATAAGAACCTATTCTGGGTTCTGTTTGAGTGGCAAGGGAGAATTGTTGCAGTTTATGAATTCAAAGAGGAATTATAACACAGGAGTTGTTACTTTAGGTCAAAAAAATTTTTTAAATCAAAAATTTACATTATGGCTGGAGGTGAATGGTTGTCTACAAGACTCTTTTGTCAAAAAAAATTTTTTTTGGAATCATCACCCGTCTCTGTGCCGGACCTTGAATATGTGGCCCGGAAAATTGAGCCCAGTTCAAATGCTCTATCAATGTACCAAATGACCGCAGTTTCTGTGGTCCGATTGCTGTATCTTGCTGTCCATAACTCAACAAGTTGTTTGAAAGATAAGTATCATTTTGAACGACTCTACCACCGTGTTTGTTCCTTTCGTTTTCCAATTAAATCTCCATTCTCATTTATCACCAACCAAATCCCCCCGATTACGATGACATAACCCACAAACAATCTATTATTCTTGCAGACGTTTTTCGGCTCCTAATCCGAATCCGTTTTCTTTTCCATTTACTGGGTCAAAGTCATTTGTCATAATTAAAAATAAAAAAAACTTTCTCCGCATTCTTCAAATAATTTATATAACAAAATAAATATACAAAACAATAGTTTAATTTATTTATTCTTGCCCTGAGGCTTCGATTTCGGCGCCAGATCCTTCTAATCGGCCTTCGTCGCGGAGGAAAGTGGAGTCGGAAGGGGCTTCGCCGCTGGCTTCGGATTCGGGAATTTCGTTTAACGAATCGGCTTGGAGGAAGGCAGGGGCCTCAGCTAAAATACGATGATACTTTAGGGTTATTGGGAGAGCTGATTACCTCTTTTCGCTCGGTTTCCCATAACAGCGAGGACCAGCATGAAGAAGAAGAAAAATTTAAGGGCCGATCGAAACATTTTGTGTTCTGAAAAGCACGGAATTATAGTTAAGGAAAATCGATGCCAAAAAATATTCAAAAATGCGTGTTGAAAAATGTTTGATTAACAGTGAAGTATATGTAACGCTGAGTAAGAGAAACCATATAAAGGGTGTTTTAGAACTACATTTTTTTAAGATAATTTCAGCCTTAGGTTGCCGCGGATAACTTTGAAAATTGGTTGTTTCGGAAAGGCCCTGTGGAACTATAGGCAAGGTCCATTACTTTTATTCGCAAAGAAATGCCTAAAGCCATCAAAAAAAAATATATCGCAAATCCTCTTGATCCCTCATAGCACAACCTCTCCAAATGCCTACTGTAGTTTGTTTATGCTTACACAATTATATTCATAAACAAACAGATTGTCATACGGAAACGCCTCGCCGAACAACTTTCTCCCAACGTTCCTTACACCTGTTCCCCATCCCGCAAATAATCCCCCCTTCCCGAGGAGTGATCCCGTAATCTCGAGTGTGGGATCTTCGAGCGTCTTCACAGCACGCCCCACGGTTTTATAACGTCGGCGCGCGATGGGCGTTTCTGACCTTTTGCGGCGCCTTCGGCGCTGCGGACGATGCCAGGCGAAGGCATCCGTGGAACGGCGACCAAGAACATCGGTCGGTTATTCATGAAGCGAGTCCGGTAATGAGTCGCTTCATGAGTCAGGCGATCCAGCTAATTGACGTGATCGTCAACGCTTTCAAATCGAATTAACGGACCGGCTTTGAGACAAGCCGCAAACCGGTGTTGGCTCGAGACTTTTGGGGCGAATTCGAGCCGATGTAATCGCCAGAGAATGTTCGGACGGCACTAGTTGGGTAACGTGAACACTTCAGAAAAAACTTTATTCATCAAATAAAAAGTTGTTGAAGAATCTCCACTACAAGCTCCGAAGAATTCGTTTTTGAAGGGAAAGAATTACGAGTACATTATTTGTGAAAGATTACTCGATCATTTTGATGACGTATTAGTTGAAACTTTGTGGGCGATCTCAGCGTTTACGAAGCAACCTTGAGCTAAGGCCGAATTATGCCATTATTTCCGCTAAATTTGAATTTTATTTGGCAATTCAAGGCTTTTGAGGAGGAACGACCGTGACCCAGACATCAACATATGCTCCTTTAGTCATCAGTTATATCAACTACATACACTGAAAACCGTCATAAAATGTTTTTTACTCCGTCATAACACAAAATAATCATTTTTTATCCCGAGCTATTACTTGAGCTCAGCCGATCGTAAAATTCGCTAAAAACACCTCAACGAGGTCAACTTATCGGGTATTGGAATGTAAATTAGGCTAAATTTCTCGGTCGAAATGACGAAAATAGAAAGTGCAACAGATTTAGTCGCTTTACACATCCACACAAAAGTAAATTTTATGTAAAAATTTAGGGTAAATAAATTAAAAAATGGAAGCTTAAACGAAAGATAAGGTAAGCTCTTTAAATCAACAGTGGGGTTCTGTCTACACTGTAAGAATACTACGGTCTTTGCCGACCGGCAAGACGGCTACTTCTTTCACTGAAGGCAATGTCTGTCTGGGAACAAACTATGCCTATCAAAATTTCATTCTTTTGGCATTCGACAAAAGCAAAAAAAATATGCTTCATAAACAATAAAAGTATAAAATACACAAAATTTATAAACATAAAAATTTAATTTTATGAATAAGTAATACACACAATTTACTATGCAAATCACAGATCAGAACTAGAGGTGGAGTCGGGATCTTCGTCTTCGTCGTGCAATTCAAAGACGTACTTCTTAAAGCTTGGAATTGAGACCTTCTTTCCGTTGAGTCTTAATACTTTTCGAGGATCAATACAATGGTGATATTCTTTTGGGATCCAGTCATAATAACTTTTAGGGAGATCTGGAACAGGGAGAGGAGATTCTTTAGGCGCCCCGATCTTCTCCAACTTTACCACCTTCAAATTGAGCAGTCTTGTTTCGGTTTCCACGTTCAAGAGGACTTGGAGCTTAAATTAGAGAAAAATTACATTATTTATGGCAAAAAGGATAGCTGTCCTAAATAAAAAAAACAACGCTTACCTCATCTTCTGGGTACTTGTTAAAGCATAAAATATTAAAAGCTTTGATCATTTTTCCCAAGATTTCCTCATCTTCGCAGATCAATTCAAAGTTTTCTTCCGCCGTCTGAATCAATAATCCCTTTGGTAAATTTGCTGTATGGGACTTCTTTTTCTTCAATGAGTTGAAAATCCCTTGTGGAGTTTCAAATCGAGCCATGTTTGCGAGGGTTAAATATTCCGGCCCATGAATAATATGTTTGATCTCGTCTATTCGGATACTCCCTTTCTCTCCATTGACAACTCTCCCATCATCACCACAGTCTCGATAAAAGAGAATATCATCAAACACGCTGAGTCGCCAATGCCTCCACAATAATTTGTCATCTTTTTTGGTGGATTCTTTTTCAAACATCTTGTCCAGATCTTTCGGTAAACGTTGAAGAACAAGCCCATCTTTCAGAGGTTTTGTATAAGTGTCCTTTATAAACTTCTTGACACTTGGAGAGTGTTCCTCTACCAACTTTCTAAAAAAAATAAATTTTATTATCTATGGCAGCCTTACTTTTTCCATCGATTTTCCAGATCGTTCCTTCCTTCTTTGAGTAGCTCCAGCTCTTTTCGGCTAAACTCTGAATCGAAATTCTCTTTCAGGAAGGAATCAAACATCTCCACTGTTTTTGGATATGACTCTAGGCACTTATTAACTTTGACTTGTGTAATCTCAAGCACATTCTTCAAGCTTTCCTTATTGTCGTTAATCTCACTCCAGGTTCTGTGAAATAACATTGCCAGAGATTTCAGGAACGAGGGGATTGGATCAACTTCGACGAGGAAAAATGGGCACAGTTTCATACCTAAAATAATATAAATTTTATCAAATGGCTTAAAATAAATAAATTTACCCCCGCTCGCATTCTTCATCGTCTTAAAAGTCATGCTAATGATATCCAGCATCATTACACACCAATCCTCGGGGCACAACGGGCCTTTTGTTGCTATCTAGAATAATATCAATAACTTTTGTAATCGTTTGGTATGTAAGCTAATACATGAGCCATTCCCACCTCAAATAGTTCTTGATCCTCCGCACTGAAAGCCCTTTCCATAAACTCAATAGCCATCAAGCCCGGAGGCGTTCTGTACAGTGCATTCTCAAAGGCACTCCAATCCCTGGACAACGAAAACTCTGGAATCGCTTTAGATATTCGATAACTTGAAGACTGTGACCATGTGGAAATGTTCTTGATCAAGACCTAAAAAACAATGCAATGTAATAAAAAATCGGCTTACCGTAATCTTATGGATATCCTCTAAACTCGGACGCAGTTTGGACCTGGCCGTTAAATGAGCCATTCTCCCAGCACAAATTTTGCTCAATTCGGATATCAATTTCTCGTTTTGATATACCGCTGGACTTTCAACCAGTGGCATAAAGGAGTTTACCCATCTCTCAGTACTTGATAATACTTTGAGTTGTTCGAATGTGATCTCGTCTGCCATTTGCCATAAGAAAAATAGGACCCGGATATAAGAGTAGTGATAGGAGGAGGAGGATTCTGGTAACAGATCAAGTATTTTCTCAAAATCCAGCTTCTCCGATAGGTATTCATGCAAATCGGGTCTGAAATCGATTAAAATAAATTTAAACCGTTAAAAAATTTCTGTAAAAAAATGCATATTAAATTTGACTTACAAGTTATCAATAACCAGCTGACACAAAACAACAGCAAAAGAAACAAAATTTTTGGCAGTGTCTTTATTTTCCAATAAATTTAGTGTCGAGAATAAGACACTTTTGTCTATTTCGCACCACTTCTCGGGACCTGCATTGGTCATTAAGTCCATTATGTGATGAAAGTAGTTATCTGACACACTAAAATAAGAGAACCTCCAAAAAAGCTGATTTTTGACTTACAATTCCCTGGAATCAATAAAAATCTGAAGTATTCTTTTGAAATTCACCTTCTGAACCCATACTCCAAATAAATAAAGATCATTCAAGCCATTGGACAGGTCTATTAAAAGTTCATCCGCCCCATTTACATTATTTTCTGATAAACTTGCTTCCAGCAGCCCATCCAACACTTTTTCAATGAAGTATTCCTAAAAAAGGCTGCAAACATTGGGGAAACAACTTACAGGTGATGGAGTAAGCTCAAGAACAAAATTTTCTTTCAAAAGATCCAAATTCCCGTCGATTAGATATAAACCACCAAACAATTTAGTCTTCGAATGGATGTCAAACCGTATGTATAAGGAATACCCATGCCTAGGTGCCGGAGGTGCCTTGAGCAACCTTGTGGACTCATCAATCAACTTTTGAATCGAGAGATCCTGAAGAACAAGGTACTAATTCATATAACACTTACTTGTCTGGTCAATTTCAAATTGGAAACTCTATTGGGCTTGGAGAGAACACACATAGGCTCATTGTAGATCAACTGGGAGAAATTTGGATTGAATTTGACAATTCCCTGAAAGAAGCAAGCTTAGCTCTTTCAAACGTAAGATAATTAATAAATCGGATGTTATAAATCTTACCCAAATCCTCTCAGAATTCCTTGATTGGTAGATCTCTTCATTACTGTCGGTTACACTCATGAATCCAGCATTGAAACTGATTTATAACCTTCGAAAAGTCCAATCATCTCGCGAATAGAGAAGAAAATCGGGTGTGCCGGGTCAAGTCTCTCTCTTTTATGAGCAGGAAAATCGGAAATAGCGCCATAAATCATTTCGACGACTATAAAGCAGCAAAAGGACAACATCTACGAGAAAATCCATCAAAATTAACAAGAGACATTGTTTTAATTGCTCAACTGAGCTCAGCAACAATTTCATTGAAAATTTATTTTTCAAATCGTAAAAAAACGCAAAAGCGACAGTTTATACGATGAAACCTGTTAGGCACTTTGCCCGAAAAGGAAAAGCTTGGCCATTGGCATTCCGTTTCGGCCGCTCGATATTTTATCGGGAAGATTTTTTCGGAAGATTTTAGACATGGTTTGCTTCTTTCTTTGATATTGTACTTGCAAAATACAGTAATTGGTTAACTTCGACTTCATTTTAGGTATGATAACCTTCAAGGCCATAGTATTTGGCCTTCTATGCATTCGAACCTTTGCATTCGATGCGATAATCTGGTCAAATGACCCTAAGAATCTGTAAGTTCTATGACGACGATTCGAATATTATTTTACAGCGAAAAGAATATCAATGAATTAGTTTCCTCGAGAAGTCCAGACCGAAGAATCTATTTGATTGGTCTTGAAGACTTCAATTTGGATAATCTGGACAAAGATGCGGATGAATCTAGCATTCTGAATGCTGCCGCCAATGGAGAACACAAGGAATTGCATAATTTTGAGGGTGTCAATGTAAGGAGTATATATATTTTGGTTTTATTCTTTAGATTCCGCAAGATAATCGACATGTTGAGTATATTGAAGCGATGTTGGATACTTTGGACTCAATCAAGTCTTTCAAAGGGGACTTTGTGGCCATCTTGTCGGAGCCTGAAGCTTTCAAAGTGACTAAAAGAGTAAAGAGAGTTGGAATTATTCAAGACGATGAGCAGGAAGAGGAGGAAGAAGAACGTCCAAGGTAGTGGTTTTTATACCGTTTATATTTGCCGGATATTTAGAGGAAGTTCAAAGTCCAAATCTAAGTCTCGGTTCCGAGGGTCAGAGGGAGTTGATCTCAAATTGCCTGTGATCCTTCCTCCTTACGATTCAAAGGCCGCCAATCCAAAACGCCCTGAACCGGAATGGGGATCATGCTTGTTGTACATGGAAAGTTTGAGTGTCTATGTTTTTGATGCCACGAGAACTCGAGATATTCTTGGGATTGGAGTAACAATTGATAGTGATAGTGGAAACAAATTCTCATTCAGCGATGAACATGTGAAATGCGATGACGAACAAGGTGAATATGAGTAAGTCGTCATGTTTTGAAGATTTATTTTTGTCTAGGTTTACAATTGTGGTAACGCCATCCAAGCCATTGCCAGCGATCAGAGCCGGGAAGGATAAGAAGCCTTATTTTACGTTTGATCAGACGCTTTCATTAACGTAAGAATTAAAAATAGTCTTGTTTTATTTCGAATTTTAGGCTAAAGATCAAACGGCTCAATTACGAATGGGCTTTAGTCGCGATTGATCTTAATGATGACATTAGAATCAAGAAAGAGCAACAAGATTGGCTTAATTCATCGGTTTCTATCAAACCTCAACGGGCGACCGACTTATCGGTCCGAGATTTGGGTGTTAGAGCCTCTGGCAATTACAATTTCGGATGTTCGCAGACTCAGGCAGCGGTTTTCAACACGAACAAAAAAGAATACGACTTCGGAGTTGTCTTTGGAAATATCCAAATTCAAACTACGGGTGTGTTCGTTGGACCCAAGGACGATAAGATTGTAAGGTTCGGCCCTTACACGAACGACTGTATTGGAACTTTCTCGGTGGGATCTTGGATGGGAATTATAGTGACAGTTCTGTTAGTTGGATGTCTTACTTTGGCCTTCTTGATGTTGAATTCGGTGAAAACAATCGATCGATTTGACGATCCCAAGAGAAAGCAAATCGTAATTAATGTAAGGGAGTAGCCTATAAGATAGATAGCCTTCGGTGTCTTCTCTTTTGGCCATCTTTAGATCTCTTTTGCCATAATCTGCTTTCAGGAAAGTTCGTCTAACACAAAGTCTTAGTTTAATCTTCGTAACTCACTAAGTGGTAGTTGTAAATAGTCCCTAAACTCATAATATTGGTCTAACTTCGATCTCAAAAACGCCAAGAATAAAGTGAATTAGATATTTATTTTATCCTTGTTTCTTTTTCATTGTTTCCTGAACGGGGTTGATCATTTTAAGACAGAAATAATCGCATTTTCTTTTTTTGGCATCACTGGCTTACACAAAAAAGAAATCTTGGATCCCAATAATTACAATGGATAACAACAGATCAATTAAACATAAATGTAACAATATTAAATGAAATCTTTGTACAAGAGGAGGGAAGGGTACTGTACTTATTGTAGTGGGTGCTCGGATGTGTAGAAATTTCGAGAAAGTCATAGAAATCGTTGATAGACTTGTCCTTGGTATAGCTTACGGGTTCTACAGGGCGGTGGGAAAGGGCTTTTCGGCTGTTACAGAGACCTATAACGAACTAAACACCTTTCTGGCCTGTGGAGGCCTCTAAATCTGAGGGAGTGTGGGGAATTCGGGGCGATGGAAAGACGGGTAGGGGAAGTTGTGGAGATAATCATTGTGGAAGGTGGGCCAAGGTCCCAGCCTCGGCCCACTAGAGCTCAAAGAAGTTTTAGAAGAAGCCGTTCCGTCGTTTTGCACAATTTATGCAGCTCCACTCACATTGTTGTTCAAACTGGAATTGATACAACGCATCCGGGTTGATGTTCACACATGACTACAAAAAGTGAATATATTAGATATAAAATACCAACGGTACTCAACAAACAGCATAAAAAAATTGACATTTTGTCGAATTTGGCGGGAAATTTCAAATTCAAAAATTTTGTTGTCTAAAAACGGAAATAACAAGTAAAAACAACAACTCACAGCATGGAAAACACTTCCACACCCCATTCCACTCGCCGTGCATCGGATTCCTTTCATTTCGGGGGAGACTGGTTGTTGACAAGACACACAAGAATGGTTAGCTTCGACGATTCTCTCTGTTGGTGGTTTGAACCGATTCATGACTGGACCGGGCACTGCAAATCCGTCCGGACCTAAATACATAATGATATCAATGAATTTTTGCTTACCTTTCATATGAGGAAGCATCGCGTTAGGCGACATTAGGCAAGGATCTCGCATCTCTGACGAGGAAGGCCGATTCGGATCCATTCCCATCATTTGCATGGGCATCTGCCCAGGCATTGGTCCAGGCATGAATTGGCCTGGGGGCATGTGGTTAAACATTTGGGGATTGTGCATCATCATTGGCTGCTGCATCATCCGTTTCTCCTCTTCTTCTCGCTTCTTTTGCTCCTCTTTTTCTTTCTTGGTCTGTCGCTTTTTCTTTGGTGGAGGTGGTGCGGGAGCTGGGGGCTGTTGTTGGGGCATCATCACCGGAGGCGGGGGTATTCGAGGAGCTTGGACCACGAAACATTGAGACCGGTTGAGATTCTGAACTTGTGGATACAAACTTGTGATAAAGTTGTGGCCTTGGAGCGTGTTGACTGATGGAGGGAATTGTGCTCGAAGTTGAGGGATATCCGGAGCATTGTACCTTGTATTTATAAGCAAGTTCCGTAGATGTTCGTGTTGCGTTGGGGGGAGATGCATCTGCGGATTCAAGGGCATACAACGGAGTTCATCGTCAAAGGGAGACTTGATCACCTGAGGGCATTCATTGTCTTGTTGAGGAGGAGTTCCGCCGTGGTTTGAGAGAGGAGGTGTACTATTCTCTTGATTGTTGGAACTTGATGTTGGGGGTCCCATATTGGGCTGGGATCCGATCAAAGGTGAGGGAGCAGTTGGGTTATTCATAGGTGGAGCATTAGAGTTGAGAGGAGAGGGACTATTATTGGTGCTGCCCATCGAATTGGGAGATGTTCGGTTGTTGTTGGACCATTGATACCCGAAAGGTGGCTGAAATTATAAAATTAGGATCAAAATTATCAAAAAAAAAATTTCCAGTTTTCCTAAATTTTGAAGCTGATTTATATAAAACAAACGAAAAATAACTAACTTGTTGGGCCGGATTACTGGTGGCCAATGGGTATTCCGAGAGTCCCATTAGGACAGACATTCTCTTGATCTGGGACCAGTCGTCGCTGGCCTTGCGTTTTCGGAGCACTCCTGGGTGTTGATCCGAGTGCGCGACTCAAATGGAGGGCTGAAAAGAGCGAGTTGAATGAGAGCAAAGAGAAAGGGGAGTGTAGGGCTAACGCGAAGAGAAAGAAGGGACAAGACAACGTGGTCAGCGAGAGCGGGGAGATCCGCCGATTGGCCGAATCGGGTGGGATGATGACTAACCAAAGGGGGCAAGGGGCGCGTTCGGCGCGCAACTCCATCCTTTCTTGGCCGGAGTCGGGGGCCAAAAATGCAATTAAGGGGACGGAGCGAACCGTTTGGCTGTGTCGCGCACATGCCTTAATGCCGAGTTCGAAGTGTTTGGAGTGGTGGCGGTTGAAGGGAGAATAAGGACAGGAACCGGGTAGCATTCGGCTTGATAGGCGCCTAAGACAACGGCCAAAGCGCCTCTTCGGCCGTGACCGGGACCTCCATTGGCGGCCCAGTCGGCTGGCGGTCGGCTCTCTACCCCACGGCCGGAATACCGGCCCATTCCCGGCTCGAGGAGCGTCTTCCGAACGAGCGAGCGAGCTATCTCCGAACCCGAAAGTGCCTCTCGCGCCTTCTTTGGGATCCGTCCGTGACCGCGGCCCTGAGGGGGTGGAGGCGCGCGCAATCCCCGTCCCGCTTTCTCTTCCCACCAGAGGAGCATTCCGCTCTTCGCTGGGGGCACAACACCGGCAATTTCGGGCCGAAAACAGAGCGAAGAACCGGGATAAGCCGAACGAAGGTGCGGCGGCTTCGAACGTAACGGTCTGATGGCCAGAAGACAAAAAAACCTCTCTCCTCCCTTGCCGCCAGCAAGTGCAAGGAAGCGCGGTCTCGGGGACACTTAAGTTAGCGCCATTTTCTCCCCCCTTTCCTGAAATTTTTTCAGGCAGCGGGCCCCCCGTGCAGACCGCACTCTGTTTTGCCTTCTTCTAGCCCCGTCAGCAGTCCATAGCCATCTATCCCCGGTCGGTCTCCCATCGGGATTTTCAAGAGCGACCGAATGGTTCTTGGAGGTGGGTCGTGGACAATGGATACGAGCAGAGCCCGGAACAACATCCGCGCCGGCGCGGTTCCTCGTCGTCGCCGCTCACGTGACCCCGGGGACAAATGGGTTTCAGACGAGAAAGGGTGTGGAGGATCAGGCTTTATGATCCAAAAAGGTGTTCAAAAAAATTTTAAAGACCTGATAAGGAAAACGAAGATGTTGAAAAATAAACAAACCCCCAGAAATTTAAGAAAAGGGAATTCTAATTAGTCCAATTATCCAGATATTACCGGAAACCTTCTAAAACCTTCTCATACAACAGTAAATCCCCCGCTAACCTTAACTCATCCCTTGGCCAATTCCACGAGACAAGTGAGACCAAGTTGGGCATTGACCCTTCTTAGCGCCAGGAGATCTTTTCAAAACAAAAACAACCCGTATTCCTTCGTCTCGCCTAAAATGCGTCATCTTCTCCGGTTCCTGTAGAATCCCTAGACCGGGTCTCATAAATTTATTTCAACGTGTAATTCGGGGGTTTGACTCGAAAAGGGTTAGAATTGAGGGAAAGAACGAAGAGGGAAGCCCTTCGTTTTGTGTGAAAACGGTCGGAGAGATCATCAAATACGTCGTATTTTATCACGGAAAATTTAAGATTACACGGGATTAGGGAGAAAAATTTCGATTAAATTTTTCAACTCACAAAAAATTATTTCATTTTTGGGTAAAACAAGGAAGGAATGGCAAAGTGTTCCCAGGCTCTCTTATTTCTCTTTCATAAAGTTGAAAAACCACCCCAGAACTGCACTTTCTCCCAGATCAGTAAAAAAATTATAGAAACAAAAATCTCTAAAAATAAATTGACATTTAACCTTGGAAACCTTTGCCTACGCTACACTAATTGGCCACGTAATAAGGCCATTAATTCCCCTTTGCCCCATCCGAAGAGAGAGCCCCATTCTTGTTCCAAAAAAGTTTTGGCGCCAAAGGCTTGAGAGATCGAACCGATTCGAATACAGGTCCCATAATCAACAGAACAGGCAGAGAGCGTATAAAAGGCGTCGGAAGAGGGAACGGGGGTCGAGGCCAACTCCAAAGGTTGTACCGGGCGGATCTGCGCAAATCAAGGACATACAAAAAATAGGAGGAAATAGGGGTGAGGTAATATTCAAGTTAGTACCAAAGTATGAAAAATATAGTCTTAATGCCCTAGTGTGAGGTCTTTTTTAATTCGAAAAAGAAGCACCAAAAGAAAAGTCAAAGATAAAAAAGTGTAGCCACGTGATGAGAGAGGTTTTTTTTTATTTATGTATAAATTTAATTTGTACCTTTAACAAGTGGTTAATTTGTTCATAAGAGTAAATACCAAAAAATTAAAAGTCAGCAATGCAGAACTAAATATTATACTGTGTGAAATTATGGTCCGAGTTTATTGTTTCTGTGAATTCAAACTTTCCAGGAAAGAAATTTGTATTCCCTCCGAAAGGTTCATAACTACCGGAAAATCTGGAATCAGAGCGGGTGGGTACCCCGGATGGCGGACTTCTCGAGAATCTCCCCTCTTCGCCTCAATTCCCCTCTCCGTAACCCAGAAATATTTGGGGGGAAAAGACAACAGCACGGTTTCGGTCGGACGCGACTCGCCGCGACGTTTTGGGGCGTAAGGAGCAAAAAATAGATAGAATGGAAAGTGTTGTGGTAGCAGTCGTCAGAGCGGTGTGACAATTCGAAGAGAGACCCAGTTTGAGCGCCGCGAAGAGAGGGGGGCGCTGCTGGGGCAGGGGGAGGCTGGGTTGGGGGGAATGCAAAAAAACGAGGTGGAAAACTCGCGCGGCTTCCTGCCCTGACGTCGCGCAATCGAAACAATTCAAGGCTGACTTGGAATAAACTTATCATAAAGCGAGTACGAATCCCCGTCGTTCGCTGATAAGGGGTCATTCTGCGGCTGCTTCAGAGCTTGGAGAGCAAGATAAGGCCCTAAAGCTGACAAAGCGATCATTTCGAACAGGCTTCAACGTTTTCGTCGACCATGTGCAAAATAACTCGAAACTTGCATTTTTAATAAATTCAATGTTGAATACATTAAAAACTAGGGCTTAAACTTGTACATAAACATGAAAATTTACGATTAACTACAGTATGAAACACCCCCAAAACCGTTTTACAGAAATTTAAAGCAATTCCCAAGCAAACGGTAATCTTATGCCAAAAATATTCGGAATCCCGAAAAACAACATTAACCCAAAAACAGGAACAGCAAGCCCCGTAATTCAGCTCCAGCGGCACGCGGCCAAACCGATTCATTAGCATAAATCAAAACGTCAAACGTCTAGCCCATAAATAGCGCTCCACAATCCGAAACCGAAATAAAACAAAAAGGGGGAAAAGATAGTTTCAGAGAGAGAAACGAAAAAGCCCTGCAAGTGTCGAGAATGACGCGCCAATCTCGCTGAAATCATCGCCTCTCGCTTTTTCCTGTTTCCGGTGTCTCCACACAACCGCCGGGCAGATAATGCGGGCTGCGAGTGAGGGTGCTGATTTTGGAAAGAGGGCAATAAGTCAATCGACAAATTAGAAGACAAAAGGCAATGAGGAAGTCGTTCAGGTGGTGTAAGGGTAGGACTAATCGGTGTATTTCAGTCGATTAGCCCGCTTATCGACTACAATTTTGACATACATCCATTGCACTCTCATTACGGCCGCTAATCATTCACAAGAAGGTCAGAGGGCAGACTCTTAACATAAAATCCCCGAATTTCGAACTTATGTTGCTTAATTAAAGACGAGTTTAAGAGAACGCGCTTTACAACGCGAGGCTAGGCTCCTATTTCTGTAGTAATCAACTTTAAACTTACAGTAAATGTTATTTTAAGAAACGAAACGAGTAGGAAGACCTAAGAAAGGGAGATTTTCACAGGGAAACACACAGATTTTTCTTATCATTCGAGGCAACCAACCACTATCAAATCGACCGAATCAATGTTCACACTATCAGTGTGGAAGTTTTTATAGGCTCAGCCCCCATTGGCTTTGTTAGCGCACCAGAACGATGATTTAAGGGTTTCTGAGAATGAATGACGGTAAAAAATCTCGAAGAAAATTTTTGTATCATAAAATAAAAATAATTTTTAAAACTCTAGGCCAAGAAAATTTGTCAGAGCATTAGCCCGCACACTTGACCACGGATCCAAACCCCCCAAATCACACCACGTATGTCGCGGATGACATGTGTTTCGCTGAAAAGACAAACATTTTGATCCCGAGCCCATAAATTCATTCCAAAAACCTTTCTGATCAGAGCTCCAAGCCCTGTCTCCCTAGTTTTTGATGACTTTAGATGAACTATTGCCATAAAACCGGCCTTATCAGCTTAAGTGCAAGAACTTAAAGGTCTGAGTAGCCAATCGAAAGTAGGATATGAGAAAAATGCGTCATTGTCCTATAAAACCGTCATAAAGACGCTGTTTGTAAGACACAAATGCAAAGCATATGTCACGTATATGCTGATCAGAAATCTTTTTATTTTAGACTTCCCATTAAATACATAAACATCCATCATGAAAAGGACGTCGTGTTGGATGAGTTACGATCCTGATGACCTGAACATTTCCTTGATCTTGACTAAAAATCACGGATCATTTTTTGTCTCCCAAACTCACTCCTAGAACTATAGAACCCGAACATCCCCCATATTACTGTAGCGTGCAAAAGAGTCAACGGTTATTAAACGCCCGAGGCCCGCTGAAAATTATTCCAAAAAACGATTGTCAAAAGAGCAAGAAGGGAGAATTGAAGAGGGCCTTTCTTTCCGCCGCTGAACGAGCGAATCGCGCTCCAATGGGTTTCTGGTTAGGGGCGGTTGGAGAAGGGAGAAGAAGACGAAGCCGAGAAGAGTAAGAGGCGTATTGGTGCGGTTCGGTCCGGTCTCGAAGGTCTGCTTCTTGTCTTCCTTTCCATTCTTTCTTTCTTCTCATTGCAGGGACTGGCCTCGCCAAGTCGCCTTCCGGCTATTCCCCCCAGAGAATTCCTCCTGTCTCGCAAGTTTTGTCCGGCGCGTGATCCACGTTAAGCAGCCACCGTTGGGTCAACAGCTGGCTGGCGAAGTGTAGAAACCCGTTTGGCCTTCTGCCCTCTTCATGTGTAAATTCGTACAGTATCCGAATGGGGGAAATGGGGTCAATATCGAGGAGAACATCTTTAATGTGATCGATCCAACACGCCTATTCGAAAAGGTGTGTTAGAATATAATCGAAAACACAGCCAATCCTGTGGCAAGGACCTCACACCGTTCACTGATCACGACAGCAATGTTATAGTCACCTTGCATGCGGATGATTCATGGCCCATTTGGTTCAGTTACAAAGCATCATTATCAGCGAAAACCAATCCCATCAAAGAATCCGCACCCTGTGGCAGTTACACAGACCAATTTCACAGTCATAAAACAAGACGATCTGACCTCGTAACCCTCGGAAATCCTGGAAAACAGGGATCACGGGAGGGGAATCAGATAAAGAAGACCGGTCTTCTGCATCTCTGGAAAAACGAAAAAATAGTGGAAGCAAACTAACAAGGCACTTCTAACACTCTCTTTCCCCCAAATTCATTCGCCTTCATCCCGAAACCTCCACAAGGAAAGACGCAGAGAAGGGAGATCCGTCAATTAGAACGTCAAGAAGAACAAGGTGGGATGACATTTCTACAGGGACTTGCATGAAAAGGAAAGGGCTGGGTCTCAAGGGAGCGCGGCAAACGACATTCCCATTTTCTTGGATTCTGGAGAGACCGTTCGAGCTTACCATTCACAAACTAGGTCCAGCAAACTGACAATAAAAAGAGCGATTTTATTTAGATTGCTCAGTTTTGAGACCGTGAATGAAAAAAGAATGGAGGCGTTGAAAAACAGAACACGACAAAAGGTCGAATTTTGTAGCTTCATTTCCTAGATCCCATTGTTTAGTTTTCCCCAGAAATTAACTGCCAAGTTATCCTTGAGATCCAACCTTCAAACCTCAGTAAGACCAAATTTTGTGTTGGATAAAGACTCGGCCTATATCCGCTCTCCTCCATACCACAAGACGATCCCGAAAAAATGATAAAAAATGTCTAAGCGAGTGTCCTGGGGCCCTGGGATTAGGGCCAAATGTTATGGAGATTACCAGAGGCCCGGGTTGAAGTCGAAAACAGGCCAAGTCACATCTACCTTATGGCTTACACCCCCAGAAAGTTTCGCATTTATCTGACCTGCAGTCGGGTGCAAAGTGAACCGAAATATTCATCACGCCGTGGAATTAAGCATGCAATTGGAGGCCGCCAGACGTGTGCTTTAACTTAACATATGTGGAATTTCTAAGCGAAAACCCTCGAAAAGCCTTAATTTTGTTAGCGTGGGAGTATTTAGATTCCACATTCTATGATGTAGATCATCGTATATTCAAAAATTGAGTCATACGGACTATACCTTTCGGGGAATTTGGAGTATTTTTGGCGCAACAACAACAATATTTTTTAATTAAATCGAAAATAGTGCGGAACATACATATGGTATGTGTATAACAGTAATATCTAAAAATTTCGGATTTTTGATACTGTTTCGCTACGAACTTTACTTGACCCCTAAATTAAATACTCAATCCTGGAAAAGCTCTGTTTTCCAAGAGATTTGGCCAACTTCACAAAGTAAAATAATATGCGATTAAAAACATTTTAATCCGCGATTTGAGCGCTTAACATTCTTCGGATCCGCTCCGAAGCCGGTAAACAAAAACCTCTCAAAAGTCGAAAAAGCAGCGCGGCCGGTCTTGTGGCAGTCCAAAAACACAAATATTACACTTGGGCCGGGGTTTGAGAATGCCAAATAAGCGAATTATGGGTTGGTGTGGGGATTGTCATGCACTTGTCTCGACTTATTCCTATACATTCTACCACATTAAACTTTCCTGAACTTCCTGCCGGTTAATTTGATCCCAAAAATTTATATAGCTCGAGGGGATGAGTAATCCTTCATAATAATCATTCATCCCCTTCTAATCCGAACGTGCTTTTGAACAAAAGAGGAATTAAAAATGCCATACATGACTAAACGGGGCCACTCCGGATACCGAAACACCTTTGGGTCGGGCTCTACAACAATTAGAAAGGGCAAAAGTTGCGTGCCCCTTCAAGGTTTCCTGATAACAGATTTAATGACCGTGAAAAAAACGGCTGGAAGAAAACTTCATAAATGGTGAATGGTAGGATACTAAGCCAAGAAAGATACAGTTTGTGTTATGTAAACACCCCGGGGTTGAAAAATCATACAGGCTATTATAAAATACAAAAAGGTATCAAGAAACCAAGTATATCATCTAAAGATGTTATCTTCAGACCAATAATGAAGAGCACATCCTAAATTAGTCTGCGTTTGCTTACGCAGAAAATCATAAGACGCCAATCTGGCATCCAAAATTGGTCTTGCGCTTCAAAATCCAAGTTTTTGCCGAGAGCAACACTTGACCCGTTTGTGTCAAGTCTTTCTAAATATTATTTTTTCGTGAATTTTGGGTCACGTTTTAGAAAATTTTATCGAGTTGATTGGGAATAATGATCAAGACACCAACCAACGTCCGTCTTTTGACCAACGTCGCTGTAGTCAGACTGAAGAGATGCGGAAAGAGATTTGAGATTGCCTGTTATAAAAATAAGGTGCTCAATTGGAGAAATGGAACGTATGTTTGTGAATTGAGTTTTGTTTATTGTTGTTTTCTTTAGAGAAAAGAACATTGATGAAGTGTTGCAGAAGGAAGTGGTCTTCACGAATGTCCAGAAGGGAGAAGTAGCCAAGAAAGATGATCTTCAAAAGGCATTTGAGACCACCGACCATCTTCAAGTTTGCAAGATTGTAAGTTCATTTCGAAATTTAATCGTTTTGGCTTTAGATCCTCGAAAAAGGAGATTTGCAAGTTGGAGAGAAGGAGAGACAACACACTACGGAAGCTACATACAAGGAAATCGCGACACTAATCTCTCAAATGACGATAAATACAGAAACAAAGAAACCTTATCCAATCCCAGTAATTGAAAAGGCATTGAAGGAGAATCACTTTACCATCAAACAGAATCGACAAGCCAAACAGCAGGTAAATAGTTCTTTTTCGATTGTCGTTTTAGTCAGTTCGTATAAGAGAATGTTGCATTTTTATAGTTTATGACTACTGGGTTGGTTTCGAAATAATTTTTTGTTGATTATAGGCTCTGGAAGGAATAACAAAGCTGAAACAGACCATGGACATAGATAGAGCAAAGATGAGAATTAGAATCAGCATAAAACACAAGGAAGCCAAGAACGCTCATGTCAAGCTGAAGACTATGTTTGATAAGGTGGAAGTTGAGGATTGGGAAGGTGGCGACTTGGAGATGGTAATCTTTTTATTCTTATTTTGTGTTTTTAATTTTACGAGGGAATGGTCTGAACTTCCCCCAGCGTTTGGGAAAATGACTAGTACAGGTGGATAGAGCAAGTCAACATTGGTAAAAAGAGCCATTTTCCAGCTGCGGAATAAGCCCGGCCGACGAGAAAAATCGACCGAAAGTTCCGCAAAAATTTCCTCTTTCTCTTCCCTCGGAAAAGAAGAGCGGTGTCCAGTGGTTCGGTTAGCCGAGTGGATAAAGCATCCGCTCGATATTCTTTTGGGGGTTGGTTCGATTCCGGGGTCTCGCAAAGGGCCGTGATAAGGCTTTGATGAGCAAGATCAAGCTCTAACAAACCAAAAAAAATATTTTGCCATTTTTATACGTTTTATAGGTGCATTATACCAAAAAATAATCGTCAACAAAAATGAATTTTTTGGGTGCTTCCGAACATTCAAAGCGACGGACCATCGAAGTTATACCCGTTTGGTGATAGACTTGACTTTGAAAAAGGCAAAATGTTTTTTTGGGTTGTCAGACATTGATCTTGCTCATCAAAGCCTTATCACGGTACTTCGCGAGACCCCGGAATCGAACCCACCCCCAAAAGGATATCGAGCGGATGCTTTATCCACTCGGCTAACCGAACCACTGGGCACCGCTCTTCTTTTCCGAGGGAAGAGAAAGAGGAAATTTTTGCGGAACTTTCGGTCGATTTTTCTCGTCGGCCGGGCTTATTCCGCAGCTGGAAAATGGCTCTTTTTACCAAAGTTGACTTGCTCTATCCACCTGTACTAGTCATTTTCCCAAACGCTGGGGGAAGTTCAGACCATTCCCTCGTTAAATATAAAATTTGTATCTATTATTCTTGTTCAGGTCGGTCTAGTCGATCCCGGAAAGTACAAAGAGCTCGTTGATCTTGCCCGCTTGGACAAAAAGAATCCTGGAGAAGTTGAGTTGCTCAGTCTGAAGGTTGTCAACGACGAGGAGGTCGAGATTTCTTGAGGATTCCCTATTTATTTCCCTGGTTCAGTCCCGTTGTAACTATTTTTGGATCTCCAACTAATATTTTACCACTATTTTGAATAAATTTTATCTTTGGTAGTGTCTGCATAATCGCTTTGTTTGTAATAAATAATGGACTGATCTGCAAAGGGGCGTGCTGTATGGTTGCAATGACCGGACTTTATTTTTGATGGTCTATTAGGATAAACAAACGGAAGTTTTGACAGAAAAAGAATCGTTTTCTTTTGCGCTTTTGGTGGGATTACTCCAAAACTAAGCCACTTACGTGATTTTGAATGTTGGATGGTCTTTGATGACCTTATGTTAGACATCTGATGAGATCATGGTTCCGAGAAAGGTGTATTTACAAACTTATTCATCTATTAAGGAGACTATTGCGTTGATCCATCTTGGAATTACCTAGCATTGTCCTTTAACCGCCTTTACTGTTTGTTAAATTACCTTTGCGAACATTAAAAATTAGTCATCATGTCTGACCGCGAATAAATTGCAGATCCTTTTCTTATGAGTTCTCTTTCCTTTATTCATTCTTTCTTTGCTCTTCCAATTACTCCGTTCGCAAGAAGATATCATATTTTAGTTGATTATTAAGACCACTCGCTCTGCAGCATCAGATTATATTACCCTTCATCTACCTTTCCTTCCCTTTTTTTTAAACTGTCGCGCGCTCTTTTTTCGGTCGACCTGCCTGCCGCTATTAGAATTCATTCGAAGTCTCGTCGAGCTGACCTCATTCCGATGCGCGAGGAACAGATATTTTAGACAAGGCGTGTAATTCGCGTAATTTATCTTGTACCAGACATAAAATTATTAAAAAACGAATTGATATGTTTTTTAGTGATAGTCTTTCGATTTGTTTCTGACGTAGAGATTATCAGTGATATCAACGGCTGACTCATAGAGAGAGTTTCGATGTCGACTGACCCCAAAACCGAAGCGAAATGCTCAGAATCAAAGGATCTGGCGAACATGGAGACGCTGCACTTGGATCGATGGCCTCAGAGTCCTCGTAAGATCGATTTTATTGATGATTATGGTTCCAGGTGTCATGATAAAGGCTCGCGTGATCTACCTCTTACGTTATTTGGGAGTGGCACCTGCTGATTTATCGCCCAGCAAAGATACGTTCCAAGAGGCCGTCGAGTATGTCCGGAGGGCAAAAAATGTGAGAACTTTTTATTTTACGCTGGCATCTACTTAAGTAGCTACTTTTTTGGATATTTTTTATTGCTTTGTTACATAATTTTTTTTATTATCGTTCAGCTATACGGCAAAGTTTCCTATAAAAAGTTGCAAAAGGTTCGACTCGAGATCTCAGCGCATTGCATAAATATAGTCGAAGACAAAGGCGGTCTAGTCCTCAATCACGCCGATCTCGCAAATGTGGCCACATGTGGTGGAAAGAAGAGCTCGGTAAGTCATTTTAATGTTTCAAGTGTAATATTTTTAGGATTTGGATCGAGAATTCTTTGTCTACGTTGCCCGAAATGCCGGCAAATTTGAAGCGCATGTATTTTTATCGACATATTCCTATTCAACAATTACCTCGACCATTCAAGAAGCGTTTGAAATTCATTATTACGTAAGGATATAGATTTGATGACGTAATCCACAAATTGTAGCTCAAGACCCGACCTGAAGAAGATATTTACCAAAGCAAAGCGGAATTACACACACAAAGGAATTGCCTAGAAGAGGAGAACAGAAGATTAAGGAAACGAGTGGAAGAACTTGAGAAAATGATGGGAAATGTGAGATATATCTAGCACGATATAACTTTTGACCATTTTAGAGAAATTTCTATCAAATCTTCCCCAAAGCTGATGAGAATGGACCTCAAAATTATTTTAATTCGCTTCCGAGAGGCATGGTGAGTCGTTTTTGATCTGATTTAATTTAATTTTTGATTTGGCACAGTTTTTACATACGATTATATAATATAACTTTCTTCTAAGTTTAGATAGAGAAACCTCCTCCACCTCCAACTCAAAGGGTTCCAACCCCGCCAGAAACCCCGAATCTCAATAATCTCTCGATTGGAGACTCACCAGGCACCTCGGGCATAAACAGTACTAGTTCTACACCAAAAAGAGTAATCGGCGAACTAAAAGAAAAGCTGAGCAAAATGAATGAAAGAGAATCGTTGCTGATTGTACCTAGTAACGGAAGTATGAGCAGTGACTATGGGGAAGTAATCGAATGTAAAATACAAAAAGAAGGCGTCGAGGACAAGATCTACGAAGAGATTGGAGAATATTATGACAGTACATATCTAATCCCCAAAAGAAAAGAGGGGAAGCGTTGAAAAGTGTGATGGTTTGTGCGATATCGCAATAAATTTCTATTTATTCCTGAATTTTATTGGTGGGATTTTTTTGAAATTTTGTTTTCTTAAAGAATTTGTTTTTTTCCAAAAATCTGAATGACTAAAAATTCCACTGCCGATAAACAAAACTAAATACTTCCAAAAGCAGAGAAATTCCGTAAATAAACCGCAATGTCTTTTGCAGTAATTACCACGCCTGTTATCACTTGTTTTAGTCGTGTTTTGAGGTGATTCTTTTCTCTCTCCTTCCGCTTTTTTAAAGTCTCCGAAGACAACATACTGATGGGAAAAGAAGCGCTTACTTCTCGCGATCACTGGCCAGACAATTGGGGCCCGAGAAAGGTGGGGGAAGAGGGGGATCCCGTCAAGACGCTGTTTGAATCGGTTTAAATCTTCGACGAGGGTGCAGTGAGCCGACTTTTGAACAAGGGGCTTTTATGGGCCAACTTTTAAAAATCTCTTATTGACTTTTTATTGAGGGTTACTGTAATTTTTATAACGCCGTTTTGTTAAAACAACTGTATCTATTTTCAGTTAGCAAATTGATATAAGGCCTTGATATGACCTAAAGTCATTGTTTTGAGTGAATATTTGGGCGCTGCGATCGGCACTTGATTATATCTATGGGAAAAGAGCAGTGAAGAAATTGTGACTTCTATTTTGTGCTCTGACTTACATTTGTAGACTCATTTTAAAATTCCTACTCCTTTTTTCTCATTAGCCTTTATCTTTATCAGTTTTAGAGCCCTGAAATGAAAGAGAACAGAATTGTTATTCAGAAGATTCGTCTAAAAATCTCAAAAAAATAACTTTTTATCCCAAACACCCACCTTTGACCCCGTTTCCCGCAAATGTCCTCACTCACCCAGACTTGACTCGTTTCAACGTTCCCTTCCTTTCACTGAAGACCGCCCAAATCTTTTGATCGTGCTGGTCAAATCTGCAGAGACGTGACAAACAACAAGACAAGGGGCATTTCAACTTTTTTTGATATCCAAACCGAGGCCTAATCCGATAAGTAATGTCTCCAACTCATTCATTCGCGATATTATAGGGCTTGACTTTTATGATTATTTTAGTGCAAAAACAAATTTACAATGAAAGGAAATGATGATTAAGGTTTAATGTTACAATTGTGACAAGTTTTATTGATTTCACGCATCAACTTTTATATCGATTAAACTGTCCAAATAATTTTTCAACTAAAGATTTATTTCGGACCCTTTTATAGACAAAAATGGGCAGTTTTAAAAAGTTTCCTTAACTGAAAACGAAACAATTCTGCATGCAGATCAAAAACTGCCCTGGTCCGGTCCATTTGCAGCCCGCAAACCCTGAAGCGTTCTTTAATTTTCACGTTATAACCACCGCGTTATCAGTGATAAGTTGGGGTTCGAGAAAAGTGGCGGTCTTCAGCCTCGACTGTCCTTTTTTTCTCATTTTGCCCCCATCTTCTTATGCTTTACCGCCCCCGTCGCACGGTGCCTCGTTCGCTTTTTTCGGGTCTTAAAGTCTGTCCCCATCACCTTGAATTTTGAAGGGCCCGTTTCGGTGATGATGGCGGTCGAATGCGCGAAAAGAGACGTACTTTGAGTGGCAACTTTTGGCACTCATTATCAGATCTGATCTTGAATACTTTAGAACGCATTTGATCATGATTTTAGTCTCTCTTTTTTCTTGATTTTTAGTTTCCGTATAGGGTTCAATGAGCGTTTTCTGCAGGTCTTTTGTAGGTTGTGCATTATAATCTTTATGGAGTTGTACTTTGATCCTTCGTGAGATAATGGTCATCAAAAAAGACCGGACTTCGCGTTAAGACTCGTCGCGTGGTACCCTCTATATTTCTCGACCTGTTATTTAATTTAATCCATGAAAATTTTCGAATAAAAATTACCCCAGGCTATTTAATATTCAACATTTTTAGCCTTAAAATCAAGCGGGTTGGCAGATCTCTGCTGGAAATTCTTTTTGCCTCCGGGTTTCACCCAATTCTCTGGTCACTCGAATATGAATACGAACGGTTTGGGGAACAATGGTGAAAATGGAATAAGCAAAAAAAGAAGGGGCAGCAAGAAGGGGAACAAGTTGATCGACCTCAACGCCGATGACAACATTTCAAATCCATGGTTCAAAAATAAACAAAATAGTAAGATTTTTAGGGTTTTTGTTGATGTCCTAATAAGGTGGGGCGGGATGTTTTGAAAAAATGAAAAAAATCTATGTTTTGAATTTTCAAAAAATTACTATTAACATCGTTCTTTTTGACAATTTTTTATTTACCATTTGTGCAAATTGACGTAGGTATAGCTCAAACAAAAAATATACCCTAAATATATAATCAAAATCCGAGAAGTTTAAAAACGCGTTTGCAAGTATGTTTTTTTTGAATTTGTACTTAATGGAGCCATAAAAACTTGTGATAGGTAGGAATAGCAGATATCTTTTCTGGTCAAGTCTTTCTTTTTCTCTTTGGGATTAATTACCTTTGATAACCTCACGTTTTTACGATTTCCTGATGATTTTTCTTCCAGGTTTAGATGAAATGGATGTGTCAAAACAAAGTTGTGCCCAGCATAATGGAAAGGTAACGTATTTTTTCCGTCCTTATCGCGAGGTCAATCAAAAATTAAGATGAATTAAAAATAATTATTTTCAATTTCGTTTTAGGTCACTAACGGGACAAAATTAGCGGACGCTGAACAGGCTTGGCCTAGTCTAAAAGAGGCAGTCCAAGAGGAAGCCGTCTTAAATGGAGTGTGCCAGAATGGACTTGTCCACAAACAGGTGAGGAAGCGGGTGTAACCAAGAGGAGGGAGATTCGATGACATTCAACAGCTGCCTTTTGTAAAGAAATCGTCGCTTTGGAGGGGGTTTGCGACATTTTTATTAGGAGCTTTTCGAATATCATAATCTCCTTTTCTCATTGGTATGTCCTAAAAACAGAATGTTTTCTTACCTCGAAATGTTTGGTACTTGGTCTTTCCGAGGACATGAACCTCCTGAACTTTCTGTTTCTTATTTTTTCTTTTCAATCTTTCTTTCCCTATTTTCAGCCCTGATCAGCGCCATCGGAATGCAGATCAGGTCATTCCGAGTGGTTGTTGCTGATTGTATTCGAATATTTGTGCGCGGAACGACGTTTGTTCCAGCCGCAGGCCCGCGGGTTTAGGGTTCCTTTTTTCGTGTTTGTTCAAAGGACACAATCAATGTGATCTTCTTACCGGAGTCTTGAGGCCATGTGATAACTGAATGTCACTTCTTTTTCGCTTATAAGAGCCCTCAGGGTCGGAACGGGAGGAAAGATCCGGTGATTTTCGAAATTAGTTTTGGAAGAGAGTGATTGTATCAATGCGGGGTTTGGGCCACCAGTTTCACTATTTTCAACAAGATTTTGTACGTTTGTTTTGATCAGTGATTGTCAGAAGATGCTCTTTGTGGGATCATAATTGCACCTTTGTTGCCCTCGGTAGATTGTAATCTTGTTTACCGCTATATTGATTATAATGTTATCCCTTTATTACCTTTGGAGTAAAACGATGACTTATTTTTTATTTTTTTAAGCCAAAATCCAACGGAACTCACCCCGAGCAAACGGAATCCCCTGAGGACGGTGATTCTCGATCCGCTTCCAAAAACGGTAAATATAGTTGGAAAAAGCTGGATATCGACATTCACTACAAGAACCGAGAGACCGATCGAGTCTCGCCGTCGGGCCCGGCCAAGCGCTCTCGCTACGACAAGTTTGGCAAGACGAGGACCATACGAAGATCGCGGAGGGATGGGCAAGCAGCGAAAGAGAATAAAACGGCGAATACTGTGGTGACGGACGAGGATGAAAACGAAGAACAGGACTACTGGTAAGATTTTACGTTTTTGGAAACGTCACTTTTAGAATTCAAAATGATCTCACAAAAACATGATGACTAATTTATCTGTCACTTCTTAATTGCCTTTTTACTTTTTGGCCGTCTTTTATTTTCAAAAGCAAAATTTGCGTAGGCCTTTGACTTTACTTTATTTGAATCACGATTCCAAACACTGTTTTTTCCGTCGACTTTCACCGGTCAGCACAGATTTCCCGGATTTATAAAGCCGATTCTATTAGTTCGAGACAGATATTTATTATTCATTCTCGTATTCTATTCATATTGAAAGTTGGATCTGGACAGTTTACCGTAACCCAAATGCCCATTTTTCGGAAAACACAGCCGGATCGATACTTTAGGTAGGTGTGTTAACGCGTTGTTGACATGATTTAGACATTCATAGCCTTGTCAGAAAAAAACAATTAGGCCGATTTTCAACGTCTTTTCCGATATTTGTAAAAAATATTTGGCCTAAAAACATTTTTAGAAATTCCCCTCGGAAGATTCGTCGTTTCTCTCACTGTCTCTCCGCCCTCTCCTCTCTCCGTTTTCTCAATTTTTAAACACTTTCTGATAAAACAAAGGAGAGTTATCTCTGCAGGGACCGGGCTTTTTCGACCCCAGTGGTATTTATTTTTAAATAGTGTTTCTGATTTTGGAGATTAAGTAATTTAGACGAATTCTTCATCGTGTCTACAAAAGCCATTTTATAATAAATATTAAAAGGCAGCCATCTCATTTCACTTCCATTTTACCTTTTTATGGAAGGAAAGACTGAGGAGTTTTTTAGGGGTGTGCTTTTCTTGTTTTCCTTTCTCTGTCTTGTCAACGATCATTAATTGTTTACTCTTTATTTCATTTATCATCTCGCTGATAAGCTGCGTCGTAAGATACGTCGGCGGTCACGTTGCGGACTCAAGTGAAACGTTGACGTTGAGAAACCGGGAGAAAGTAATCCGGAGAGCACTTATAGAAGAACGGCGGAGCGATCGGTTGCAAAAAATTCGCGATATTAATCATGGGATATCAAAGTAAAGATTGTTTATATTGTGCTATAAATCACTGCTATTTACAACCGACGTCCAAGCGACCTTTTATCTCTTTCTTCACATGACGTCGGTTGTTTTCCCGTTCTCGGACCACGTTGTTCCTGACGTACCCAAAAAACGCCCATGTCTTTCGAAGCGTTCTTGAAGTAGCATTTACCGTTTTTTACAAATACTCTTGACTCAAATTCCATTTTTGTAGCTTAAATCAGCTAATCATCTGGAATGGATTTGAAGAAGTGGCTTTCATTAATCCAAACCCCTCTGATAATCTTTCAATTCATGATTAGAAATTCACCCAACGTCATCTTCCCTCTTTCAGCCACTTTTTTCTCGGGTTTACGGCATTTGAGGAGGACGTGGAGAGACGGCCGCAGGGTCCCTTCCCCTCTCCCTTCCCCTTTCTCTCGTCTCCATTCTTGTTTTGGTGTTCTCTTTTTTGGCACACGGACCGACTTACTGCGTTCCTTATTTAAATAAAATTCATTCGGCTTCTGGCCTTAATCTCGTACAATATACAAGTCGCATTTCGTTAAGAGAGCAGTATCCGGCCGTTTCGCCGTAAAGCTCAAGCCTTTTGCGAAAAGTCGCAAAGCAGTTTTTTATTACTGAGGGGGATTACTATGTTTACACAGCTCTGCATAGAGAAACGGACCAACAATGATTCGTTGTTTGACAATTGTCGATTTGAAAGTTTTAAAAATTGTAAAACGCTATTGTAGCAACTTATTTTATTTCAGGTATTTTGACAACACATCAAACGGTTTCTATTATCAACATTCCGGCACACAAGGCTGGAAACGCTCCAACGGCGTGCTAGACGCTCCAGAAGCGTCATTCTCGATTGAGCCCGTAGTTGCGTTTGTACCAACTACTGCTGACGCCACCGAATTCGTCTCCTTCACTGACTCTGCACCTTTGGATTCGGGCGAAGAGACCGAGGAAAAGGACCCAGAAGAAGTCAATGAAATAGAAGACGAAGAGGACGAGAACGAGATGCCTTATACCGGACAACCAGTGCATCCTGGAAACGGGGTTAGTTTTTTTGTTATGCATTATTCCTTGCTGTCTGATGTAGCATAATTTAAAGATTATTTCTTATAATTATTGAGACTTTTTGAAAGAATGTAAAGACGCATGCAACAATACAGCTGTCCACACGAAAATCTTTTCTGCCTTGGTTCCTCCGCAAAAAACACGCGTTTAACTATCAACAGCCTTTCCCTTTCTATTTCTCTGCCCGTTAAAACGGAGAAAAGAATCAATATAGCCGGGTCGGAGAATCGATAGTGTCGTTTCGCGACTACAGTGACAGCCCAAAACCTTTTTTCCGAGGGGAATTCTGTTGTTTAGAGGGATTTTGTTGTTGATTTTGTTAGAAGGCCAGTGTTTTTGATCGAAAGTTATGGTAGTTGAGGTAGGATTTTTTATGCGTCATTACCTCAGTTTAAGTTTCATTAAATCTCGTTGCATTAAGCTTATATTGACATTTTCAGGTAGTAAATTCAAACGGTGGCCTACGGAACGGTCCTCCAAGGGCTTCAAACGTAGGTACTGGACATTTCAAACAAAATTCGCGTGGAAGAAACGAAAACAGAAATACCGAAGGTAAATTTTTTGGTTATTCTGAATTTTGTTTGTATTTAGGAGACAAAAATCATTGACGTTAGAGAATAGGGACAAATAAGCTTTCCCCGATTCTTTTCAATTTACAAGCAAAACTTTTTAATTCTAGGAAAACAAACCGGTGGTCATCGAAGAAATTTTAATAACAACAACAGTAAACCAACTAACGATCAGTGGAACAAAAATGCACAGAATCCTCCACCGCCACAACAGAAAGCAGATAGCACAAATTCTGAAAAGCCAAATGCCCATAAAGCCTTTTATCAAAGGAATGACAGATGGCAAGCGAGGAATCCACCAAACCAGCCACCGAACGGCCAGCAGCAACCAATCAGTGTTCAACGCGGCCCTCTGCCAGATTGGGATGAGGTTGCTGAAGCTGCTCAGGATGGCGGTTTTGATTACATGGATTTAATGGAAACTCAGTATTCTCAGTTGTGCGCTATGATGGCGTTGCCTCCCTTTGATCCGACAATGGCAATGAAGGCAAATCAAATGCCATATATGGTACCATTTGTACCACAGAACGGCGGTCAGTTGTTCAGAGCTCCAGTAGTTACCGCTGGACCTCCTCCGCAAGCGCTGAACGCTACTACAATGTCGCATCCGGGTCTTCAAGCGGCAGCACAAGCTGCGCTGGACAAGAGGATAAAGGCACAAGCCTCTAAACCTCAAGCTACCACGTCAACAGATTCCCGACCAGAGTCAGTGGCATCTTCTGTGACATCCACCGTGCCTCCTACTCCAAATGCGTTGTTATCACCTAATGGTGTACCAGTTCCACCAGTAATTCGGCCACCATTGGTTCCTCCTCCAATGTTGCAGCCGTTTTTCCCATCGTTTCCGGGTGTAGCGCCAGTGCCTTTATTAACAGAATTTAGGAATGAGGACATTAAGGCCGTCCTGTGCAAACAAATGTAAGCGTTTTTGTTGTTTAAATTGTGTGCCTTATATGCTGGTAATATGGTTATTTGTAAATTTCAGCGAGTATTATTTCTCTGTCGACAATCTCCAGAAGGACTTCTTCTTGCGGCGACGAATGGACAAAAACGGTTATCTTCCCTTATCTTTGATCTCCAGTTTCCCTCGGGTTTCTAATTTAACACGCGATATCAACGTAATCGCCAACGCGTTAATGGACAGTGATAAGGTTGAGCTAGACAGTGCAAACATGAGAGTGAGAACGAGGATTAGCCCCGAGTCATGGCCAATGGAGTTTTCCAGTCAAAAGTCAGTCGATGAAGAAGGAGATCACACAAAGGAGGACTTGCCCGGTCCTTCAACGCCCACTTCAGATGAAAAGAAAGAGGTTAAGGTTGAAGCCAAGCCACAGCCTAAAAAGGCAACGAAGGAATCAAAACAAAGCGAGTACGACGTAAGTTTAATCTCATAATCTATTATCTTCTGCTTTAGGATGTTTTCGAAGATCAACAAGGAGAGAAGCAAGAACATCATGCTCCTTCAGAGAATTCTACGAATTCTACCCCAAGGGTGTCGTACTCAGCTATGGCTCAACAGTCGGCTCCAAAGGATAAACCACAAGTTCAAATTGTCCAGTCGCCGACAACCCCTTCGAAGTCGCAACCACAGACTCCAAAATCGAAACCTACATCTTCCAAGGACACCCCAAGATCTTCTCGCGGTCCGCGATCGCAGAGGGCGCAAAGCCCCAAAACTGAGAAATCGGAGAAAGAGGAGAAGAAGGAAGGTGATGACGACTGGCAAGAAGTTGCTCCCAAAAAGAAAAAGAAGCCAAGCAAACCAGAGGGACGCAGAAGAGGCAGACATCACAACGCAGAAGGCGAACGCTCTGAACGGAGAAAATCCTCAACCAATGTGGAGAACGAGGATTACAACACTGTGGAGGAGATGCCCGATCAGCATATCAAAAAACTCATTATTCTGACCCAATCGCCGGCCACCAAGGCGAAGGAAAAGAGACTTATGAGCGAAGAGATTGAGCACAACCTCCGAAAGTACGAGGAGGCGCTGTGGCAGAAGGAGGGACGCCAAGATGAGGTAAAAAACACTTTATTGCGCTGTCTTCCCATTTTTGTGCAAATAGGTATTCAGTAGTCATGTTAATTATTCAGGCTAAAAAACCGGAAGACAGCGACAAACAGTCGAGTGAGACTTCCAGCGAAACCTCGTCTAACAGCAATGAAAACAAAGAGCCTAAAGGCCCTGCGGGTTCGGTGTGGGCCAAGAAAGCCTTGGAAAGGGCCGCCGCCTCGGCATCAATGGTAAGCGGATATTTGATGACCGAAAACGACCCAATAATTGGCATTTATTTCCATTCACATCATAAATTTTTAGCCCCGCAGTCCCATTGCCAAGAGAGAACAGCAAGAGTCTAAAGTTCCTCGTTATTATCCAGCCCACAACAAAGAAATTAAAGACCTAAAGAAGGACAAAAACTTGCAGCAACAAGTCTCCGTGGAGCAAGCGCACGGCATGAATGTTGGATGGGTATTGGGAGCTAGAAGTCGGAACAACTCAGTTATTACCGCGTAAGTTGATGCATGGCAAGTAGAGAAAACATGAATTTTATACGTCATAATCATTCCCCTTTCAGTGACGAGACTTCGATTTCGGTATCTCAACCAAACTCGGTCCATCCATCAGTCGGTTTATTCCAAGACAACGGATTCGAAGAGCAAGTTTACTCTGAATGGAAGGCGCGTTGTATCGAGCAGCGCAAGGCTTGCGGTTACGATGTCCCAGAGATGAATACTCTTTATCGTTTCTGGTCGATGTTCCTCCGCTCCAACTTTAACCGAAACATGTTCACGGAATTCCGTCGCTTGGCCTTGGAAGATGCTGATGCCGGCTTCAGATATGGAATAGAATCCCTCTTCCGATTCTATTGTTATGGGTTGGAGGAGAAGTTCCGTCCTCCACTTTACGTCAACTTCCAGAACGATATCTTGGATGATGTGAGGAAGCGACATAAGAATTTCGGATTGGAGAAGTTTGTCCAATTCCAGAAGCGCTACAAGTTTGCGAAGCAGTTGGATGTGAATGCCGAGCTGCAGAAAGAGATCAAGAAGTTCGAGAAAACCAGCGAATACAAGATTGTAAGGTTTAGTCGATAAATCGTTGACTGTGAAAACAATTGTACCTTTAAGTTGATTAAATCCACCTTTTTTTAGTTTATGCACAACTTCAAGAAGGATCGAGAAGGCTTAGCGGCTGCCCAAAACTAGGCCAATGGGAAGCCTGGACTACTTCCCAAGCCCTTCATTGACCATTTTCCCCACTTTTCGGGCCATTGTTATATTGTTTTTGAACCGACGGGGGTCATCAGACTATCGTTTTTGCTGCATTCCAACCTTTTTGTTTGTGTGGATCGTCCGGACTACAGTTTCATAACACATTACAATCACCTATGTCAATGTAATTTCGGATTTCCATGCTTAGACCTCTATTGTATACTGTCCCGGCGAGAATGCGGCGTTGTTATAACCTTTTGTTAAGACTATGCTTTGTTTTTTGTTATCTTTTCAGCCCGTAGTGATTTCTAGAGTCTCTCCTAGTTCTGACATAGCTACCACAATAAAATTTTTCGCCCGCTGTACGGGTTCGTCGACTAAGCATGTCTAATTCCTCTAGCGTCTTGACTACTGTAATATTCGTTTGAAGATATTTTATGACATCTTGGTGCCTTGAATGTTACAGTATCTCGAATAACAAAAAAAAAGATTTTTTATTTCCATATCCAAATTCTTTTATTTTCAAATTTCTGTAGAATTTTTGAAACTCGCTCCGAACTGAAAAGAACATCTCTTTCTGTCGTATATTTTTTCTAACATTTCCAGCCTATTTTGTTCATTTTGTAATTGGTGGGGTTGAGTCGAACTCTGGTTGAATTCGAATTCTCATTCCCACCAAATCACTTTGCTCAATCACAACACTTCCCGTTCTTGGTTTCGATTATTGTAAAGCCCCCCAATTCTCTCCCCATAAACGTTTCAATCAGGCTGTATTCGTATCTTCATTTCGTATCGTTCCCCTTGTTTATTGTAACGAAACTTTTATCGTATTCCGGATAATAAATATCGTATTTTTAATGGAAAGCATTAATAGTTGAATCGGGGTTCTCGAGAAACAATGACTTGGTTTTCTTCCAATCGTGGTGAGGACTCTAATTGTAAGTAGAAGCTGGAAGATGCATTGGAAAACTGTAGGCTAACGATAAGCGCCATTTCACCAAGATATACGCCTCCAGCTCGATAAATTCCGAAGGTTACTGAACTTTACATATAACAGAATTGAGCCACGAAGATCGTTCTCTTATTAGAAGAGCTGCAACGCATTGCATTCCTATGTCACATTTTGCCTCTGTTCTTCCCGCTAATATATTGTTTTTGAATTGATGTCCTCGTTCTTCTTCCTGCTTCGCTTCTTCCCACTTCTCTTCACACATATTCCGCCTGATAATTTTCTCGTCCTATGAATAAATTCCGATGCCGGTGTGCCTTACCTGTGATGAAACCAGCACCTCTTTGTTTGTTCAACGCATGCAGCGCCGCCGGGTTTGTCGGGTTTTGCCGAAACAGAGGAGGCCGGACCAGGCGTTTTGTGACTTTGGCCGCTTTTTCACGACTCTCAATTCGAGGATTCAGCCGAAGTCGTGACATTTCGAGAGCGACGTCACTGCGTTGCGGCTTGACGATTTTCCGACGATTTTGGTTACTTTGGAATAAAATATTTAATCCAATGTTGGCTGTTACTAAATTATAGTGCCTACTCTGGGTAGTTAATCAATCAATTTCTGTAATTCGTGGCCTGAAACGGGCAGATATTGGCTTAAAATGCCAACAGATCTCGACGGAAGTCTTGAACAAGATGTAAGAGGGAATGCCAATGATCGGAATGGTGGGATGAGAAGACAAAGTACCGTAGTTACCAAAGATGACGACTCTGAATTGTCAGAATGTGAGTGTCAGACAAGACAGTATCCTCCATGGACCGGAGAGATTCACGGAATGAGTCAGGTAAGTCGATAACCGCAATTCTCTTTCCTTTTTTTCTTATTGTTAGACAAACGCGGGTTTTATTGATTTACTTCTTAACTGAACACCGTATAAAATTTAGGCCCTCCTGAGTAAGTCCAGAAAGCTCCGTGCATTCTGGTGGTTGGTATTATTTGTTTGCACAAGCTGCGGAACCGCGACAACAGTATTGGTGGTCATTGAGTACTTACAAGGCCCTACAGCGACCTCAACGACAATTCGATTGGTATGTCGTATTCGTTTATTTTCCTTACCATATGTGCCTTTATTTACGAGCAGCTGCAGCGGATATAAAAATAGAGTTTTATCAGCCTGCGTATATGCGCATATTCGATATCATTTGAAGAGATAGGGGCGGTGGTGCAACCGAACAAAAGCTCGTTATTTATGCATCGGGAAAAGCGGGAAATAATATTAAGTACAGTGTTTATGTTGACCATGTTCTTGGTCATGCTGGAAATGGCAATTTTGGCAATTACCAGTCGTATTCTTTCAGGTATCTTCCCTCCAACTCCCAGCTATAACAGTTTGTCCGAAGGTGCCAGATGCGTTGGATTTCGACGGTCTTTTTGATGACATGAGAACGCTAATGCCTGAAATTTCAAATCAGACGGCTCTGGACGTTGTGAGATTTTGGCTAGCCGGCTCTGGCCTAGAAAATATCGACGCGATCAATGATTACAACAGGACGTATCTAGATGAATTGAGTACCGTTTTCAACCGGTGGAGCGAAGGATACGATCCCAAGTCGTTCTTTGAACTTATGCAGGTAATTTTGAAGCAATGTTTTAGGATCTTTTGGTAAAGCGGATTTTCCAAAAATTCGGTGATTTAAAAAAAAATTACTTCATCCTAAATTCAGATTTTTATATAATCTTTGATTTCAATATTCAGAAAAATCTTTTGATTATGGAATCCCACTCTTATGTTTTCTGCACGTATCAAATTTCTTCGATTTCAAATTTTGTATTTTCTGCTGTTAAACCTACGAATTTACAATTCATGTGCAACATGTATGCTTCAATCATTTTATATGTAAAGGAGTAATGACCTTTACTCCTTTACAAGCTTCGCAAAAAATGGAAAACATGACCACTACGCTATATTTTAGTCCAAATATTTGTCTTGGCATTTGCGTATTTCCTCAAAACATAGATTACATTCGTGTACCAGAATTTTTATTTTTCAGACTAAACATGGATACACTTGCGATGAATTGTTTTACTACTGTGAATTGGGAGGAAAAGCCAAGAATTGTTGTACGGATATGTTCAGAAAAAGGGCTGTGATGAGGAGGGGGCTGTGCTTTCAAACGTTGCCCAATGTAAATCAGACGGAGGCTGATGACATTGGAAGACTAGTGCTCTTGATGAAATCACCAAAGAGTATCATCTCTCCGCAGTATAATTACACGCAGGTGAGTTGATTAATTAACTTGTTTTCATTGGCACCCTCTTTTTACTACTTGCCCCGATTGACAATCAACTTTTCAGCCACAAATCATCATCTATGTAAACGACAACTTTGATTATGTCCTCGATTTCCCTCGCTTCTACCTCTACCCAAATGAATGGAATCGAATGCATTTTACAGCTCGTTTAGTGGAACTTCTCGAGCATCCCAGTGACTGCACCAGCGAGGTGGGTTTGATTCCTTTATGGTTGTGGTGGTGTTTGTGACACATGTTCATAAAAAACACCCTCCTATATAAACACATGTACTATGCACATGAATATCCGAGGAGTTTGATCTCTACATGACACGAGTAGTGTTTACATCCTACAATGTCCCGGGTTGCTACAGAATATTGAGAAGAATATTCTTGGGATTCCACGAGTTCTCTAAAAATTCTCCGATTTAAAAGACACTTCGCGAGTTGCTGAAGCAGGCTCAAATGGGGGTCTGCCCTAGAATTTGACCCCCACTTTTTTCTGTCTCATCTGATGACATATAGGCTGTTAAACAACTTGGTGAATTTTTTTCGAAAAATTCGTCATCATGACCGAGATATGACATATTTATTGAATTTCGTTCAGTGTGATATATTGTGCTAATTTATTGCCGAAACATCGCAGAACTGAGCACACCTACGTTATGGGCCATGCTGAACAACTTTGTAATTGACCCCAAGTTTGTCAGATTACTGTAACATACCGTAACGTCCATGCTCAATCAATAAATCTCGATTTTCTCGATTTTTTCAATAATTTTCTCGGAATTTTTTTGCCTTTTTGGAATCAGCATCAAATTCTGCATCGGATAGACTATATGCGCATCTCCCGATAGGTGTACAAAAATGTCGTGGCGCAACCGGTAGTGGGTCGGACTACCATTCAAAAGGTCCCGGGTTCGAGTCCGGGTGGAAGCAAAAATGCTCAAACGCACTGGAAATTGTCCCAAAACAGTTTTAATCTATTGGAACTCTGGTAAAAATAAATAATAATTAACATTGTTCCCTAAAAAGGCTAAATTTTGGATTTTACGAATTTTTTGAAAATCATGATTTTTGTGGGGACAAATCTGCCGAAGAACTGAAAATTTTTTGCAAGCGATTTTTTTGTTTAGAAACAACGCATGGCACGTAAAAAGAGTATTCCTCAAATGATTTCGTTCAATTTTGCCCAAATCACCAAAAAAGTTGAACTTTTTCGTTTTAATCGGAGAGCACCGCCAGAACCCAGTAAGCCAAAGTGACGTCATTCAAACGTGGATACACATGTTTTCATGTATGGGGAGTCGAATTTTTAGCAAATTTTACAAGATTGAATACTGTAACATCATGAAATATGTGAATATTTACAAATTTTTAAATGTAAAATTTTTTGTGGAAAGTCTTCGGGGCTATTAGAAAGATATTTGAAGGCAGCGCAAAATACTGCTCTAGAAAATTGGAAACGTTTCCGCGTAAGGACTCCTGAAAGTCATTATTTCAATTTTTTGTCAAATGCCAAAATACGAAATTTTTTTGGTGTTTTGGGCAAAATTGAACGAAATCCTTTGAGGAATACTCTTTTTAAGTGCCATGCGTTGTTTCTAAACAAAAAAATCGCTTGCAAAAAATTTTCAGTTCATCGGCAGATTTGGGCCCACAAAAATCATGATTTTCAAAAATTTCGTAAAATCCAAAATTTTGCCTTTTTAGGGAACAATGTTAATTATTATTTATTTTTACCACAGTTCCAATAGATTAAAACTGTTTTGGGACAATTTCCAGCGCGTTTGAGCATTTTTGCTTCCACCCGGACTCGAACCCGGGACCTTTTGAATGGTAGTCCGACCCACTACCGGTTGCGCCACGACATTTTTGTACACCTATCTGGAGATGCGCATATAGTCTATCCGATGCAGAATTTGATGCTGATTCCAAAAATGCAAAAAAAATCCGAGAAAATTATTGAAAAAAATCGAGAAAATCGAGATTTATTGATTGAGCATGGACGTTACGGTATGTTACAGTAACCTGACAAACTTGGGGTCAATTACAAAGTTGTTCAGCATGGCCCATAACGTATGTGTACTCAGTTCTGCGATGTTTCGGCAATAAATTAGCACAATATATCACATTGAACGAAATTCAATAAATATGTCATATCTCGGTCATGATGACGAATTTTTCGAAAAAAATTCACCAAGTTGTTTAACAGCCTATATGTCATCAGATGAGTCAGAAAAAAGTGGGGGTCAAATTCTAGGGCAGACCCTCCTTCCACAACTGGCGAAGTCTCTTTTAAATTAACAACTAAATTTTCTAAAGTGAATTCTTTTTTTTGGAAAGACTTCTTTTGCTCGCTTCGGGTAGCAAGACTTCTCTAAAAACATTTCCCTTGAATATAACCTAATATTTCTTACAGATCGAAGGCAAAGACACCGCCTGCTTTGTCCGTAACTGGCTGACCTCCAACGTCGTTGACCAATACAACTGCACTCTTCCTTACCTCACCGACATCCCGAACGTCCCTCCTCGGAATGTCTGTGACCCCGTTGTCGTCGTTCGAGAGTATTTCCACACCATCCAACTGGTCCATTCGGGCTCTGTTCACTCTCAAGAATGTGTTCCCGGCTGTAAACGTTGGGAATATGGAGTTTCCTTACAACAGAGTCAAGCACTCGATAATTTCACTGGGTTTAAATTCAATTTGGAAGCCTCATTCTACGATCTACAATACGAACATGTCAAAGAAGTTTATACGACATCCGTGCCGGGATTCATGTCTCAAATCGGAGGTCAATTTGGATTCTTCTTGGGGTTGTCGATCATTACAATGATTCAGATTGGGATTTATCTCATCTCCTACGTCTTTAACTTCTTTTACAAACTTTTTAAACAGTCCCCTGAAGATGAGAATGAAGACAATCAAGACCCAACAATGACTGATTATAACGGAGCGATACCGAGTAATGGCCATGTTCGGACTAACGGATTGCAGATGGTCGATGGAGTACTGTACTCGAATAGAGTCCGACCAGTGGCGAATGGACACATGATGAGCTCATGGATGTAGCAGGAACAAGATGGGGGTGAAATTACTGGGATTATAAGTGTTTACATTATGCTTTACATATCTTGTATATTAGCTCAAAAATATCTACAGCAACTGTTGAGTGATACACTTTTGTATTGGTGAGTTCTTTTTAGGGGAAGTGCTTAAAGAAGGCTAAGAATTTAACTGCGCTTACAAAGAAAGAGTTAATGTTTTTAATAAATTTTTGTAAACCTCACTTTTAGCACTTCCCCTATGATCTATGCATACTTATACATACATATAACATACAGGGTGACCCAAAATAACGGAGACAAATTTTTGAAGGGTCCCACCGCGAAACCCGGGCGTTATAAAAACACAAGCGACAGTGGGTAATATTCTATAAGACTTTCTCTATAATTCACGAAAATTTGGCGGAGTCATCATGTCGCAGTAAAAAGTTACAGCTTAACAAAAATGCCTTGCGCCGTTTTTTTGGCCCTCAATTTTGGTTCCTTTGTGTTGTGTAGAGCATGGCTGTACTACAGCGGCAGAAATGGCAAGTTCATTTGTTTTGCTAGACTATTACGTCTCTAAGCAAGCAGTTATGTAGGTTTCTGGGCTACGGTTTTCATTTCTACGGTGGTACCGATCTCAACATTGAAGATCGCAATTTTTTCCAAATTTTTTCCATAAAAAATTCAGTTTTTTTTAGAATAAAGCTAAAACCGCTAGAACGTATTCTATTCATAAATACAATAATTCTGGAAAACGTTGTGATTGCTTGCTGGTTGCAACAGATTTTCCTTAACAAGTTTCTCGCCCAGAACTACCCCATGGCACGCGGCTTTGAGAAAGATGGGTTATCGATAACAAAATGACAAGATAGATAAAAACGGCGTATTCTGCTCCTGTACACTTATGAATACGACTCTTCAGAATCAGCCTAGGGCACTTTCGGTCTTTATGTGTCACCGGCTCGACTGGTATTCCGCCTACGGCAAAAATAAGGCAGAATCCTAGTGATTACCAAATAGCATTCCGTAGAAGTTACAAAATGTTTCTCTTTTGGTTCTATGGTGTTCCTTTAATCATGTTCTAGTAACTCATATTACATTTTGTCTTATCTAACGTTTAAACTCCTTTCTACGCCTACATTTTCAAAAAAGGCCGATTTTTGCACTTCAACTACCTGAAAATACTCGGCTGTAACTTTTGAACCACCGATAGTTGAGCTTAGTACGATGGCCCGTTTTAAAGGCCATATTATGATAATTAAGGACAGCAAATCTCAAACTATTCCGAACTTTCTTTTTTGAGTAAGGCAGCTTTCTTGCAAAAAGACCCCACGGGCAGAAAGCTCCGAGTCAACCGGATATATTGATGTGGTTCAAGGCACAAGAGCGTCGTACAACAAAAAATCCGGAATATAAAACTACACTAACGTGGTACTGTAATATAAATAAGGAATCACTCATGAATCTTCATAAGTCGCAGAAAAAACGGGAAATCTTTTGTCTCCTTTATTTTGGGTCACCCTGTAATATATGTTTCTTCTAAATTTACTGAAAACTTTGTTGTATGTGATTTACAGTTCCTTAAGCTACCTTTACCCAAAATTCTCCAAGATCTCTACTTATATACGGGCCTCTTCCCAAGACAGGTATTTCCATTTATTCGGTTGTGAAATCTACACATATACATACTGTATTGATCGTGTTTACAATAAAAGTAAATTGCTGATATTATTACATTTTGTTCCAAAGAAAGTTTCAAGTAATTCGTATACCATGACATTACACATCAATCGTATTAACTCTCATTATCACCATGGTCAACATTAGCTGACTCTGCATTCGGAGAGATCGTTTTCGTTTTGCTTCGGCGGATTCTGAACAACCTTACTGGTATCGCTCTTGTGTAATTTCAGCGACATATGCTTGGTCCTTCTGATCAGACTTCCCTTATGCCGGAGGATGGAATTGTCATCGTGGACTTGGGGCTCTTGAGGGACCTTGCGATTTAACTGGAAAACCTAAAGTCAGACACAAAACGGTTAGGACATGGGTTAGTATGGGAAAACGGAAACGACCGGATAGAACACAGCTATTTGGAGAAGGATATTTTTTAGTTTACTCTTATTAAAATGTCCTTTCTAACAACTTTAGCTTAAACAAAAATTTTGTACAAAATTAGTCAAGTGTTTTCTAAGGCATATAAGAACTTTAGAGTTTGCTCTTAAATAACATTTCCTAAATAAAAAAAAGTCGGCAAAGTCTCCAACCCATTTTTCTAAAGCATAAATCTTGTTATGTCTGTGAATGCCGAATAACATTAGCAATAAAAGGCAAAAAAGTTCAGTAATCCTAGAAGGAAACCCATGATATTCCCAGTGCCTGCACTTCACAGACCATCAACGGCTTTATCTGCGACCTTTCTCACAACAACATCAACATAACAGCAACAACAAAGACAACAACTCCAACAAAGTGTTCGAACAAAAAACGATTGGTTAGTAGATATAAATAAATAATAATAGAAAGTAACATTGACGGCGGTAAAGCCAGCCTAAATCTGCCAAATGCTTACTCGAACTGAATGATTTCGTCGGAGGACTCCAATACGATCAAAAGGTAAGGTAAGACCACTCGAAATTTGCTCGCATAATTCGTCCTCTTCCTGGAAATAAACGGTAATGGAAGACGTAAAATAGGTTTTTTAGAACGAATCCGCATAAAAATTATATTTTTTCTAATTCTACGGCCCGTTAAAAGTACAAATGCAGCACTAATTTCCCTCACCTCCTTCTCAATGGAGTTCGGATTTTCTTTGATTTTCTTCAATTTATCCTTTTGTGAATTGGTCCTCGAATGGGGCTGTTTGACTGGAATCTCGGGGATGTCGTACCCATCCGGAAATCCACTTAATTCCAGCAAATACTCAAAGATTTTCTTCACATTTGACCCGGTTTTGGCTGACGTCTCCACATAGCGGACATTGGCGTTCAGCCTTGACGTCCAGGCATTCGCGGTGGCCTCGTATATCTAAAATATTGACCATTGCATTTACGGATTTATATTTCATTTCAAAAGGTGTAAAAAAAGACGAGAAATTCACCTTTTTGTTCTCCAGATCGCCCTTGTTTCCGACGATTACAGAGGGGATTTCCCTGAAATTGGCGCGTTTCTCCGCAATCTCTTGCCATAAATCGCTCATTTCTTTGAAACTTTGTACTTCATCCACCGCGAAAGCGATGATAAAAGCGTTGGCTGACCCGATGGCAACCCTTCGCATGTCAGGGAAGTTGAAATTTGTGTCAAGGATGTCCAGAACGACAGGAATCCCCTGAAAAAGATTTTTGCAGACGAGAGACTAAGAAAAATGAGGAGGACAGGCAGAGAATTCTTTTGGCAATTAGGCCGCGAATTTTTTGCGGAAAAAATTCTTTTTGTAGAAAATTGTGAAGGACGTTTCGAAAAATTTATATATATTTAATTCTCCATCAAAAACTTGGAAAGAAAACTCAAAGCTTTTGCACTTTTCGACACAATGAAACGAGAAACTCACTTTAACCACGAACTCCTTGCTATGCAGATCCTCCACCGTCTCTCGATATCTCTCGAGGAATTCATTGTGTAGGAAGCGCTTGATCAGCGCCGTCTTCCCCACCTTGGCCGAGCCCAAAACCACGATCCGAAAGTGGAGTGCCTCAGGCATTTTGAAGCTCAAGTCTCATATCCCGGCCATAAGTTTGGAGTCCCTAAAACTGCAGGAAATTTAATGTGAAAATTAATTGAAAATCGACCGCGAAATAAAAGTTTTATGGCCAAGTCTCAAATTGTATTCGATTAGTTGTAAGATGGAAATAAAAAGCAAAAAAATGTGTAAATGAGAAAAGAGAAGTGTAAAAAAGAGATGGCACTTGAGGATTCTTGGGGAGAATGCAAAGATTTTTGTTGGGAAAACAACTTTTTCAACGAAACTAGTAATTATTCGTGCACCGTGTTCGAAAAAGAGAAGAGTTTGAAAAATGGGCTGGGCTAATTTTAGCACAGAACATGTTGGAAAGGGACATTGGCGAAATCTATTGGTAGATAGACTTTGAATATTTGCTTTAAAAACGTTTTTAAACATTAACAAAATTGAAAAAAAAATCAGATTTTTGCAAAAAATATTTTTACATTTTAAAACTGAATTTAAGTTTCAAAATTTGGACAGCGGTAAAATTTATGACATAATTTTTAAATCCAAAGTTGGAAAATTGGATTTTTAGGATTAACAACAAATAATGAAAATAAAAAATTATTACAATTACTGCCTAATTACTCCCAAATCCTCAAAACCAGACTACCCTCTAATTAATCGACTAATAATTTCTGCCCTCAGGCAAATACAGTTTTTTTATTTGGTTCGTTCAAAGAATGAGATCTAATCGCCATCCAAAGATTCAAAAATATATGTGAAACCATAGAAAATTTGGTCTGCCTTCATCCCAAAGCCACTGCCAAAGTAATCGCGTTCTAAGCTTCTACAAAAATATCTTTCGTAAATAGCCTTAATCCCGGCCATATTTACATTTTTCCAAAAGGACAGTCATAACAGTACTGCTTTGAAGCAGCCCCATCTGACGATTACACAGCTCTTAGCTTACAAAAACAGCAATGTTTATTGAGTTGGGAAACCCCCTTTTTTTACTTTCCCATCAAGATTCCCAAGTAAAACAAGAATAATATTCTCCCTTAATGATATGGAGCTAACATGGAACAGACAGAACAACGAGAGCCGATTAAGTGCCCTCAGGGCCAGAGGTAAAAACACGCAATGCGACGACCTTTACTGGGAAATGGGGATCACATATAAAGGTAATGGCATCGATGTTTACATCAAAAAATGTAACCATTGGATTTTTGCAAAAGATGGGATTAACAATGCTGATAATAATAAAACAAACAAAAAAAATCTTACAAAAAATGCAAAAATTTTGCGCATAACCTCTTTGAATCGCGTTGAAAAAAATTCTTTGAATTTTATAATAATAAAAAATAATAGTTAGACTACAATTTTCGGTGAGAAAAAAAACACAGTAATAAGTATAAGTTTATGTGGATTGTTTGTTTTGCATTGTTTTGGTTCTGGGAAGAAACTGAGAGGTAAAAAATATGATATGTAGTGTTTACTATAAAAAAAAGATATTCGTCAAATTGAGAGAAAGTAATCGGTATTGGTCGCATATCGATTGATGAGAATCTTGGACTATTCTTTGCGGGTAGAGTCAAGATATTCAACGATTTTTGAAGACTAGAGACTACGAAAAATGAGGAAGATGACAAGAGGAAAAAAGTTTGTGGTTACTCTTTTTTGCCAGAACTTGTTTTTTGAAGAAAAATTTTACTTCTGGCCAGTTGGTCAGTTAGGTTTCTTGAAGAAAAATTAGTTTTGGAATCTTGCATATGGACAATTTTGATTTAACAACTATTATTGCAAAATACTGTACAAGACTTTCCCTGTAAAAAACGAATTATCTAGCGCCCAGTATAATTGCCAGTTAGTTTAAACAAAGTCTTCAGCAGAAACATTTTATTTGCAGATCGGAACTAAAATTGGCAAATTTGCGCACGAAGTTCGTGTTAATCGTGTTGTGACGGTGAAAATAGACATTAAACTTCATGCTAAATTTAATATTTATTGGCCAAAGATCGGCTACAAAGCTATGTCAAAGAGTTATTTTTGACGCAAAGAGCAACACTGCAAGAGGAGAAGGTCAGATATTGGGAATAAAATTTGCTTGGGATCAAAATCGATACTTTTTATTTAAAAATATTTAAGACTATTATAGAAGCAGTTGAAGAAATGTAAAATAAAGGCCAAGTACAAGAAATCGAAATGTAAAATAAAGGCCAAGTACAAGAAATTTAGCTGTAAATTTATTTAGACTTTTTAGTTTCACTCCGAAAAAAGAGGATTTATAAAAACCTTAACGTTATTTTAGTCCTAATCCACTAAAAATATAATCTTTTCCTGTCCTCAAAGCAACTCTCTCCATTACAACGAATTACTCAAAGCCCGCCAAAAAATTTTTCCGATGTCATTCTGTACTTTTCGTTTCACCTATACGCCAAAGGCAAAATAAAAAACCTTTAATAATGGACGTCATAAAAAATCCTGTCATCTGAATTGTCATCGCTGTAAATCCATGGAAATGCGGCGGTAGTAAAGCCGGAGATTTATGAAGGAAAATATCTTGCCATTTAATTCATATCGGATATTAAAAATTTTGGAAACATTTTGGAGAAATTTGCAGAATAATGTCATTCAATATCTGGTGAAGAATATTATATGTGGTGTTGAATGTCTAAAGCGCGGAAACGATTAATTCGACACAAACCATAACAAAAAAATAATATGGGGAAATTTTCTATCGACCTTAGGAACGAATATTTTCAACATAGACTGACTTTACAAGTTGCAAAATTTGGAAAAAGTTAGTCCTTTTTGCATTTCTCTTCCAAAAATTGTAAGTTTACCCAAATTTTCTGTTATTTTTTGATTTTTACTCTTTGCCATTTCCTAAGAAATATTTTTCTTTACACCGTAATCAAACTGAGTTATTTTATTTACCAACAATAAGGGCCGTATTGATATGGCTCAATAAACGTAATAACTTCTCCAAAAACAAAAAAGATTAATCAGAAAATTTGTTTCTGTTCGCATGGAAGTGGTAAGCCCAATTAAAAAAAATGTGATTTCCTAAAGCCTTTCCATTAAGATTAATTTTAATCCCTTTTCCCACATCATTCCAAACCTTCTGTCGTTGTCTTCAATGACGATTTTATAATTTTCCCTGAGGGGAAATTTTATTTTTTTGACAAAAAGGTAATTGGAGTTTATCTACATATAGAGGAGGATAACCATTAAAGAAAAAAAAACGTTTTGTAGTACTAAAAGTATTTTGATTACTGAATTAATTAAAAAACAATTAAATTGTATCATCCTCCCACAATTACAGCGATAGAAATTGCAAAAAAACAGTGGAGAAAATTCTAAGGAGTAATTCAATTTCTGTTGAAGGAATTAGAAATTAGTAGGCCAAGGGAAGAATAACAAAACAAAAATTAATGCAAATATTGGGCTGTAATTAAGACAAGGGAATTAATTTCGCCCAAAAAATAAAAAATATTTTGATGTATCAAGATGGATGTGCCAGACATGTCATCATTTATCATTAGCCTCAAGAATTAAAATTTTTGGTTGGAAGACCTAAAAAATTCGAAAAATGGCTACCGTAATACGATTATGCAAAGCCAAAAAAGATTTAAAAATTTTTCAGACCAATAACACGCTCGGACATTTTGAGTACAAAGCCGTTTTGATCGCATGTTCATGACTAAAATATAATATTTTATGATGCGGTGAAACTTGGTTTTATGGAGTGGTGAGCCGGCACCTCACAAAAGGAACGGAATTTTGAGCTATCAGAAGGATTACCATACGCTTAGAGGTGCGAAAAGAGTGGAAGGAATGAGAAATCAGGCTCTGAAATGTGAGAAATGCACTAATTTTAAGACGAAAAAAACTATTGCTAAAATACGTGATGATGAACTCTGAGAAAAATTCTTGTGACCCAAAAACAGAGAGGTCAAGAAACGGAATATGCCGTTTTTTAAGAAATTCTAGAAGTTCAAATTTTGCTGAAACGTGGAACAAATAGAGCAGGACATGGTTTCCTAGGCCCAAAAACATGGTCCCTAATTCAACGAGAGAAAAAAATTGGGATCAGAAATGGCTCAAAATTGATGATTTTACAGAATTATCAACTTGAAATCAGAAATAGTCAGATCTAAACGAAAATAAATCTGGAAATCGAGAAAAATTGTATTGTTTTTACAAAAAAGCTCAAAAAATATGAGGAAAACGGGAACACAACGTCTTGTTGGTCTGCCCTGTAAATAGCAATTACCTCGCTAAACACCACTCGGAACTTTAAAAATTCTCCCACACCTTGCACGCAACGTACCCTTTTGCTTCACGTAAGTATAAAGTGTCAAAAAAAAAGGTGGACTTATCGACGGAATTCAATTTGCAAATTAGGCCCGAATCGAGTTTTCGGCCCTAAAAGGCATAATGCAAGATTTATGAGATTCGGTTAACGGACCTCAGGTCATATACTTGGTAATTCTTTTGGTTAAAGCAGTAATATAATATAAGGAACATGACTGGGAGGAGACGTCGGAATGGAATATCCACATGTTTTTTGTTGTGAAAGATGGATCCTTGGACTAGGAATAGTCGTGGTAACGCGCTTAAAATTACCATTCTTGATTGACCTGTGATAGAAAAATATCCAATTTTTTCATTATTCAGAAAATGCCGCAATTTAAAAAAATTAAAACTTTGGTTCTTCATCCTTTACAATGTAAAATTTCACACAAAAAAAAAGTTGAAAACGGCAACTAAACACATCTGGTTAAGTATTCCGGTGAACAAATTTCCCGAATACATTCAGGAAATGTTTTGTCTGAGCAACGAAAACACCTACTCCTATCAAAAGTTCATATTCTTTCTTAATCCTGTTTTCTACGACAGTCATATGTTCATTTTCTACGGCAAAGTCCGAGAATCCACGTTTTCCACTCTCTATTATTATACTACTCTATTACTTTTTTAACCAAATAACTCGGCTCAAAAAGCTCAGGCCAAAGGAGAAACTTACTCAACTT